ATAAATAACGAAAAAAGTAAAGGAGATAAGACGCCACCCTGAGGTACACCAGCTAGCGTGCGACACCATGATGAAGAGCCATCTTCAGTACGAATGCGTTGCTGGCGCCCATTCAGGTAACTTTGAAACCACTCGATTACGGCTGGAGATATGTTGAGAGAACGCAATCTTCCTAATAATATATCAAAATCGACAGTATTAAAAGCATTACTTAGGTCTAACAATGTTAAAACCGTAAGTTGTGAGTTTTCCATACCATGACGGATATCGTCGGTGATTTTGACAAGAGCAGTAGTCGTACTATGACCGGCACGGAAACCTGATTGGAGGGGATTAAAAAGATCATTCTTGGATAGGAATTCATTTAGTTGTTGATGGACAAGTCGCTCGAGAGCTTTAGAAAGAAATGGAAGAATGGAAATTGGACGGAAGTCTGAAAAAGATGTTGGATTGGGTTTTTTAGGGAGAGGAAGTATATGTGCGTTTTTCCAGACAGAAGGGAAAACTCCCGAGGACAAGGAATTATTGAAAACCAATGTAATAATGGGAAGGACAATGTCAAGAATGGGAAGGATCATAGTACGACTTATGTCATCTGACCCCACAGCATTAGAAGTAATAGCTAGCAGGCTCTTCTCAACATCACAGTCCGCAACTGGAGTAAAGAAAAAAGGCGAATAGTCAGGGATTGGAATAGAAAAAAGGTAATTAATCGTGTTTGTTTTAGTGGTGTTATCAATAACAGCGGAAGAGCAGAAATGCCTATTAAGGCTGTTAATATCAATATTTTGGGAGCCATAACTTTGGTTCTTACCAATCCCCACCGACTTCAGAAATTTCCAAACTTTGGTTGGGTTGCCATTTTCGACAGATTTATGAAAGTGGCGTCGTTGAGCTTCTCTACACACCTTATTACAGTGATTTCTAACACGTATATACTGTTCACGATATTTTGTGGGATCAGATTTAAATTTAGACTTGGCTCTGTTCTTTTTCGCCTGAATGGTTTTAATTTCATCTGTCAACCAAGGTGCAGGTAGATGTCTAACACGCACTGGACGGACAGGCGCATGACGGTCGTAAACCTCAGTGATGAGATTATTAAATATTACGATCTGATCATCAACAGTATTGGCACTATGAACTAATGCCCAGTCCAGATCCAGTACTTCCCTTCGCAGAAGATCAATATCTATGGCTCCGAAGTTACGCTGCATAAGGATTTTGTGTTTATGTTTTGGGGGACGGGTTTTGAAAGAAAGAAAAATGAGATCGTGACAAGAGAATGCATCAGCAGTACATTGGCCATGCTTTGCGACGAGAAGAGGAGAGGAAACTATGATAAGATCAAGTAAAGAAGGTAAGCAATTAGGGAAAAAATGGGTAGCTTGAAGCGGTAAAATATCGAGATTGCAGGCGTCAACTACTTTCATGAGGCAATTTGATCGATAGTCATTTTTAAGGAGACAAGTATTGAAGTCTCCCATAATAATTGTGTGTTCATAAGAGGGAATTATGTTTTCTAGAAGATTTTCTAAAGGAAAAAAATAATTAATAGTGGAAGACGGACTATAAAAAACTCCTAGTAAAACTTTGGAGTGAGAGAGGGAGACTTCAATAAAAAGATATTCGGCTTCCTTTGAAGGATCAAGACTATTTGAAGAGCAAACTATATTATAGGGAATATGGGAACGAAGATAAATAGCAACACCACCACCACCCTTGCCAGTACGATCGTTGCGAATTAAATTAAACCCTGGTAAAGAGTATGAAGGGAAGGGAGACATGGCTTCAACCATGTCTCGGAGACAAGAATAGCGTGGATATTTTTTACATTGAAAGACGTTAACATGTCAGGATAATGTGCTGGTATGCTCTGCGCGTTAATATGTAAGACATTGAAATTGTTAGGAACGTCCAAGAATTTAGTTTGTAAGATTTCATCTAAAGATGTAGAAACACTGTGATAACTATCATCTGTAGCTGAGAAGATTGTATGGTAACTTTCGTCAAGTTCATCATTCATATTTGTGTGCAACAAAAATAATAATATAAATTATAATAAAAAAAAATAATAAATCAACAAAAGAAAATAAAAACCTAAAAAAAAAAAACAGAAAAAAAAATGCAAATGCTACAAGGTTGCTATATCTACCCATCAGTGGAAAGTTATGTAGATACAATATAAAAGTTGAATTAAAATTACGCACATTATTTAGAGTAAAAAATAATAAGTGAAAATGAATGTAACACAATAAATATCTCAGTCACCCTATTTCATGTACATTATAATCATAGATTAAGAACAGTGCTTGTGGTCCTAGCTTTATACTTTTGACTGTTGACAGCTAGTATGATATTGACAGATACATAATATATTAATTGAAAGGTGTAGGTAGAAAAAAAAAATTCTAACTCTAACTTAGTCTCTCTAATATGGAGGTATAGGTGTTCTTTGCTCCAATCTGTCAGCGGAATAATAGTCAATGTTTACTTTAATATACATTAATCAACGATACCTTCCTCAGTGAAAAAAACTATACATATAACAAAAAAAAAAAAAATAGCGTAACGGACGGGCATTATTAACATTTAGTGATAAGCGTAGGTACATAAAACAATAATCATGATAGTACATTTAAGTCATGTTTAGCAACAATAACAATAAGATTATTTTAGGTACAATATCCCGTCATTTCTTCTTGTCCCGTTTTAGGCGAGACGAAGCAGCAGCAGTGACCTTGGCGGGGTCTGTCTTTCCTAAAGCCTTTGTGGTACCTGAATTTACTGGTACTGCAGCAGAAACCTGGATGAGTTTTTGAACTTCGTCGACAGTACTGACTCGGTGTTTTAAACCATCTGATGTAATTACAATCACATAGCCGTCCCGAGTCCAACATCTCTTCACTCCGAACTGTTGACGAGCAGCCATGAATGCATCATGTCTAGACTTGGTCAGGAATTCTGACATAGTGACGCCGCTATCCTTCAATGCTGTCTTAGCAAACCATATTTTATTACGAGTAGCTGCATTTCGGAATTTTACTAAAATAGGCTTTGGTTTGTCAGCGCTTGATCGTCCCAGACGATGACTTCTACTGATGTCATTTGCAGAGAAGTCAGGAAGTTTAAAGTGCTCAGTTACAATTCTGACTACTTCCGAAGCAGAGTCATCGCCCCCACGCTCTTGAACCCCATGGAACAGCAAGATTTTGCGTCGACTGCGCATTTCAAGTTGTTCCATTTGACGTGCAAGTATTTGTACCTGATGTTGTAGGTTGTTCATCACCTCAGCTGCAAATGACCGAAAGGCGGTGAAGTCTGCCGCCAATGAGGAGATTGTGGCTGGTGTAGTACTTATCCTTTGGAGATCCTCTTGGAATGTTACCATCTTTGCGTTAAGAAGCTCCATCATTGTGTTCATTGATTGTTGTAGTGCGTCCATTATGAGATTATAGGAGTGAAAGAAAGGAAATAATATCACTGCAGGTAGATATTAGCTAGACTATTAATATACACATAAATATATAACCACTTATACAATATATATAATTTAAAATAACACTTATATTTGGAGACAAAAATTTTAGCTGTAATAAAATATCAACGCCCTCCTCCTCATTGCAGGATTCCAAAACAGACATTCAAAACGTATGGTAGCTAGTTACATCGACGAAGACATTTTGCCATATCTAGCAACCAACTACGATACTAATAACTACAATAATTAACAAAAAATTGATAATTTAAATACAGTAGCCTACATGTTAACTTAAAAAAAAAAGTGTATGTGTGTGTGTAAATGTGTGTGTGTGTATGTGTGAATGTGTGTATGAGTGTGTGTATGTGAATTTGTGTATCTATGCAGGTGTGAAAAAAGTTATAAATTCATTCGGAAAATTTAATAAGATGTTCTGTATCATCATAAGGTAAGGATTGGAGAAATTTTAAACATTTATCTTTGCCATTCTAAGTTGCATAGATAAAAAAAAAACCAACTATTTTTATCTTTGACCTTCTGAACAGTAACCCCACAGAATAAACCGTAAACTTGTTTTTCCAGACTGTTACTGTTTTTTTTACGCAGTTCAGTTTATTTCTTGAATGTTTTATTTTAGTAAACAATTTGTTGCAATAACAACGGGCTACTCAGTGGACACCTGTGCACACATTTCTAAGTTATATTTGTAAAGCGTTCAACAAAACAGGTTCATATTGTAAATACACATTTTTTATGCTGTATTTTTTTATAAATAATAAAAAAAATTGGCGCGTCCTCCACCGTGCGTTTTTCAAGGCACTTTCTTCCACGCACAACCATTCTTTGGAATCAACTTCCAGCAGCAGTATTTCCGAAACGATACGACAACGTAACCTTCAAGAAAAGAATATATTCCTTTTTAAAAGGTCGGCAGCACACCTGCATTTGCCGCTGGTGTTGCGGGTGATCATGGGCGGCGGTAGTCACTTACCATCAGGTGAGCCGCATGCTCGTTAGCCCCCTGTGTTGTAAAAAAAAAGTAATAATATAATGGTATCCCCACCCGCGCTATCGGTATACACCGGCGGGGCACCAGTGAGGGATGATAGGTGAGCATGAAGCAGGTCAGTTAGCCAATCGTGATGAATGCACCTAAAATTCAGTACGATGGTTCCAAGATGGTAACAGAGTATTTTTTTTTATACCACTGAGGTGGCAAACAAGCATACGGCCCACCTGATCGTAAACGGTTACCGTATCCAATACCAGGGGTATTACACGCGCATTGCAGACCCTGAAAATGCCGGGGCCACACTTCCGACACCAACTTCAAATAAAAGGAAGGAGCCCTTTTATTTGAAGTCGGTAAAGAAATAAAAAAAAAATACAAATAAAAGTAAAAACCTTTGATGCATACTGTATGCAAGTGTTTTGTCGACTCTTTATGCAGTTAAAAAAAAATAACAAAACATCAAAACGTATAAAATGTGCATCCACGTATAATGAAACACAGTATAGGTCCACCGCCGGTGTATTACATACTTCTAGAAGATCACAACATGCTGGAGACAATCTTCTGCTGTTTGCTGAACACTATATTTCTTGGCACTTTCAACTTGTACAATGGATTGGCTCAAGTGAGTATTTGAAACTTTTTATTTATTAAAAAAAAACCCGACCAAGTGCGAGTTGAACTCACACGCCGCGAGTCCTACCATGAAATGTTTTCCGAAATTTCGAATCCGAACGAAACACAAATTTGATGTTAAAATTACATGATACGTACCGTTTAAAAATATTAAAAATGCTAAAGTATAGTTCCTTTGTACTTTTATAGTAGGATTTATGACAAATGAAATCTTAAGCTCCATTTATAGGGACAATTTTGGCACGAAAAAAAAACACGAAATTGAGCGCGAAAATTCGGAATTTCATTTCATAGGTAGACCTCCAGTATACAAATTTATTAATCTAAACTTTATTCGCCAATAAAATGTGACACAAAAGGACATAGACTTTCTCTGCCAGTCAACCTTTAGAACGTGCAAACACTCGATGTGCGGTTTAAAAAAAAATAGAATTATTTTTATTTTATTTATTTATTTAACTCTTTATTCTATCAGAATCATAAAAATATATTTATTTATTTTTATTTATTTCAAATTAGGCACACCAACAGTTTACATGTCTACACTAATATTATAAAGAGGAAAGATTTGTATTTTTGCGTGTATGTATGTTTGTAATGAATAAACTCAAAAACTACTTTGCCGTTTTCAAAAATTCTTTCACCATTAGAAAGCTACATTCATCCTGAGTAATATAGGCTATATTTATTGCTAGAAAAGATTAGGGATCCTTACTGAAACTTAAGTAACGTAACTCGAGGTGCTAAAAAAAACGCTATAAAATATCTTTAATCGCGTGCGCTGCGGAAACTATTGGTGATAGAACAAAAGTATGTTCTACAATATTGAAGAAAATATCAATAACTACAAAAAACTTTGCGACACTATATGTCCAACTATTATCGTTATGTCACAATAACCACTTTTTAAAATGTTGTGAAAATGTCCAGCCGTGCGAAGCCGGGACGGGCCGCTAGTTATACATAAATTAAATAACGTTTTTTGTGTACCATGCTGACATGCATACCTATAGCAGGCGTACACAACATTGACTACAGATTGCATGCATATAAATGTCATAATATTTATATATTAATATAATAAATTAAATTAATAATTCCATATGTTTTGTTACATAGGCAATACCATCAAATGTACATGGTCGTACCTTGCTGAAACACTGCCAATGTATGTATATATATATATATATATATATATATATATATATATATATATATATATATATATATATATTATATTGCACTTAAACATACAGTAACAACAATAAGTTAATAACAATGTTAGCAATCGCGAACTTATCTCTAAAAGAGATCTCCTCCAGTTAACCTAACACAATGGCATAGGAAGTAGTGACTGGGCAGTAGTAGTGCAAGACAGAAATTTAAATTAGAAATATTTACATAAATAATAAATCATTATATATATATATATATATATATATATATATATATATATATATATATATATATATATATATATATATATATATATATATATATATATATATATATATATATATTTGAAAGATACAATATTAATACATACATATGTACATTGACTTCAAACATGATCTACATCAGACACTTCTGCAGGGTCCAGGCCAGTGGTCGGTGAAGGAGGTGGGCTCGTGCGACGTCCAGTACCCGAGCAACCTATACCTCTCGCAGGCGACCGTCAACACCACCGCGGACCAGTACGATGGGGTCATGAATCTGCCGTATGGAATCGACAATACGTTCTCTGTAAGTTTTCTTTTTTATGGATGACAATGGAATGGTAACCCTGCCTGCGCTATCGCTATACGCTGGCCGTGCACCAGTGAGAGATGATTGGTGAGGATAAAAAGGCAGGTCAGTTAGCCCACGACGAATTCAACGATAAATTAGTCACGATGGTTTCCGAGGGGAACCGCGTGGAGGTCGACCTAATAAGGTATACTGAGAGCGATGGGAACTAACCTCCCCTTTACTAACAATCCCTTCGCCCCACTCTGTAAGTGTTGATATGCCACATGGACACACCGATCGCCTGCTCCTCACGCTAGGACAATGTTTTGTGAGGCGACAAACAACCAAGGGCAACCAGACACGAGCCAATTCATAAAAGTACCGTTTTCTAAATTGACCCGACCGGGAATCGAGCCCAGACCTAGTTTATACAAAGCAAATTGCCTATCACTACAACTTGTTTGCAAGCACTTTTAAATCGTCATTTGTTTTAAACCTACTGCAGTGTTCGGAGAGTTGTTATCTGTTGAGAAGAGCCCGCGAGAAGCTCAACAGTTACTCTTTTAAATCTCTGTTAACATTATGTGTATTTACTAGCTGACTCGACAAACGTTGTTTTACCACACGAGTATACATTATTTCTAGAACTATACATGAATATTTATCGTACTACAATTATTATATTCGATTGCCATCTTGCAACCCTATTGCGGCATACAAAAATCGCGATTAAAAAACAGGGATAGATCGTAAAAGCGTGAAAATCTAATTTGTGTGTATTTTTCAATGCAAAATCATAATAAAATAAAAATAAAAAACTTTGACGAAAAAAAATAAAAAAAAATTAGGGGTGGGCCACCCTTGTGATTGAAGGGTACAAAAAATAGATATTGGCCAATTCTCAAACCTACCCGATATGCGCACAAAATTTCCTTAAAATCGTTAAAGCCGTTTCGGAGGAGTTTGGTAACAAACACCGTGACACGAGAAATTTTTTATATTACATTTAAATGTAGGTACCATGTCTAAAATTACATGGTCGTTTAAAGCCCGCGCATGATCCACTAACACCGTGCACGCTTGTCATTCAAGTAATCGTTTAGTGTGTAACAGGCTTTGTTCAATAAGTGTTTTTTAATAACAGTTTTAAACTTATTAAAAGGCAGATCCAAAATATCCTTCGGTATCTTATTATAACATTTAATGCCCATTCTCATAAAAGACCTATTAATTTTATCTAAACGACACTTCGCAACAACAAGTTTGTATTTGTATCTAGTGTTAAGATTATTCAGGTCGCTGTTTTTGAGAAACAGTTGAAGATTCCTGCGTATATACAAAATGTTTGCGTATAAAATATGTGAATTTTTTTAATGGATAATAATGGAATGGTAACCCCACCCGCGCTATCGGTATACACCGGCGGGGCACCAGTGAAGGGTGATAGGTGAGGATGAAGCGGGTCAGTTAGCCCATCGTGACGAATTCAACAAGAATTGTTCACGATGGTTTCCAGGGGGAGCCACGTGGAGGTCGATCTAATAAGGTATATTGCTAGCAATGGGGCTGTCAAACTCCATTGCTAACAATCCCTTTCCCCCAAAATATATGTATTGTGAAGCTACGGTGAAGAATGTTTGCTAACTTAAATTTCTCTCTTAATGATTCACGACTTGCCGTAGAATAAATCGCACGAATAGCACGTTTCTGTAATACAAATATGCTTTGGATGTCGGCTGCTGGAAGTCGATTAAATTACGATAGTACTTATTTTCAGTTGCTATTTTGTTATTTAGCAACTGGATTATAGAAGAGGTGATTATACACTCATTGTCATCATCATTTCAGCCGTTAGCTGGTCCACTGCTGGACATAGACCTCCCCAAGGGGTTTTGCCAATAATTACCACGTTTGACAGGCGAGTTGACAACCGCAGTTACGTCTTTGGCGATGTTTTAAGAAGAACGCTGCTATATATGCATTAAGTTCCCTTAGTCGCATCTACCGACACTCACGGGAAAGGAAGGGATGGCCTATTCTATGCTGGGACCGCACGGTTGAATACAATAATATTGGGTGGAAAGGGATTGTTAGTAATGGGGAGGTTAGTCCCCATCACTATCAATATACCTTATCAGGTCGACCTCCACGTAAATCCCCCTGGAAACCATCGTGACTAATTTATCATTGAATTCGTCACGATGGGCTAACTGACCTGCCTGGGGGGAAAAGAATTGTTAGCAATGGAGTTTGACAGCCCCATTGCTAGCAATATACCTTATTAGGTCGACCTCCACGTAATTCCCCCTGGAAACCATCGTGAACAATTCTTGTTGAATTCGTCACGATGGGCTAACTAACCTGCTTCATCTTCACCTATCATTCTTCACTGGTGCCCCGCCGGTGTATACCGATAGCGCAGGTGGGGTTACCATTCCATTATCATCCATTTAAAAAAACTGTCCTGCCTTTTCATCCTCACTAATCATCTTTCACTGGTGCCCCGCTAGTGTATACCGTTGTGCCGGTGGGAAAACCATTCCATTATCGTCCATCAAAAAAAAAAAACAATAATATTGTATTTTAGATGACGCTGTACTACACGAAGCTGGATGCTGACCGACCTGACACCAGGGCGCTGAGTCAGTCCTTCGGCCAGTTCCTGTACCGGTTCACCGTGAACACCGACAGGGGTCAGTGCCGGCTCGCCGCCGAGACGCATCCCTTCTACTTCCCAGTGCCTCGGGTCAGTATTCCACATACAATGGTTTGGTCATTTGGAGAGGATGGATGAAAGAAGAATTACGAAAGAGATTTATCGAGCAAGAATGAATGGAGATGTCGGTAGAGGTCGCCCTAGACGGACGTATGTCGACCAAATAGGCGACGTGCTGAAGAAGGGCCAAATTAAAAGTACCCGTAACCGGCGAGCGTGTGTAAAAAGATTGATGAATGTGGAGGAAGCGAAAGAGGTTCGTTTGAATCGAAGCATTTGGCGTTCCATTGTTTCTGCCTAACCTAATGGGAGACAGGCGTGACAGATATGTATGTATGTACCACCACGTATATAACACGTGTATATACCACATAATTTCAATATTAGAACTGCTAAAATAGTTAACACATTTTCACCATACGCTTGTCGTACTAACTTAGGATCCAATTCTCCCCTCAACAGAATGTTACCATCGCATAATAAAGCCGTAAACGTTGGCCATGATATCGACATCTTTGGTAATTCTTTAGTGCAGTTTACTAGGCTTATTAATAATATTGGATTGGTAGTTAGGTCTTCTCTAATTGTATAATTGTTACTTATTATACATTGACGCTTATCTGTGAGAGCTGTATACACCTTTAATTGATGTGTTCATATGACCTTAAGCTTGGTAGTGAGGAGTGAGATGTTTTCGTTCAAGTAAACTTAGATTTAAGCATTTTTTAATAGTAGTTTTTCACTTTTACTTACTTATAACATTGTATATTGTCTGCTTAATTGTTGTGAGCATATTGTTGGTGTGTCTTTTATAAATAAATAAATAAATTTACAACCGAATTGGGACTTTAAATTCCTAATTCGATTGTATTTTTCTTTATGTTTGTCACCTCATAACTCCGTTATTTGTAAAGCGATTTGGAAAATTCTTTTTTTATCTGAAAGGACATACTTACAGCTTAATTATATAAAAATTTTATCAAACTCAGTTCAGCAATTTAGTTTTGAAACTTATTGTTTGCTTAGAATTATTTTGTTTAATTCCGCTACCATTAGTACGCGTGTGACTGCCAACACTCGAAGATTTACCACCACTGTTACTACCAGAAGTGCCACAACCTTCCATATTAGCCATAAATTTTCGAATGCTAAGGATTTGCAGTTTGGATGCCAAACGGTTATCACCAGAGGGAGACTTTGTACAAAAGTCGTTTGCTTGGGTACCTCTGTCCCATTCGTGTTTCAACCGTGAAGCAGTTGTGTTTGCATGGCTGTGTTCGATTTTGAAGGGTGGGATATGGCGGTGAATTTACAGGGTACAGAGGAATAACACCTGAGTCCTCAGGAATGGCAACGCATGGGGGGTATCATGGGCGAAACAGTACACTCTGTTATGTCCATGGTACTGCTCATGTCTATAGGCGACGGTTACCACTTTCCATCAGGTGGGCATTCAGCTTGCTTGCCATTCTAAGTTGTATAAAAAAAACACTAGCCTCCGAAGAGTTACTAATTTGCCTGAAGATGCCTCGTTTAGAGGTGAAGTTACGGGCTGCAAGTTTGCTACCTTCGTGGTATAAAGAAAAATTGCTCTTTCTGATATAATCGCGTGTAATAGTTTAAATGTGTCGTTTACAGAACAACTACAAGTTCGACGACTACGTGTACAAGTACCAGGACTACCACTTGCCCACCGTTGGGATATACGGGACCTACAAGGTGAACGCGTACCTGGTCCGCGGGCAGCAGATCCACGGCTGTTCACTGCTCACTGTACAGTTTAAATAAAGAGTTATAATATTATAATCTACGAATCCATAAGCATCTATCCATTCTATAGAACATTATCAATATTGTATCAGTCATTAACTGTCATAAGCCTTCCCCATACACTGCCATAAAGAACGGTCCTGAGCCACCTGTATCCACTGACTACCTGCAATGCATTTGAGGTCGTCACTCCATCTAGTGGTGGGTATTTATATATTTTTTAATAGAAATATTAAGAATTCAAAAGTACTTTACTCCTCTCCATCCAAAGGTTGCTTGCAAGAGATCGCTCAAGTAAGTCCGCCCATTGTTCTCTCATTGTGATTATTTCTTGTAATTGTTTATATTTATAACAAGTTTACTATTGTAATATTTTTTGGTGGAAACAATAAAGAGTATCTATCTGTAATTTTATAAGAAATAAATATTTTAATTCAAATAAACTGAGATGTAATCATTTTTAATAGTCATTTGTTTCTTCATCACCGCCCATTCGGAACGCAATTTAAGCCAAGAAGAACGGGCGAGAAACCCAGCTGTTGCTCTTTTCAAAAAGTTTAACTATATATATATATATATATATATATATATATATATATAATGAATTTATGCGAAATAAAAACTACTAAGAAATAACAGATTGTGTAGTATAAAGGCATGTACTTCACAAGATGGGTCTATCTTCGGACACACTGTGCAGACTGTGCGGGGAGAAATCGGAATCCATGGAACACTTGATGTGCAACTGCGATTCGTTGGCAAGTATGCGTATGAGTCTACTGGGAACGGCTTATCCAGAACCAGGGGACTACAGATATCTTAAACTACGAGATATCGTTAGAGCAACACAAAGGATCTATGAAATTATGGTATAAGGCAGGGGGGAGCACAAAAGATCCGAATGGGTCGACGTGCAACAGCTTAGCTGACCCCATATGCAAATATAAGATAAGATAAGCAATAACAGATTATAACATATAAAATGTGTACAGTAATTAAATTAAAACAAATCAATAAAATTATTTTTCTTGATTTGTTTTAATTACATTACATTTACAAAAAAAAACACGCAATATCATACTATAATACCATTAAAGATAAAAAAAACTTAAATATACTAAATTAGTAAGGAACCTCGGAGTTTAGTTTGACAATACATTGTCATTTAAGTTTTTTTTTTGATGGGTGAAAATGGTATGGTAACCCCGCCTGCGCTAACGGGATTCGCTGGCGGAGCACCAGTAAAGGGTGATAGGTGAGAATGAAAACAGGCCAGTTAGCCCATCATGATGAACTCATCAGGAATTAACCATGATAGTTACCAGGGGGAACCGCGAGCAGGTCGACCTGGTTGGGTATATTGCTAGCAATGGGATTCTCAGTCTCCATTACTAACAATCCCTTTCCCCCTTGTCATTTAAGTTGAATTATGATTCTATTGTGAATAAAGCTAAAGAAATGCTTGGATTTGTAATTCGTACATCTGAACCATTTAAAAAACCTACCACGTTTGTTATATTGTATAAATTCTCGTTCGGAATAATTTGGAATATTGTGCATTAGTTTGGTCTCCCATATATTAAAGTAGACATAAATAGAATCGAATCAGTACAAGCTGGTTTCCTTCGTTGCATTACAAGGAAATTTAATTTAAAACGAAATTTACGTGATTACGAGGAACGTATGAAGTATTTTTGATTCTTAATTTTGGAAACGAGGCGTAGAATTGGTGATCTGCGCTTGCTGTCTAAGATTGCGAATGGATTGTTGAATGAATCATTAACAGCTTCTCTGTACTTGATTGCGTGTAAGCATTCTTTCAGACATCCTCGGCTATTCGGTATTCCATCCACCAATAATAATGTCTCACATAATAATCCCATTCATCGGATGTGTCAATCGTATAACAAAATTAGCGAAGGATTCGATATCTTTATTTTATTTATTTATTTAATACTTTATTGTACACATTAGTTATAAAAATATGACAGTGGTAAACAAAAGTAGAAAGGCGAGCTTAACTCTGATAGAGTTCTCTTCCAGCAACACCCAAAGTGGAAAGGTGCATCAATGTCAGCGGATACAGCAGTGTACAATTTTTAAACAGCCAACATTAAATGAATTACATTATATTTTATCGTACAAATACACATATACATATACATAAATATATACCTACATATATGCATATACATACACATACATACACATATACATACAATATACCTACATACACATACATACACATATACATATATCTTTTATCAGAGTACTATTGGGTTTAAGAGGTCGTTGTATGGTTTTGAGATAGAATAAGTTTGGATCATAACTGTAATCAGAAATGTAATGTACATCTATAAATATGTTATAACGTTTACTTCTAACTTAGTGTTAAACGATGTTTACAATGTAAGCTTGGCAAACTGCGTATTGATACATTTTTGTATTGTTTTCTTTTTAATGGCATGCTCATTTCTGTTTGCAAACTGTTATTGTAACTTAAATAAATAAATAAATAACTCAGTTGCAGTATATCTTTTTATTATGTCGAATAAAGGTTTTAGAGAATGCAGTACAACGTTTTAGTGTACCATACAGTGGTGTAGCTAGTGAAGCTCTAGACGGAGCAGTACCCCGGGTGCCCCAAGCTCAGGGGGCCCCTTGGACTCCGCTTTACAAACTATAAACATTGAACTAGTGAAAGTTTCTTCCGCATTCGGAATATAAATAAACCAGATTCCAGGAACGCGCTTTGGAGGAAAGGAATTGTTAGTATTGGGGTCTAAGTGATCCATTGCCAGCAATACAACCTATCAGGTCGACCTCCACGCGGTTCCCCCTGAAAACCATCGTCGTTAATACTTGTGGAATTCTTCACGATGGTCTAACTGACCTACTTTCATCATCACCTATCATCCTTCACTGGTGCCTCGCCGGTGTATACCGATAGCGCAGACGGGGTTACCATTCCATTATCACTAACTAAAAAAAAAGGAATGCGACTTTAATAATGCCAATTTAATTGAAAAAACACAGGGGAATTCCCAACAAGTCTCGAACATCTTTGTCTGAAACTTGCGGGGAACTCCCCTGTGTTCTTAGGCTGGTTTATGTTTTGCCCCAGGGCCTTTGGTTACCTAGCTACGCCACTACTTCCATCGCCTCCACGCGGTTCCCCCTGGAAGCCATAGTGGTTAATTCTTGTTCAATCGGTCACTATGGGCCAACTGACCTACCTTCATCCTCACCTGTCACCCTTCACTGGTGCCCCGTCAGCGTATACCGATAGCGCAGGCGGGGTCACCATTCCATCTTCACCCATCAAAAAATACTGAACTACTAAACTTGCTCGCCATTTCACTGTCGTAAAAAAAAACAATTAACCGACTTCAAAAAAAGGAGAACGTTGTAAATTCAGTTATTTTATTACTTTTTTATGTTTGTTGCCCCATAACTCAGTCATTTATGTACCGATTTGGAAAAATACTTTTATGTCTGAATTCAAATTGATTCTGTAATTTTGGATTGTAAATTAAAATGACTGATTTTGCCGCGGTTAGAGTTGGTTTTTTTTTTTGTAGAATAAAATCTGCTATTATAAACTGGACTTTATTTATACTGTATACATGGACTATTATTGTTTGGTTATGTTTGAATAAAAAAATCCTTAATTCTATTTGTCTTTCATTTAACATCTACTTTATTTATTTATTAACACTTATTATTATTTACCAGAGGGGAGACTTTATATAAAAGTCGTCTGCTTGGGTACCTCTGTCCCATTCGTGTTTCTACCGTGAAGCAGTTGTGTTTGCATGGCAGTGTTTTAATTTGAAGGGTGAGATATGGCAGTGAATTTACAGGTTACAGAGGAATAATACCTGAGTCCTCAGGAATGGCAACGTATGATGGGGAGTATCATGGGCGAAACAGTATATTCTGTTATGTCCACGGTACTGCTCATATCTGTAGGAGACGGTTACCACTTACCATCAGGTGGCCCGTAAGCTTGTTTGCCATTCTAAGTTCTACGCTAGTCACAGCATGGAAACAGTCTTTTCTTTTATTACAGAGTGCGTTGACGGCGCAAGCCGTGCTGTTCAACCAGCTAGGCGACCTTTAACGACAATCAATGATATAGGTTAGTTTGTATTTATTGATTGTGTCATCATATATATATATATATATATATATATATATATATATATATATATATATATATATATATATATATATATATATATATATATAATGAATTTATGCGAAATAAAAAGTACTAAGTATATGTATATATATATATGTGTGTGTGTGTGAAGTGGTAACCGTCGCCTATAGTCACGAGCAGTACCGTGGACATAACAGAGTATACTGTTTCGCCCATGATACCTCCCATGCGTTGCCATTCCTGAGGACTCAGGTGTTATCCCTCTGTGCCCTGTAACACAACTGCTTCACGGTTGATGATCAATGATTCGCTGGCTACAGCCGACAATATAAGACCGGATTCATGAAGAGCTCCAACGGGAATGATATACGGGAACTGCATAGTTAGAAGCGGGCAACGCCGCGGGAATCGGCTACCAACGGTAACGGGTAACAAACATATATATATAGTATATATTTGTATTTTGTATTTATAAAATATAAAATTTTAAACAAACATAGTTATATTTATTTAATGTATTTATTACATGCAAGTGCGTATATATATTTTAAAAGTAAACATGTATTTCGGAAAAACATATGCAACGACGTAAATATATATAAAGGAATTGTTCTAAACAAAATATATGTAATACGTAATAGTAGGTGGTCTCCGCAGCTGTTCACGCCCGGCTGTTCCTTCTAGAAGTTGCGCATTATGATAAAAATTGTATTCTGCAGTTTGCTAACCTCCATGTTCACCAGCACATTGGATTTATACGCTGGTGATGAGTCTGTGAGTGTTTTAATTGTGTTTTTGGAAATAATTGTTTGATTCTATACTCTTTCTATTATTTATTGCATTCAGAAATACAGTAATAATAAAAAATTGAGTCCCACAAAAAAAACCGATGTCACTTGTCACCTCTGTTTCGGTTTGAAGGGTGGGATATGGCGTGAATTTACTGGGTACAGAGGAATAACACCTGAGTCCGTGATGAATACAGCTGGTAATTCAGAACGACGGTTTCCAGGGTGTACCACTTGGAGCGCGGCCTGATTGCTAGCAATGTACCCTATATTGCTAGCAATGGGACTGGTTGTCCGCATTAGTAACAATCCCTTCCTCCAGCAGTGGGGCTATCAGACTCCATTACGAACAATTCTCTTCTCCCCAAGATCTTCTGCTAAACAACAACACCTTTGAATTTGGAAAGACTTTTAAAGGCAAGTCTACGACAGTTATCTCGTTATATTCACAGGGCCCTGGCAGCTGGTCCGTAGACAGTGTGGGCTCGTGTGCCACCCGATACCCGAGCAACTTCTACATGACCCTGCATAAGCCGAACAGCACAGCTGGTGAATTTAATGGGACCTTGTATTTGCCTGATGGGATTGACGATTATTTCTCAGTGAGTACCATAAATAAAATGAAATTAAATGAAATGAAATTTATTTGCTAGAAACATTGTAGAAAAGGTGTTGCATTTGTGAAGTTTATAAGATGTCCATTATGTTTCGCCACATCAAATGGCATACAAATATTAATTATTGGATTTATCCATTGGCCATTTTATACAGGTACATTATATATTTAATTTTCAATTACATATACAATAAATCACTATTAGTACGAGTGTCACTTTGGTCATGCATTACAAACAGTCAATAAAGCTACTACAAATAATAAAATGATAAAAATGTCCAATAAAATTAAAATTACAATTTAAATTTCAAACTAAGTCAATGTCACAGCATTTATTATTAACCGCTTACAATCAGGTGGGCCGTATGCTTGTTTGCCACCTCAGTGGTATAAAAAAAAAATTTATAGCTTACAAAAACTCATTAATATTGTAAATATACCGATCACCTGATCCCCAAGCTTGCGTACCCTGTTTTCTGAAGATCCAGGCAACGAATCTCTAAGGTATACCTAACCCAGAACACCCATATTCAAAACAATTTGAAAAACTGGGACCCGTAAAGAAATCAAACCCATCATGAATAAGGTCTCGTATCGAATTCGAAACCTTCGGCGTGAATGGCGTGAATTTACAAGGTACAGAGGAATAACACCTGAGTCCTCTAGAATGGCAACGCATGAGGGGTATCATGGGCGGAACAGTGTACTCTGTTATGTCCATGGTACTACTCATGTGTATAGGCGACGGTTACCACTTTCCATCAGGTGGGCCGTCAGCTTGTTTGCCATTCTAAGTTGTATAAAAAAAGGTACATATTTAACATGTCTGGGATTATATATTATACATATATAGTTAATAAATTTATTTATTTATTTATTTATTTGACTATTATACTTATATATACTTAATACTCATAATTATTTAACTTAATGTTTTATTCTGTTAATTTTTTTAAATTACACAATACCTACTTGTACAACAGGGGGAGAAAGGGATTGTTAGTAATGGAGACTGAGAATCCCATTGCCAGCAATATACCCAACCAGGTCGACCGCCTCGCGGTTCCCCCTGAAAACTATCATGGTTAATTCCTGATGAATTCATCATGATGGGCTAACTGGCCCTGTTTTCATTCTCATCTATCACCCTTCACTGGTGCTCCGCCAGCGTATCCCGTTAGCGCAGGCGGGGTTACCATACCATTATCACCCATCAAAACAAAAAACTTGTACAACAATTAGTCCGTTACCTTAAGGTTGTCTTTAAAAGATTGCTCTCAGCAATAAGACCGCCTCACTGTACTCATACAACTGTATCGTTACATTTATTGTCTTGCTTATTCCCTATATTGTATAATGCAAATAAAGTACACTCATTCATTCATACCAATGATCTTCCCCCCTCTTTAGGTAACATATGAGTACACCAAACTGGACGGAGCTGACCACCGAGTGAGAAGTTCAGCGTACCGCCCCTTCATATACGAATACACTAAAGACGCGATTGACGGCCAGTGCCACACAGCGGCCGAGACGTATCCCTTCTACTTTCCTATACCGCCGGTATATAATTGTAAATAATTAATTAATCATTTATTTACATAAACATACAGATATATTACCAGAGGGAGACATTGTACAAAAGTCGTTTGCTTGGGCATCACTTTCCCATTCGTGTTTCAACCATGACGCAGTTGTGTTTGCATGGCTGCGTTTCGGTCTGAAAGGTGGAATATGGCGTGAATTTACTGTGTACAGAGGAATAACACCCGAGTCCACAGGAATGGCAACGCATGGGGGGTATCATGGGCGAAACAGTATACTCTGTTATGTCCATGGTACTGCTCGTGTGTATAGGCGACGGTTACCACTTTCCATCAGGTGGGCCGTCAGTTTGTTTGCTATCCTAAGTAGTACAAAAAAAAACAGACAGACGGGAAGCGACTTTGTTCTATACTTCATGCTCGTTCATCCAATCACATGACAGTTTTATTTGGTTTCAGGGCTTATACCTCTTCAACGATTATATATACCACTACAAAGACACCCAACTGCCTGCAGAGGGCGTGTACGGCACGTTCGACATTTACGGGTACCTAAATCATAGACAAGAGAGAGTTGGCTGCATGAAACTCAGAATATCATTTCAAAATAATAAAAAACTAGTTTAATTTTTTTCGATTCAGTCTATTCCAAAGAACAAAGAATTACATAGACGGAATGATAAAATAAAAACTGCAAATCATACGGTTGCCTCTTTTCTTCTTATGCAAATATAATTAGTGGGGGGAAAGGGATTGTTAGTAATGGGACCAAATATCTATAGCAATATATCCTGTCAGGTCGACCTCCACGTGGTTCCCCCTGGAAACCATCGTGAACAATTCTTGTTGAATTCGTCACTATGGGCCAACTGACCTGCCTTTCCATCCTCACCTATCATCCCTCACTGGTGCCCCGCCAGTGTATATCGATAGCGCGGGTGGGGTTACCATTCCATTATCACCCATTAAAAAAAAAATATATATATATATATATATATAATTAGTAAAAAGAGAACGAAAGATATACCATCAATTGCTATTTTTCTCAATTCATAGCAGCAGTGTATAGAAAATCAAATCAATGTTATAAATCTAGCGTACCAACATACAAAATTATAATAATAGTATATTACTGCAGCGGCCAGCAACTGAGGCATTGATGGACGAACGTGCAAATATGGGCCGAGGCGTAGCCGAGGCACACATACGTGAGTCTATTAATGCCTAGTTGTGGCCAAGACTTGTATAATACTTTTGTCATAAAACAATGCGCGGAAATCAAAAACACAATTTTACTTTTTTTTAAGTTTATTGACGAATAACAAACAATAGTAATTTTTCACGCGCCATAATGTTCCTTTGTTTTCTTTTTGCAATAAACAGCTCTCTATTTGCAAGCCAGTTCGAAATTTAAATTAAACCTTTTATTAGTTACCTCCTTGGTAGCCATGTTTCTAAGTAAAAGGTCATTCGATTTTTAAATTACAGGACAGATATGAGTTTACATAGTAATCTATCTGGCCGCAAAACACGACAGATATGGATTTTCATACAACTTTTGCCGGCCGCTGCCCGCATGTATCTGGCCAGTACGGCAATTTTGATTTATCTCTAAGAAGATTGTCAAAAAAGCTCACATTTCCAAGCATGTTTGAGAAAAGCTATTTAACATTACTCCAGATATTTCTGAGCTGTTTATAATAATAATGACTGGTTTTGCCACAATTGATACAGTTTTTTTGTGGAAGACAATTATTTTTTAAGTCGGTTGGAAGCGGCTTCGATCGTGAAAGCTTATTTGGGAGTGTGGTGCGTGTGTAGTGTTCCCGACGCGGCCTGCGTTGTACATTAAGCAAAAAGTGAGCTAATTAATTATGTGGCAGTTAGCTAGCGGTGACTAATGACCCCCGCCGGGCCCGGCCGCCGGCCGCCGGTCGCCGGTCGCCGGCACTGCGAGATTTATGACAAACCTTCGCTTTGTTCTTTCTTATTTTTTGTATTTAGAATACAAAACAAGCTGCCACCCCCCCCCCCTGATGGGGGGAAAGGGGGTTGGTAGTAATGAGAATTAACAATGCACATTGCTAGCAATATACCCTATTAGTTCGACCTCTACGCGGTTCCCCCTGGAAACTATTGTGATAGATTTATTGTTAGTCACGATAGACTATCGGATCTTTTTTTTTTATACAACTTAGAATGGCAAACAAGCTGACGGCCCACCTGATGGTAAGTGGTAACCGTCGCCTATAGACACGAGCAGTACCATGTACATAACAGAGTATACCGTTTCGCCCATGATACCCCCCATGCGTTGCCATTCCTGAGGACTCAGGTGTTATTCCTCTGTACCCAGTAAATTCACGCCATATCCCACCCTTCAAACCTTCACCCTCACCTATCATCCCTCGCTGGTACCCCGCCTCATGCGTCTTGAGAACTGTAGTCTTTAATTCAATGCATGATAATGGAATGGTAACCCCGCCTGTGTTATCGGTATACACTGGCACCGGGGAAGGGATTGTTAAGCCTTAATTTGGCAGAAAAAATCTTATTTTATTTTTTTTTATTTTGTGAATAATATGTTTTAGAATGTAGGACCTTGTAAAAATATCATGTTCTTTCCCTTTTCGAGGAAATACACGCCCTCTGTGGCGGACGTTGCCAAAGTAGGGTAATAAAACAGTATTGTAAAAAAAAAAAAAAATATATAAAAAAAAAAAAAAAAAATTTAATAACTTGGATTTTTGTACAGTTTGTGTTCGGTGTAGCGGACAATATCAAATTAAGGAGTAACAATGCGGGCTACCAGTCCCATTGCTAGCAATATACTCTGTCACCATCCTGAAATCATCGTGGTGAATTCCATCATCACGACCGGCTGACTGACCTGCCTTTTCATTCTCACCTATCATCTTCCACTGGTGCCTCGTCGGTGTATACCGATAGCGTGGATTTCACCCTTAAAAAAACCCATGATATAGGGGGGAAAGGGATTGTTAGCAATGGAGTTTGACAGCCCCATTGCTAGCAATATGCACTATTAGGTCGACCTCCGCGTGGTTCCCCCTGGAAACCATCGTGAACAATTCTTGTTGAATTCGTCACGATGGGCTAACTGACCTGCTTCATCCTCACCTATCATCCTTCACTGGTGCCCCGCCGGTGTATACCGATAGTGCGGGTGGGACTACTATTCCATGGATGATATCCATTAAAAAAAACCCCATGATATAAGAAAAACTTCGCAAAAACATGACAAAGAGTATATGATATGCCTTTTTTAAGGAGCCAGATGCCTGGCAAATATTTCTATAAATATGTTAATATATAACTTCCTTTTGGTTTCATTTCAACCCACTTCAAAAAGAAGTTTCCAATTCGTTTGTAGCTTTTCATGTTTGTGACCCCATAACTCCGTCAGTTTTGACCCTATTTGGAAAAATCTTTTTTCTATCTGAATGGACCTACTCATATGGTACATACAGGCTTTATATTATTCTCAATTTCGTGTATAATATATGTAGTATATGTCATATATGTGTAAGTATATTTGTTATTCATATATATTTATTCGTTTATATATGTAATTTTAGTATGTATGTATATCAATAATTACTAGTACCGCATTCGAGTATTCTGACACTTCCCTATGGTTGACTGGGAGAGAATGCTTTTAGTATTAAGTCCGCCATGTACACATATATGTACTAATGAATAAATAAAATAAAATAAATACTCACAGATTGGTCGTATAGGAATTTTATCAAAATACATTCAGAGGTTCAGTTTTTAAATCTAAATAAATAAATAAATATTATTATTTAACCGGTTTTGTTTGGTTTTGTTTTGTTAAGTCTTTTTTTTTGTGAAACTCAATCTTTAATTACGTGATTAGGGAGCATTTATTTGTAAAAAGATACCCCTTTTAAATATAATATATAATCTATGTAATTTACTTATGTTACTCGCCAATAATGGAATCTATAGGCGAAAGAATTTTTAAAATTGTTTTAAATATTTTTGAGTATATTCGTTGTAAACAAAAAATTTTTTTTTTTATAAAATTTATTTATAAGTTTAGATTTTTAGTAAAATAATAATATATAATATGCACCTATTAATAATTATTATAAACTATATTTCCATCGCTGCTTTCAGAAAATCGAGAAAAATCCATAAGAAATTAAATAAAACACGTAACAGCGACATCTGCTTTGTAATAATAAAATGTTCAGTACTGTATTTTGCCTAAGTCAAGTAGCAGGTCATCAGTTGGTATAGAGCCAATAGATGTCGCTGCTAAAAATTTACAGTAGCGGGCCTAGATGGCGCTATACGCTTTATTACGTTATTGCAGTAAAACTAGATTATAAATAAATATTTGATTAGGTACAGTAATCTTGTACTTTCATGGACAGAATTTCTAATGCGATATAAACCAAGTGTGATAATCACAACTGTGGTAATGAATCTAGAAACTAGTTCAGCAATTTTGCAATAGTTCTATATAATACAGGCATTTAATACGTATATATAAATTTCCGGCTAACTCTCCAATTAATTATCATATATTGACCTTTTAATATATATATAATGATCTTTATTTATTTATTTATATAAAATACGATAAGCAAATACTTGCTGGTTGGAGAGAAAGGGATTGTTAGTAATGGAGACTGAGACTCCCATTGCTAGCAATATACCCAACCAGGTCGATCTCCTCGCGGTTCCCCCTAGAAACTATCATGGTTAATTCCTGATGAATTCATCATGATGGGCTAACTGGCCTGTTTTCATTCTCATCTATCACCCTTCACTGGTGCTCCGCCAGCGTATCCCGTTAGCGCAGGCGGGGTTACCATACCATTTTCACCCATAAAAAAAAATACTTGCTGGTAACGTAATTTTGTACAGATGAAAGAAATTTTAAAATTGATTAAACATTTTTTTTGTATTTATTCAATCCAATACAAACAATCAAATCTTTCCTCTTTATAATTTTAGTTTAGATAAATCTTATGCATAACTATGATTGGCTGAATTTTTGCGAATTGCCCTTTATCACTATATATATATATATATATATATATATATATATATATATATATATATATATATATATATATATATATATATATATATATATATATATATATATATATATATATATATATATATATATATATATATATATACTCGGGTGTATGTATTACTGCGGATTTTCTTGTTTTAACTATCAATAAATAATTTATGACTTTATTTAACAAAAAAAAATTCTTTTAGTTTAAACTTTTATTTTTATACAACTTAGAATGGCGAACAAGCTGACGGCCCACCTGATGAAAAGTGGTAACCGTCGCCTATACACATGAGCGGTACCATGGACATAACAGAGTATACTGTTTCGCCCATGATACCCCCCATGCGTTGCCATTCCTGAGGACTCAGGTGTTATTCCTCCGTACCCTGTAAATTCACGCCATATCCCACCCTTCGAACCGAAACATAGCCATGCAAACACAACTACTTCACGGTAGAAACACGAATGGGACAGTATGTATGTATATAATTTAAAAATTATAGTAAAAATTGTGTATCTTGTTTAACTTCAAATCTGTTGTATACAGTACCTAGTTACATACTTTGAAAATCCACGCGAGCGAGATTGCGGGCATTATTTAGTAAATAAATTGACAAACTGACCTGGTTGAGGGTTGAGCCGCTTCTTCACGTATGCCATGAGCCGCTCACGGATCCCACGATTTTTAGCTTCCGCATTCTGTTAAACAGAAAAAAAATATTATAAACTCTATAGTAATATTATAAAGCAGTGTAGAACGACCCCCACACGGGGAAGGGATTGTTGGTAATGCGGACTACCAGTCCCATTGCTAGCAATATACCCTCACAGGTCGACCACCACGTGGTCCCCCCTGGAAGCCTCTGTTGTAAGTGATTATAGGCAGTGATAGTCACTTACCATCAGGTGAGCCACATACTTCCTTTGTTATAGAAAAAAGATAATAATAAATGGATTAAAAACCCATCGTGCTGAATTCTGTTTCATTACGACAGGCTAACTGGCCTGCTTTCATCCTCACCTATCATCCGTCACTTGTGCCTCGCCAGCATATACCGTTAGCGTAGGCGGGGTTACCATTCCATTATCATCCATTAAAAAAAAAAAAAACTAACACTGCCTAATGGATAATTCGGCAATGCTTAACCGGACACATTGCTAGCAACTGGGCAACTACTCCGCATTGCCAACAATCCCTTTTACACGTATCGTGTTGCACGTATTAATAATTAAATTACATTCTAAGTTACGCGCACCGTGGCGCCATCTACATTAATATTCGAACACTTGAGACAGCGTACGCTGCTCTAATAAAGTTCTCTGCTAATTATAAGCATAAGCTAATTAAGACAAATAAGTCGTATCGTACATAACAAACGAGAATTTTATTTATTCAAAAACAATATAATAGTGCGCCACCTACCCTTTGTCTTTTTCTCAATGTCCTCTACCCAAAGGTAGTCTGGAAGAGATTGCTTAGCGACAAGGCCGCCTTTTGTATCACTTCTCATTAATATTTACCGTATTTGTTATTTCTCTTTTTACTTGGTGCAATAAAGTGTAAATAAATAAAATATATATATTTTTATTCAAAACAATAAATAGATAGATTTTAGTTGCATTAGTTACAGCACACAAATTATAACATATATACAATATACCAGAGGTAATATCAGAGGTATTACGCGCCCTGAAGAAACCTCTTTACCCACTTATTGAAGAACCCTACGCTGATACGCTACGATATAAATACTTCGCTAATAATTTCAATACTTTAAAATTGTTATATTTTTTATGTCACGATGGTGGCAAACAAGCGTACAGCCCGTCTGATGGTAAACGGTCACTGTAGCCTATGGACGCTTGCAACACTAGGGGTGTCAAGTGCGCGTTGCCCACCCTGAACAAACCTTATATACCCTTTTTGAAGAACCCCATACTGTAAACCTCGGCAGGGAGCTCGCTCCACAGCCTGAGCGTCCGTGAAAGAAATTTCCTCTGGAACCGCACTGCACGTGACTATTTAGGAATGTGTGAAGGATAAGCAAGCTGAAGTGGTGATGTGCTGGTCACAAGCTCGAAGAGCCGACAACCGATGGGGAAGGAAGTCTCTAGAGTGGCGACATCGACCCACTAAATGGAGTGATGACTTTAAATGCATTGCAGGGAGTCAATGGATGCAGGTGGCTCAGGACCGTTCCTTATGGCAGTCTATGGTGGAGTCCTATGTCCAGCAGTGGACGGATAGTGGCTGAAATGATGGTGATGGTGATAAAGATTGTGTTCCACGAAAATAAACGACAAAATGAGTTATTTTAATTCCAAAACCAAACTATGGAATTGATTTTATTAAAATTTCTTTAAAACTAATCTGTAAGTATGTCCTTTTAGATAGACAAAGAATTTTCCAAATCGATTCACAACTGACTGAGTTATGGAGGTGACAAACATAACTTTTTGAAGTTGGTTTAACCATTCATTGCGTAATGGTGGAAATTTCCATCATAACATTGAATGTCCAAAAATTATATAAAAGAACATGGTGGGTTTTATTGGAGACAAATCTAGGTGTGGCAGAGATAACAAAAAGGATGTAAGGACTCGCCGTCTTGTCGGGGGCTATCATACGATGTCCTGTGCGGGCGCCTTGATTCCTTCCGTCACTTTATCACCAATGTACACACACAATATTGTCTACAAACACAGCACTTCAAATTATGAAAGCGGTAACCACATTTACAGCACAACAATGTTATTAATATTTTTTTCTACGTAGTTGCTTGTTGATTGCGGACGTCACATTGACGGTTAAGATTGAAGACAGCTCTGACGTTCCTTACAAGCTTCCGGCGTCCTCATTGGTTGTTGTAACTCGGAGGTTGTTTAGTTAATAACTGGTATATTAACTCTTTGTAGGCCCTTTATACAAAAAAAAATGTTTTTTATCTAGCACTCTCGATTGTGACGTTCTTGTACAAATTTAATAAACACATTCAAGATCAAGATTCGACTTTATTTTTGTTCAGAGGTAAAGACGATGACGGTGATTGGAGAGGATAGGATCAAGGGAGATGAATTTAGCACTAGGTACCGATTATTATCATTATTTTTGAACTAGCATACATACCATTATTAATAAGAATAAATTTATAATAATATTATTTAAAAAGTATATAAAATTAAGGAAACGCGCGAACAGAACAAGTTTTACCAGAGGGAGACTTTGTACAGAAGTCGATTGCTTGGGTACCTCTGTCCAATTCGTGTTTCAACCGTGAAGCAGTTGTGTTTGCATGGCTGCGTTTCAGTTTGAAGGGTGTGATATGGCGTGAATTTACAGGGTACAGAGGAATAACACCTGAGTCCTCAGGAATGACAACGCATGGGGAATATCATGGGCGAAACAGTATACTCTGTTATGTGCATGGTACTACTCATATCTATAGGCGACGGTTACCACTTTCCATCAGATGGGCCGTCAGCTTGTTTGGCATTCTAAGTTGTATAAAAAAAAATATTTTCATCTGAAAGGAAATACAGATTGATCTCACAGGAATGTTATTTAAAACTGTTCATTAGTTAAATTTTTAGTTCAAAATAACTGCTTTAGTCATAAGTAAGATTGGTTTATTTTGTGGGACGCAATCTTTAATTAATATACCTTGTATGTAGCCGCGCGGCGCCCGGGGCGGTGAGCTAGTAACGCATATTTTCAATCATGTTATCTCCCATAGACTCCTCGACTTCTTCGCCATCTAATTACCATAGTGCACCGCCTTTTCGTTGTTTCCATCGCATCGTCAAATCGCTGTGAGCTATGATCACTCGATACCGCCCAGACGATCTGACAAAGAGGGCCTACCACTAATATTTATTTTGAAAACTAGCCGTTTCCCGCTGCGCTGCCCTTATATAATATCTTATGAGTTAAAATATAATATATTCGGTTTAAAGGATGGGATATGGTAGTAAATTTACAGGGTACAGAGGAATAACACCTGAGTCCTCAGGAATGGCAACACATGCGGAGTATCATGGGCGAAACAGTATACTCTGTTATGTGCATGGTACTGCTCATGTCTATAGGCGACGGTTACCACTTTCCATCAGGTGGGCCGTCAGCTTGTTTGCCATTCTAAGTTGTATAAAACAAAATAAAACAATGGTAACCCCGCCTGCGCTATCGGTATACACTGGCGGGACACCAGTGAGAGACGATAGGTGACGATGAAAGCAGGTCAGTTAGCTCATCGTGACGAATTCCTCTAGAATTAACCATGATGGTTTCCAGGGGGAACCGCGTGGAGGTCGACCTGACAGAGTGTATTGCTAGCAATGAGGTTGTCAGGAGTTGTCAGATTTTTTAATGGATGATAATGGAATGGTAACCCCGCCTGCGCTATCGGTATAAACTAGCGGGGCACCAGTAAGGGATGATAGGTGAGGATGAAAGCTGGTCAATTTTTAAATGGATGATAATGTAATGGTTACCCCACCCGCGCTATCGGTATACACCGGCGGGGCACCAGTGAAGAATGATAGGTGAAGATGAAACAGGTCAGTTAGCCCACCGTGACGAATTCAACAGGAATTGTTCACGATGGTCTCCAGGGGGAACCACGTGGAGGTCGACCTGATAGGGCATATTGCTAGCAATGTCGAACTCCATTGCTAACAATCCCTTTCCCCCCCGTGCTACCGGGTTAGCGCCTACTACAGTCAACATCCTATGGGACCCTTCACATTTATCACTCTCTGTTTGTACAGAGTAACTTTTAGAATTATATATATATATATATATATCTCATCACCATCACCAGCCGTTAACTGTCCACAGCTGAACATAAGCCTTGGTGGGTTTTACCGATAGTTGCCACGCTCGACAGGCAGTTTGCAAACAGTAGTTAGGCTTTAGAGATGTCTTAAGAAGTACGCTGCTGGCCATCCTTCGTCCTCCCTTAGTCGCCTTTTTTTTAATACAACTTAGAATGGCAAACAAGCTGACGGCCCACCTGATGGAAAGTGGTAACCGTCACCTATAGACATGAGCAGTACCATGGACATAACAAAGTATACTGTTTCGCCCATGATACCTCCCATGCGTTGCCATTCCTGGGGACTCAGGTGTTATTCCTCTGTACCCAGTAAATTCACGCCATATCCCACCCTTCAAACCGAAACACAGCCATGCAAACACAACTGCTTTACGGTTGAAACACGAATGAGACAGAGGTACCCAAGCAATCGGCTTTTGTACAAAGTCTCCCTCTGATGACACCCACGGGCCTATTCTATGCCGGGACCGCATGCCAAATTAATAAATACCCAAATTCAATATTCCTAACGTTATATTTTTGAAAGACGAGTCACGTTAAGGATTCTCATAAATAATACGCGAATAAATAACTCAAACATTATCCGCTGCGGCAAAAATTCGACGCGCGCTCTCTTTAAATTATGATTTGGCCGCGACACGTTCCGCGGCGAAATGAAACGCTGCCGCGTACTGAGCGTGCCGCAGACTGGGTGGTGTGCGGTAGTTCGATTATTTTTTCAACCAATTTTTTTAATCGGTGAAAATTTAATTTCATTTCATTTCATTTCATTTCGCTTCATTTCGCTTCATTTCGCTTCATTTCGCTTCATTTCGCTTCATTTCACTTCATTTCGCTTCATTTCGCTTCATTTCGCTTCATTTCGCTTCATTTCGCTTCATTTCGCTTCATTTCGCTTCATTTCACTTCATTTCATTTACTCTGATTCGATACATATAACACGATTCAAGTGTACACATAGATCTTACACAACGTGATGGCTTAACAACTAGAACATACTAAATCTTAAGATCAGACCAGAAAAATAAAGAAAGCACACTTGTTATTCTGTGAAACAAATAAGTGACAATAGCCACGTAGCAAAGTTAGTTTTTTACATCAAAATAGACAGTACAAAGTGAAATTAAATGTATCCACTTTGTAACACCAACGCCAAGTAATGTGAGGGCAGTTTAGGCAACGCAAAAGTATTATGAATATATTTTATATTTATCGTAACAACTCATAAAGATAAATGGTAGAAGAGAATGGTAATCCTGTTCGCGTAAGTATGACGATTAAAAAGAACTCCTCACCTGGTCGTGCCGCTGCGCCCTCTTGCCCCTGCTGTGCTTCTGGCCAGCCACCACGCCGTACATACTGGCCAGCTCCACCTACACACCCACACACACTGAAAACTACACTTACACTGTCTCTTTAACAGTTCTAACGCTCACTTTACGGATGGCATTATATTTGACTGGCTGTTTTAATGCTCCAACCGATATAAAGGAAAACTTATAAAACAAAGGAAGGAAGGAAAAAATAAAAGAAAAATTCCTTCTTATTTCGAGTTAATACGTAACCTGAGTGGGAAAAGGGATTGTCAGTGATGGAGACAGAATCCCATTGCTAGCAATATACCCAACCAGGTCGACCTCCTGGCGGTTCCCCCTGGAAACTATCATAGTTAATTCATGATGAATTCATCATGATGTGGTAACTGGCCTGTTTTCATTCTCACCTATCACCCTTCACTGGTGCTCCGCCAGCGTATTCCGTTAGCGCAGGCGGGCGTACCATACCATTTTCACCCATAAAAAAAAATACATAGCCTGAATGTATTTTTAAACTGAGCAACTTTTACAGCACAGTTCGTTGACCTATTCATAATTCTATTTAAATAAACTGCAATTAAGCATTTTTAAATAATAACTTTTCATTATTTTAGCGCCCATTTGGAATGCAATTTTAGCTGTAAGCGACGGCCGAGAACTCGACTGTTCTCAAAAAGTTATAATAGAAATAATTTCTCACTATATATATATATATATATATATATATATATATATATATATATTGTTATTGTAAGTAGTTTAATAAATTATATATATTTGATATTTTTGTGCACTACAGGTTTTTGTATTTTATCCACGTAAAAATTATTAATTCCCTCTCGCGCCACCTGCACACTTCTATCTGTTCTCCTTTAACCAAAGGTTGTCTGTAAGAGATCGCCCTAGCGATAACACCGCCTCTTGTACCTTTATGTGTATATTTCAATCTGTATTTATGTTACTGTATTTCACTTGAATTATTCACTTGTCATTGTATATTTTTATTTATGGTGCAATAAAGAGGTCAATAAATAAATAAAAATAAATAAATTATTCAATAAAATTTTCTACATAGATATCTATTTCGATGATAATAATTTAAAATTGCGGTTCACTAAAAAAAACTCGACATCAATTATTTTATTCCATCGTTTTATTTTATTTTTTAAAACTATTGAATCCATTTCAATTAAATTTCCATCAGAAAATATATCTTTCCAGATAAAGAAATAATTTTCCAAATAAGTTTATAAATGACTGAATTATGAGGAAACGAACATAAAACTATATCTCTGAATTTTGAACCTCCGTTTTTTGCAGTTGATTGAATTCCTTAAGTCAATTATTGATTTGCACAAACATAAGTTACATAGATCTTCACCAAAATTGTTAAATACAGTACTAATCATTAATTCAAGAAACACAACTGTTGCTGCACACAACAAATGCACTACCAAAAGGAGACTTTGTACAAAAGTCGTTTACTTGTGTACCTCTGTCACATTCGTGTTTCAACCGTGAAGCTGTTGTATTTGCATGGCTGTGTTTCGGTTTGAAGGGTGCGATATGGCGTGATTGTGCTTAGAAGAATTGTTCAGTATGATGGCCACAGCCACTTTCTATCATCGTACGGCTCGCCATCGACAGGGAGTTTATCTTCATACCCTACAGCCTAAATAGTCTTCTTTCTTCAGGGTCGGCAACGTGCGCGTAATACCTCTGGTATTGCAGGCGTCCATAGGCTACGGTAATCGCTTACCATCAGGAAGGCCGTATGCTTGTTTGCCACCTCAGTGGTATGAAAAAAATATTTTTCACATTTTGATAAAAGTAATACATTCTTTCATCAAGTTCTGCTCAAACCTAGTGTAGGTATGACTCGTTACTCGCCTGTAGTTCGCCAGTACACGCTCTCAAGGGCGTTGAAAATATCTATAATTATCAAGCCAAGATCCAATCGACGCGACCGTATTACGTTGTCTTACCAATATAAAGATTGTGTTTCACAGAAAAAACTGACTTCATTTATGACAAAACCAAAATATTTTGATTTAAAAACTAACTATTCAGGCTGAACCTCCACATATTCCTTGGTTTTGTGGAATTAGAATCAATAGGTACTGTATTAAATTAGCTGTTAGTCTATGATCTGGTCATTATCCGTAAAAAAAATTTGCACATATGATGGGAAAGTCCTTGTCACCCCATTGTCAAACTTGTAATACCATCGATGATGTGCATCATATCCTATTAGAGTGTCGTATTAACACGAAGGAAAGAGAAGAACTCATGCGTCACTTTAACTTAAATAAATTTAATGTTGGTCTTATTCAGTCTATGTTAGCTGAACTTAAACCAGAAATGTTTGAACTTCTCTGTAAACTATCGATGCCCATTAATTCTTCTCTTTCCGCGTCTAGGGAAGGTAGATAAAGTTTTGTTTGAGAAATCAGTTCAGGGTACGATAGGACAGATATACCTGAAGAAGGTAAATGACCTTTAAAAAATTAAAAAAAAAAACTAAACTATTGAATCTATTTTGATAAAATTTCCATGGAACCAATCGGTAAGTATATCTTTTCAAATGGAAAAAGGAATTTTCCAAATCGGTTTACAATTGACGCAGTTATAATTTGGCAAACGTAAAAAAAAATATAAGCGAATTGAGAGCATACTTCTTTTTGAGATCGGTTGAAAATTGTAGCTAAACTATGTAGCTGACGTAAACGTTGTTTTACCATATTACATTATTTCGAGAACTATACATGAAAATTTATCGTACTACAATTATTATATTCGATTGCCGTCTTGTAACCCTATTGCGGCATATAAAAATCGCGATTAAAAAACAGGGGTTGATCGTAAAACGGTGAAAATTTGAAGTTGTATGTATTTTTCAATGCTAAATCATAATAAACTAATTTTTTTTTTTGTTAAAAAGATTAAATAAAATATATTTAGGAGTGGGTCACCCTTATCATTGAGGGGTATGAAAAATAGATGTTGGCCGATTCTCAGACGTAGCCGATATGCGCACAAAATTTCATAAAAATCGGTAAAGTCATTTCGGAGGAGTTTGGTAACAAACACCGCGATTCGAGAGTTGTATATATTAGATTTATTTATTATATTTATTTATTTTATTTGTGGTGTAGTTAAATTTGATAGTTCTCCTACTATTAGGTGTAACAGACGCTTCCACTGTACTTACTATATTTGAGAAATAATTAATTATTTTAAAACAACAAACAACTACTGCCAGCCGCCTGGAATGGCGTCTCGCTTGTGCCACAGACAAAACTATAACAGTACCTAAATTATAATGGTACGGTCAGCATCAAAATTCGATGTACTTTAATACTTCGTCACGTATCATTTATTTATTTATTTAACTCTTTATTGTAACATAAATAAAAATATACAATGACAAGTGAATAATTCAAGTGAAATACAGTAACATAAATACAGATTGAAATATACACATAAAGGTACAAGAGGCGGTGTTATCGCTAGGGCGATCTCTTACAGACAACATTTGATTGTTTGCCATTCTAAGTTATATAAAAAAAATATAAAAAAAAAGGAATATGCTCATTTCTTAAAGGTTATGATGTCCTATCGGTTCGGAAATACTGCTGCTGGATATTGTCTTCAAAGCGCGGTTGTGCGTGGGAGAAAGTGACTTGAAAAACGCACGGTGGAGGACCGCCACTCGTCCAGATGGTTAAAATGAAACTTTAGTTTATGGCGGGTTGTGCTGTAGCGAAAATCAGCAGCAGGTAATCCGAACAATTGCTCAAGACACTCCCCATGGTAAATTCGATAAAAAAATGTGATGGGAGATAAAGAGAAATCTGTTAGTATTCTATGGTTATTGTTGACCGTACCTGTTTGAGGCACTGTGCTGTGGCGTAGCCAAGCAATTCCGGTGTTCTTGTAAGAGTAAGGAACGTTCCAGCGACGCTTAAGAGATAGTTTTTAAAATTATAACATTTCGTGGACTGTGTGTGTTTTGGTGTAATTAAAAAATAACTAAAAGTGTTTAAGATTTTTTAATATAATAATCTGTAATGCTGAATTTTATTAATGTATTAACAATTAAAAATGCAACAACATTATAAATTTGTATTACTTTTAAACAATATTATTATTATGTAAAACAAATATATATAAAAAAAAAAAAACTTAGAATGGCAAACAAGCTGATCGCCCCCCTGATGGAAAGTGGTAACCGTCGCCTATAAACACGAGCAGTACCATGGACATAACAGAATGTACTGTTTCGCCCATGATACCCCCCATGCGTTGCCATTCCTGAGGACTCAGGTGTTATTCCTCTGTACCCAGTAAATTCACGCCATATCCCACCCTTCAAACCGAAACACAGCCATGCAAACACAACTGCTTCACGGTAGAAACATATAACCGTAAAGCTATTGTTTACGCTGTCGAGTTTAGCTTAGATACTGTTTACAATACTATAACTACAAACATATCCTATCTAGGACATAAATTTATAATCTGTGTACACAGGATAATTTAAACACCAATAAAGGCGGGAAATTATATGGTAGGATAGTTAAATACACTGTTAGGTACATATCTTACAGGTTAAATAGATAGTACTCTTTATAGTGCTTACTCTGTGGATACTATCTTGTGTCATTTTAAATCTAAGAACAAGTTCTTTATTGCAATTAAAACATAGAGTAATAACAGTTAGGGTATATTGATAGTAATGACAATGTTAGACCCAATTACTAACAATTCTTTTTCCCTTCATAAAGTTCTTTTTTTTTATGGATAAAAATGGTATGGTAACCTCGCCTGCGCTAACGGAATACGCTGGCGGAGCACCAGTGAAGGGTGATAGATGAGAATGAAAACAGGCCAGTTAGCCTATCATGATGAATTCATCAGGAATTAACTGTGATAGTTTCCAGGGAGAACCGCGAGGAGGTCGACTTGGTTGGGTATATTGTTAGCAATAGGATTCTCAATCTCCATTACTAAAAATCCCTTTCCCCCCATAAAGATGTTTCGTTGTATGTTACTAACCTTAAATGAAACATACAGGATACTTTGTATTCTAATTCAAGCGAGCAATACCGCGGGATATAGTTAGGTTATATAAATCGTTAATCCCAATTTCACTATCTTTTTAGAATTCCGTAGGAAAATAACTATAACGGAACCTCTTAATTATTGCGTATAATAGGTATGTTTTTTTACACCACTGGTGTGGCAAACAAGCATACGGCCCCCCTGATGGTATGTGGTTACCGTAGCCTATGAACGGCTGCAATACCATGAACATTACGCGTGCGTTACCGACCCTAAATAAACCTTTTTATCCCTTTTTTTTAAGAACCCCACGCTGTAGTCTCTTAGAAAACCCTTTACTAACTTATTATTGTATATTTTATACCTATTACATACATACATACATATCTGTCACGCCTGTCTCCCATTAGGGTAGGCAGAAACAATGGAACGCCAAATGCTTCGATTCAAACAAACCTCTTTCGCTTCCTCCACATTCATCAGTCTTGTCATACACGCTCGCCGGTTACCTATTACCTTCAGATATTTATTCTTTAATCTTTATTGTACACAAAAGCTTATTGAAATGTAAAAACAAACATAATAGTGCACAATGGCGAGGATATCTCCAATAGAGATTTCTTCCAGCAAACCTAATATGAGAAAACTGACAGTTCATTAGTGGTTACAGTCACACATGTGTACCGATCGACTTAAATGTCATAGTTACAAATAAATAAATAAAATGTTAAAATACCATAAAAATTAACGAATCTTAAAAAGGAGAGACAAAGAGTACTGGAATGAGTAGATATGTCTGTGACAACGTTACGGTAACCATAGCCTGTCAAAAATTAACTTAAAACCATAGAAAGTTAAACTTTGTACCTTTGCCTTTCCCGTTATGGATAAACTATTAATAGGTACAACAATTTTTTTTTTATTTTTTTTTTTTTAATTTCATCGCATCTACAACTGTCGCAAAGTCGCAACTAAGATATCCGCTCTAGAAGTTTCCGCGCTAATACGATTTGAATTTCGATTAAAAAGATATTATTTTGCTGTTTTGAATTTTTTAATTATTTAATGTACATAATACAAAAACTTATTTACGTACTTTTAGAACGCTATCATTTTGTGATCCGAGCATAAATTTTAACGCGTATTAAAAAAAAATTATCGAAAATGTATCTGTTGGTTTCCTTTGTGTATTATAAATTAAAAATAAAATTTAAAATATTTGAATTTATTAAATTCGTAGTTTTCTTTTTTTTAATTTTCAATTACCTACTTCTCTTAAGCGCAATGATTAATCTGTACAAATTAATGTTGCCACATTAAAAAATAACGGAATACCAATCAATAGATATCACTGGCTGCGGTTTCCCGCGCTCTACGCGTAAGCGCGCGCTTACACACTGACCGTTCCATTGCAGCATCCCGCAATGGATACGTGAAGTGGAAACACACGGACATATATTGTAGCTTAAATTATAAGAACGGTTCGTATTGATACCTGCTGCTTATTTTCGCCACAGTACAACCCGCCATAAACTAAAACTTCATCCCAATCATCTGGACGAGTGGCGGTCCTCCACCGTGCGTTTTTCAAGGCACTTTCTTCCACGAACAACCACTCTTTGGAATCAACTTCCAGCAGCAGTATTTCCGAACCGATACGACAACATAACCTTCAAGAAAAGAGCATATCACTTTTTAAAAGGCCGGCAGCACACCTGCAATGCCGCTGGTGTTGTGGGTGATCATGGGCGGCGGTAGTCACTTACCATCAGGTGAGCCGCATTCTCGTTTGCCCCCTGTGTTGTGAAAAAAGTATATATATTTTTTTATACAACTTAGAATGGCAAACAAGCTGATGGCCCACCTGATGGAAGGTTGCCATTCAGGAATGGAAAGGAATGGTACAGAGGAATAACACCTGAGTCCTCAGGAGGGCTCAGGTGTTATTCCTCTGTACCCTCTAAATTCACGCCATATCCCACTCTTTAAACCAAAACACAGCCATGCAAACACAACTGCTTTACGGTTGAAACACGAATGGGACAGAGGTACCCAAGCAAACGACTTTTGTACAAAAGTCACCCTCTGGTGAAAATATCATCACATTGAGTTAAATACGTCATTCGATAAAGGTTTAAAAAACGTCAATGAAAATGTTTAAATCATTCACTCCTTTCTATCGCGTAGATGTCATAAGGCGATTAAAGGAAACGGACTTTTAAAGAGTTTTTTTTTAATAGATAGAGTAATTCAAGAGGAAGGTTTATATATATAATACATGCATAATATTGTAGAGAAACACTGATAAATTTAGAGGTTTCTAATGTGATGTGATGTAACATGAACCCATGCGAAGCCGGAGCGGGTCACTAGTAACATATAATAATAATCCACGCGGGCAAAAACGTTGGAAACAGCAAAAAATTTTATATACTTATGAGCACGTTACCGCTCCAAATACCATCCCGTGTGTACACACTGTACAGTAACAAGGCACAGCACGTTAATAAAACTTATTGCGAGGCAGCAAGGTTCAATTTTGAACTGAAACTGTTTATTCTTGCAGGATATAATGAACACGGCTCCTGGGAGCGTGGTGCGATAAAAACCATTGTGCTCAAGTTACGTACATAAGCGAAGTGTGACTAGTTTTACCCGACTGCGACGCGGGAAGAGGTGTGCTGTGTTTCCACGAGACTTTAATAAGGAGTACTATGGACGACACAGTGTGTTCTTGTGTGCCCATGGAACTACTCATACTAGAGGGAGACTGTATAAAAGTCGTCCGCTTGGGTACCTCTGTCCCATTCGTGTTTCTACCGTGAAGCAGTTGTGTTTGCATGGCTGTGTTTCGGTTTGAAGGGTGGGATATGGCGTGAATTTACAGGGTACAGAGGAATAACACCTGAGTCCTCAGGAATGGCAACGCATGGGGGGTATCATGGGCGAAATAGTGTACTCTGTTATATCCATGGTACTGCTCATGTCTATAGGCGACGGTTACCACTTTCCATCCTGAGCCCCGCTGCCATTGCTAGCCAATGAGATTTATTATTTATATTCCAGCCGTTAACTGTCCAGTGCTGAAAATAAGCCTTCCGCATTACGGAAATTTTTCTAGTAGTTGCCATGCTTAGCAGGCGGATTGGCAATCGCAGTTAGGCTTTAGAGATGTTTTAAATGGGACGCTGCTGCCCATCCCTCGCGCTCCCTTAGTCGTCTCTTACGACACCCACGGGAAAGGAAGGGGTGGTCCATTCTATGGCGGGACCACACGGTGATAGCAATGGGATTGCTCATCTCCATTACTAACAATCCCTCCCCGGGGAAAGGGATTGTTAGCAATGGAGTTTGACAGCCACATTGTTAGCAATATGCCTTATTAGGTCGACCTGCACGTGGTTCCCCCTGGAAACCATCGTGAACAATTCATGTTGAATTCGTCACGACGGGCTAACTGACCTGCTTCATCCTCACCTATCATCCTTCACTGGTGCCCCACCGGTTAATACCGATAGCGCAGGTGGGGTTACCATTCCATTATCATCCATTAAAAAAAACCCTCCTTCCCCCCTCCCAATGTGGTGTACGCTTCATCCTGATACGCCATCTAGTGGTCCACTCTATTCGTTTACTTACTTCTGTAATCCACGACGGACAAAGCAGCGGGCTAAAAGCTAGTATATCAATAAACGTGTCCACCCCATCAAACCACAATTCGAAAAGTCATTCTTTGCCCTTTTTTTGTCTTTTTTGCAGTGACCTGGAGGGTCTACCATGAGTTTGTCTTACATTATATAGACAGAGAATAGATTTGATCGTTTGTTTGTTATAGATAAAGTTAAAAACTTGTATGTATGTATATGTATTTGTATATGTGTTAGTATGTATATAATCTTATATATAAAATTCTCGTGTCGCGGTGTTTGTTACCAAACTCCTCCGAAACGGCTTTACCGATTTTTATGAAATTTTGTGTGCATATTGGGCAGGTCTGAGAATCGGCCGACATCTATTTTTCATACCCCTCAATGACAAGGGTGACCGTCCCCAAAAAAAAAAAATATTTTTTGACAAATTTTTCTATTTTTATTTTATTATGATTTAGCATTGAAAAATACATACAACCTCAAATTTTCACCGTTTCATGATCAACCCCTGTTTTTCGCGCTCTTATATAGCGCAATATGGTTGCAAGATGGCAATCGAATATAATAATTGTAGTACGATAAATTTTCATGTATAGTTCTCGAAATAATGTAATATGGTAAAACAACGTTTGCCGAGTCAGCTAGTATATATATATATATATATATATATATATATATATATATATATATATATATATATATATATATGTGTGTGTGTGTGTGTGTAGTGTGTATGTATATAAATATAATAATGAATAGGGATAATATTTATATTATTACACGTATCACATCTCCCATATTTAGAACTAACGGCATGGGAGGTATCACAGGCATCATTATACTCTGTTATGTCCACGGTACTGCTCATGTCTACAGGCGACGGTTACCACTTTCCATCAGGTGGGCCGTCAGCTTGTTTGCCATTCTAAGTTGTATAAAAAAAAACATGAAATAAAATTCCGTTTTTTTTGTTCGTACCAAAATCGGTCCAGGAAATGGAGCTTCGCATTTCATTCGTCATAAATTCTACAATAACAGTCCAAAGGAACGTTATTTTAGCATTTTTTTTTTTTTTATATTTATAAATGGTATGCATCATGTTTTTTTTTCTTTTTTTTTACAACGCAGTAGGCAAACGAGCATGCGTCTCACCTGATGGTAAGTGACTACCGCCGCCCATGATCACCCACAACACCAGCGGCATTGCAGGTGTGCTGCCGGCCTTTTAAAAAGGAATATACTCTTTTCTTGAAGGTTATGTTGTCGTATCGGTTCGGAAATACTGCTGCTGGAAGTTGATTCCAACAATTTGTAATTTTAACATCGAATTTGCGTTTCGTTCGGACCCGAAAATTCGGAAAACATATCATGGTAGACCCTCTGCACACAATAAAGTCCCATTATAATTGATCTCTCTGCGGGTAATGCGGTATCATTCGAACAACAATGGCCTGCAGTGGTTAGCTAAATCGATTAACAATCAAGTGGACTCCTATATGGGTATATTTAGAGAGACCAGTTAATGGTTTTCACGATGCGACCTTAAAATGACTTAATATTGACGTCATTACACCGTCACCGTACGACCTTAGGGTTCTTCAAAGGGGGGGGGGGGGGGGGGGTAAAGAGGTTTCTTCAGAGTGGGCAACGCGCGCGTAATACCTCTGGTATTGCAGGCGTTCATAGGCTGCGGTAACCGCTTACCATCAGGTGGGCCGTATGCTTGTTTGCCACCTCAGTGGTATAAAAAAAACCTAGTATACTGAATTTATTTATCAAGGCACACAAACAGTACATATATCTTTTTTTTTGTAATGGACGATAATGGAATGGTAACCCCGCCTGCACTATCGGTATACACCGGCGGGGCACCGGTGAGGGATGATAGGTGAGGATGAAAAGGCAGGTCGGTTAGCCCATCGTGATGAATACACTTGGAATTCAGCACGATGGTTTCCAGAGGGAACCGCGGGGAGGTCGACCTGGTTGGGTACATTGCTAACAATAGGGTCCTTAGTCTCCATTACTAACAATCCCGTCCCCCCACAGTACTTGTGTCATCTTCAAATACATATACAAAAAAAATTGCCAGTAGTTGCCACGCCTGGCAACGGATTGACCACAGTTAGGCTTTGGAGATGTTTTAACAGGGCCACTGCTGCCCATCCATCCATATATATATATATATATATATATATATATATATATATATATATATATATATATATATATATATATATATATATATATATATATATGAAATAGATTTAAAAAAAATCTATATAAAATTATATCAGACATAATTACCAATAAAAGGCGAGCGTAACATTTATAATTTGACTGGCGTACTTTAACTGCTTAATTAACTCACACACAGTACATAATATCGTTTTCTCAAACATGCTTGGAAATATAAGCATTATTTTGACAATCTTCTTAGAGATAAATCAAAATTGCCGTACTGGCCAGATACACGCGGGCAGCGGCCGGCAAAAGTTGTATGAAAATCCATATCTGTCGTGTTTTGCGGCCAGATAAATTACTATGTAAACTCATATCTGTCCTGCAATTTAAAAATGGAATGACCTTTAACTTCGAAACACGGCTACCAAGGAGTTAACTACTACAAGGTTTTATTTAAATTTCGAACTGGCTTGGAAATAGAAAGCTGTTTATTGAAAAAAAAATACAAAGGAACATTATGGCGCGTGAAAAATTATTATTGTTAGTTATTCGTCATTGAACTTAAAAAGTAAAATTGTGTTTTTGATTTCCGCGCATCGTTTGAGAAAAGTACTATACAAGCCTCGGCCATAACTAGGCATTGATGGACTCACGTATGTGTGCCCCGGCTACGCCTCGGCCCACATTTGCACGTTCGTCCATCAATGCCTCAGTTGCTGGCCGCTGCAGTAATGTACTAATTAATTCGATAGTTACTTCCTTAATTATACAATACTATCATACCTACTTGTACAACAATTACTCCATTACTCTAAAGTTGTCTTGAAGAGATTGCTCTCAGCAATAAGACCGCCTCACTGTACATCTACAACTGTATCGTTACATTTATTAATTGTCTTGCTCATTACCTATATTGTATAATGCAAATAAAGTATACTTGTTCATTCATAATATAAATATGTGTCAATAAAAACTTCCCAAACTCGACACACCGGCCGCCATGTTAATTTGCCGTAACACGAGCACGGGCGCGCCCGCGGGACCCCTTGTGGAAGTTGGAAACTACCGCGCTCAAACTTACTTTATCTACTTATACCATACAGTATTATAAACTCTTTACTAACACTGTATATATTCCTTTTTAAAAGGCCGGCAGCACACCTGCAATGCCGCTGGTGTTGTGGGTGATCATGGGCGGCCGTCACTTACCATCAAGTGATCCGCATACACGTTTGCCCCCTGTGTTGTAAAAAAAAAAATAACAAAAAAAACTTATTATTTTAAATCTATAGCCGTCATTCTTTTAATGTATATAATATCGAATGTTATGCAGAGCAGTTGTTGGAGCGAATTTAATGCTGTTTAATGTAATAGCGGCCCGTCCCGGCTTCGCACGGGTGGACATTTTTACGACATTTTAAAAAGTAGTTACTATGACATAACTATAATAGTTGGACATATATTGGTATTTTCTTCAATATTGTAGAACACACTTTTGTTCTATCACCAATAGTTTCCGCAGCGCACGCGACCAAAGATATTTTATAGCATTTTTTTTACACCTCGAGTTACGTTACTAAAGTTTTAGTAAGGATCCCTAATCTTTTCTAGCAATAAATGTAGCCTATGTCACTCAGGGTGAATGTAGCTTTCTAACGGTGAAAGAATTTTTGAAATCGACAAAGTAGTTTTTGAGTTTATTCATTACAAACATACATACACACAAAAATACAAATCTTTCCTCTTTATAATATTAGTGTAGATGTAGATTTATTTTACTAATGTATTAATCTGTAATCTATTGCCTTGCTATAAATAAAGAACTATAATTTTGTTATAACTCTTCGTCTATATCAGGGGGTCTCCAAACTTTGAAGCCATAATATTTTTTTCAGTATGTTCCAAGAGCCAAAATAGTTTTAAAAATAATGGATATAGTAACAACTATAAGACATTGAATGTCGCGGGCCGGCTTTGGTCCGCGGGTCGTACTTTACAGACCCCTGATCTATACAATAAAAGCGTATATTTCCTATTTTTTTCTCTGCAAAAAAACTAACTTTAAATAAAAAAAAATGAAAATGTGTATTTGAATTTTAAACGAGGAATCGTGTATTTACTTAGGTGTAAATTTTAATTCAAAATAAGCATTTTTTAGTCTACAAAGATAAATGACTGTATTTTTTCGTTACAAAATTAAAATGGGACCAACACAGGAGACCAATAGAGGTTCTATTGATCGCAAAAAAAAATTATACAAATCGATTCGGTAATGACGACGTAATTGTCTATCGTATCAAATCTCCTTCTTTGAAAATCGTTTAAAAAATAACTTACCGCCAGTATTTGACTGATCATTTATAATACTCGACGCTCCATCTAAATATTAATGAGCTAGAGGTAATTAAAATATAAATAATTAAACATTTAAAATTTTTATTTTTTTAAACATTAGATAAAATTGAACGCAACTAATTTACATTTTTTAATAATGCAACATCAGTAGCTGTCAAAAAACTGTCAAACCAAAAGTCAAAACAAAACATGACATTTCTTCTATGCCATGAGAAAATTCTTATCTTTTAATAAAATTAATTAATTTCTTTCACAATAAATGGCTTTAAAATTACGATAATGTCTTTTCCGAAAATAGAGGGTTATGTGGTGACCGAGAAACTCGGTTCGGGGAGCTATTCCACTGTATACAAAGCTTATACGAAGGTTTGTTCAAACCACAATCTATTTCGACACTGTTTACTATTTATTTTAAGATTATAACATTAATATACCAGTTAAAAAAATAATTAAGTCTTCTGTACACACTTTAAAATTGTAGTTATGTAATTATCAAGTCGATTATTCTGAGAAATTAGCACTTACATTAAAGTCTTTTGTTTCCTTTTTTTGTATTTTCTTATGTACACTGGTTTAAAAAAATACTATTTTGGTCAACTAGGGTATTGGATTAATATATAATTTTGTTTTAAGCAGGGTTGCTCACTGGCTCTTGTTTTGGTATTTTTTTTTAATAAGAGAAAATACCCTCCATGTGAAGAAGTCACTAGTCCCCAAAAAAGAGAGGGATGATAGGTGGGGATAAAGTCAGTTAACTGATCGTGATGAATTCAACAATAATCAACCACCTACAATTCCAGAGGGAACTGCATGAAGGTTGACCCAATAGGATATATTGCCAGCAATGGGCTTGCTAGTCCCCATTACTAACAATTCCACCCCCCTCCCCCCCTGTTTTCATTTTCATCTATCACCCTTCACTGGTGCTCCGCCAGCGTATCCCGTTAGCGCAGGCGGGGTTATCATATCATTTTTACCCATCAAAAAAAAAAAAAATAGGATATTAGTAATTAGTAGCCTCCATTACTTTTCAATTCCTTTTGCTCTCAAATATTGTATGGTTATTGCGTAGGTTGGTGCCCGCTCAGTAGTGGCGGTGAAATGTGTTGACAAGTGCAAGGTGAAGCAGTCGGGCACGGCGGTGGACAACCTCATCACGGAGATACGCCTGCTGAAGACCCTCGCGCACCCGCACATCGTGCAGATGAAGGAGTTCACATGGGACGACAAGTTGGTGCACTTATATTTACGGACGTTTAAAAGAAATAGATATAAAATTAAAAACAAGTCAATTTTATTACACAAATAAAAAATACTGTCTTATAAGTCATGGCAAAACCAGTTTGTTTTGTTTTAAAAACGAGGCTATTGAACTGCTTTTGAGAAAATTTCTATCAATCTATCAATCAATTTATCAATTGACTTCAAAAAGAAGGAGTTCTTAATTAGATTGTTTTTTTAATGTGTGCGGCACCGGTGGGGCACCAGTGAGGGACGATAGGTGAGGATGAAGCAGGTCAGTCAGGTCAGTTTTCCAGGAATACTGTTTATATACATATATACATACAACAAAATTACAAAACAATTCAAACATATTTAGAACTTGCTTCTTTTGAAAGCTTAAAAGTAAAGAAAATTAATTTTTTTTATTGAAAATAATTGTTTAAATAGAAAGAGTGGCTTGATGATTCACAAACTGATGATGTTTCAGAAACATCTACATTATAATGGAGTATTGCTGCGGCGGCGACCTCTCCAAATACATACACCGATATGGCAGGGTGCCGGAAATGCAGGTGACTACCTTGTTTCCTTTTTCTTATTGCACAACATCTGTACCACATGAATGTCCACACTATTCTGAGCTAACGTAGACTACATGGTCTATGAATACGATCAACAGAGAAAAGAGAAAAACGTCTGTGTGTGTGTGTGTGTGTGTGTGTGTGTGTGTGTGTGTGTGTGTGTGTGTGTGTGTGTGTGTGTGTGTGTGTGTGTGTGTGTGTGTGTGTGTTTTGTGTGTGTGTGTGTGTGTGTGTGTGTGTGTGTGTGTGTGTGTGTGTGTGTGTGTGTGTGTGTGTGTGTGTGTGTGTGTGTGTGTGTGTGTGTGTGTGTGTGTGTGTGTGTGTGTGTGTGTGTGTGTGTGTGTGTGTGTGTGTGTGTGTGTTGTGTGTGTGTGTGTGTGTGTGTGTGTGTGTGTGTGTGTGTGTGTGTGTGCGCGTGTGTGTGTACAACAGTATTTTCATGTATATGATTAACAGCAGCATGTTTTCAGTATCGTCATAATTCACGTCACGTCATACATAACAGAAGCGACATATTGTTTTCACTTGTCTCCTCTTGTTGTGTCCAGGTGTTATACTTCCTGCAGCAGTTGGCGTCTGCGCTCAAGTTTCTCAGAGAAAAAGGTGAACTGTACTTAATTTATTTACTAGCATCCCGTCCCGGCTTCGCACGGCTGGACATTTTTACAACATTTTAAAAAGTGGTTATTGTGACATAACGATAATAGCCGGACATATAGTATCGCGAAGTTTTTTGTAGTTATTGATATTTTCTTCAATATTGTAGAACATACTTTTGTTCTATCACCAATAGTTTCCGCAGCGCACGCGACCAAAGATATTTTATAGCATTTTTTTAATACCTTGAGTTACGTTATTAAAGTTTTAGTAATCTTTTCTAGCAATAAATATAGCCTATGTCACTCAGGGTGAATGTAGCTTTCTAATGGTGAAAGAATTTTTGAAATCGGCAAAAAAATATTCATTACAAACATACATACACACAAAAATACAAATCTTTCCTCTTTATAATATTAATGCAGATTTATTTTATTATTATAATATATGTGTATATTCAATTTTATAATGTTAGTTACAAACAAACAGACTGTAACATTTATAGTATTAGTAAGGTTTTATTTCTCTATTGAAATGTGGTAAAATAAAAAAAAATATATCCATTTTGAAACTCGACTACATATCTTTTCCGCAGGCGTCGTGCACATGGATCTCAAGCCTCACAACCTGTTGCTACACAAGGGATCGGACGGGAAATACATACTGAAAGTTGCCGATTTTGGGTGAGTATAGCGAACAGCTCCCGTCATTATATTGAACAATTGGCAACCGCAGTTAGGCTTTGGAGATGTCTTAAGAGGGACGCAGCTGCCTATCTCTCGCCTTAGTCCACCTTCACGACACCCACGGGAAAAGAAGGGGGGGGCCTAATCTATGGTGGGACTATACAGCCACTATAATTAGCATTGAGTTTTATTTATATGTATTTATTATACAAGAACAGAGTTGGTCAAGCAAACTCCCCTATCTTTTGCATTGAAACTAATCAATGGTATTTTGGAACGGTATCTGAACAAACCCTTGTTAACATGCGTTTAGTTACGTTCTAATTTAGTTTCCAATAAATAAATACATCCTTGAACCGTACCAGATGAGATTTATTGTAATTATGCAATATACTCTCGAGCTTATATAGACAGGTGAGAAATCTTAATATCGCGTTGTAGCACACACATACTAAAATAACAACTCCATCTAGTGGTCAACGTGAGGATTATTTCTGTTGTTGCCATGGTTACAGCGTTTAACTCAATACGGATCATACAGTATCCATAACTGGATGTCTTGAATGCTGGTACTTGCTGGAGTCTCGTCGAGTGACCACATAGTGTTTGTGTGCAGAAATTTAGAATTTTTTAATATTTTTTTTTCTTATACAACTAAGAATGGCAAACATGCTGACGGCCCACCTGATGGAAAGTGGCAACTGTCGCCTATAGACATGAGCAGTACCGTGGACATAACAGAGTATACTGTTTCGCCCATGATACCCCCCATGCGTTGCCATTCCTGAGGACTCAGGTGTTATTCCCCTGTACTCAGTAAACTCACGCCATATCCCACCCTTCAAACCGAAACACAGCCATGCAAACACAACTGCTTCACGGTTGAAACACGATGAAATATATGTTATTGTACTGATGGTTCCCTGGGTGAGAGTATTGGAAGACTGTAAAGCTCACCCAGTAGATGTAATGTAATAAATAAATAAATAATTAAATGTGAAATAAGGAAGCAATATTAAAGGAAGCGTTTCCCAGTTTCGCGCAGCACCTGTCGCTAGAGGGCGCGCGGTCGGTCCGCGGGTCGCCGCTGTACATGGCGCCCGAGATGCTCGCCGGCCGCTACGACGCCCGCGTCGACCTCTGGAGCGTCGGTGAGTCGCACGCACACGACGGCAAACCAGCTGCCGGCCCGCCTCGTCCACACTGCCACTCGTGAACCCTCGCCTGTAGGGGGGAAGGGATTGTTAGTAATGGCAATCGCTGACAATATACCTTGTCAGGTCGACCTCCACGCGGTACCACATGGAAACTATCGTGTCTAATTTATCGTTGAATTCGTCACGATGGGCCAACTGACCTGCCTTTCCATCCTCACCTATCATCCTTCACTGGTGCCCCGCCAGTGTATACCGATTATCACCCATTAAAAAAATACCGTTGCCTATAGACATGAACAGCACCATGGATGTGTCAGAGTAAACTGTACCTGCGTTCTGTACCTCTCATGCGTTACCATTCAGACTACAAGTCTGAATTGTTATAATAATTATAGTACAATTTTGATTTTCCGAATCAAATAAAATCAGCGGTGTTCCGGATAATCGAAAACCCGGATAATCAATCTCAAAGCCAAATAAAACAATACGTAATTAAATTTTAATATTTTTTTTTTTTATTATGTCATACGTGATTTAGACAATACGATATAAAAAAAAAATACGAGATATAAAGATAATACCATTTATATAATATAATACCATAATACCACTTCTAAATTGTTAACTAGAGCCGTGAATAATAAGTCCGGATAATCGAATATCCGGATAATGGAGATTGTACGATATGTAGCTGTACTGTAAGCAAACTAGCTATATTGCTTACTCCGTCCAGTGCGAAGGGATATAATAAGCTACAATGATAATTTATATAGTATAATATATGTATGTATGTATTGTATGTTTATATTTTACGAATATATCAAGTATTGCTTCATTTTTTTGATGAACTACTACTTATTTTTATGATGGACTCACGTATGTGTGCCTCGGCTACGCGTCGGCCCACATTTGCACGTTCGTCCATCAATGCCTCAGTTGCTGGCCGTCGCAGTAATGTACTATAATATTATTATTATTAGTATAATAAATTATCTATTATCGCACAATGGATTAGCGTATGTATGTTCACCAATAGTTTCGGTCGCCGTCCGCCAGGTGTCATCATGTACGAGTGCCTGTTCGGCCGCGCGCCGTACTCGTCCGCCACGCTGCGGGAGCTCGTCGACAAGATACAGCGGAAAGCGCCCATAGAGGTCAGTGCAGTAGCGTTAGAACCGACCACAATAACATTACAACACATTACGTTGTACTTTTTTTTATGTTTGTCACCTCAGTGTTTTTTTTTTTTTGATGGGTGAAAATGGTATGGTAACCCCGCCTGCGCTAACGGGATACGCTGGCGGAGCACCAGTGAAGGGTGATAGATGAGAATGAAAACAGGCCAGTTAGCCCATCGTGATGAATTCGTCAGGAATTAACCATGATAGTTTCCAAGGGGAACCGCGAGGAGGTCGACCTGGTTGGGTATATTGCTAGCAATGGGATTCTCAGTCTCCATTACTAACAATCCCTTTACCGTCTAACTCCATCAGTTGCAGACCTATTTGAAAAATTCCCTTTTTGTCTAAAAAGATATATTTACAGATTGGCCCTATAGATTTTAAAAAAATCGATACAGTAGTTTGATCTTTAAATTGAAATAACTGGTTTTGCTACTACTTTGTACAAAAGTCAATTGCTTGGGTACCTCTGTCCCAGACTAAAATTTTATCCCAACCATCTGGACGAGTGGCGGTCCTCCACCGTGCGTTTTTCAAGGCACTTTCTCCCACGCACAACCACTCTTTGGAATCAACTTGCAGCAGCACTATTTCCGAACCGATACGGCAACATAACCTTAAAAAAAAGAGCATATTCCTTTTTAAGAGGCCGGCAGCACACCTGCAATGCCGCTGGTGTTGTGGGTGATCATGGGCGGCGGTAGTCACTTACCATCAGGTGAGCCGCATGCTCGTTTGCCCTGTGTTTAAAAAAAAAACCGTGTTACTACCGTGAAGCAGTTATGTTTGCATGGCTGTGTTTCGGTTTGAAGGGCGGGATATGGCGTGAATTTACTGGGTACAGAGGAATAACACCTAAGTCCTCAGGAATGGCAACGCATGGGGGGTATCATGGGCGAAACAGTACACTCTGTTATGTCCACGGTACTGCTCATGTGTATAGGCGACGGTTACCACTTTCCATCAGGTGGGCCGTCAGCTGGTTTGCCATTCTAAGTTGTATAAAAAAACATCAAAGTGGGTGTTCTAACTTTTTTCTGTTGGTTTAACAAATGGTGTGTTTGGCGCAGATCCCTCGCAACTCGTCGGTGTCGGCGGGCTGCGTGCAGCTGCTGACGCGGCTGCTGCAGCACGACCCCGACACCAGGATCAGCTACGAGGAGTTCTTCGCGCACGAGTACCTCGACCTGGACCACATGCCCTCCAGGGAGAACTACGACAAGGTACTGTCTTAACTAGTCGATTACCTATATACACATAGAGAAGGCCAGCTTTAGCCTACCTCCAGCCCTTTAATTTTTTTTTTCAACGGATGACAATAGAATGGTAACCCCGCCTGCGCTATCGAGATACGCTGACGGAATACCAGTGAGGGGTGGTGATTGGTGAGAATGAAAAGGCAGGTCAGTTGGCCCATAGTGATGAATTCATAAAAAACAATCAAGATGGTTTCCAGAGAGAACCGCGTGGACGTCGACCTGATAAGATTTATTGTTAGCAATGGGACCTCTAGTTCCATTACTAACAATTCCTTCCCCCCCCCCCTCCCGCAGTCGCTGAGTTAAAAAAGTAGTTTAAAGATGAATTTAAACGTAGTATAGATAATATACTTACATGTAATAATGCCGTGTGGTCCCGGCATAGAATGGGCTACCCCTTCCCTTCTAGTGGGTGTCGTAAGAGGTGACTAAGGGAGCGCAAGGGATGGACAGCAGCGTACCAAATTGGCATAAGTGTTACCAACCTGCAAGCGTAACCACCATAACCATAAACCCCCCCCCCCCCTCCTCTTATGTTCAGCAATGGACAGTTAACGGCTATAATTATAATAAAAAAAAAATGTTTACCCTTGAGCATTTTATTTAAATAACAGCTTGTTACTCGCTGATAATGTAGCTTTCTGTAGGTGAAAGAATTTTGAAAATCGGTTGTATAGTTTTGGAGTTTATCGCAAACAAACAAACATACAAGAAATTAAATTTTTCCTTTTAGTAATATTAGTTCACATATATTGAGCCTCCGTCTCTGTTTGTCCGAAGGCGGTGGGCCTGATCAAGCAAGCGATCGAGCTGGACGCGGGCGGGCAGCTGCGCGCCGCGCTGCAGGCATACAGTGCCGCCCTGCAGCTGCTGGTGCCGGCCGCGCGGGTGCAGACCGACGCGTTACGCAAGGAGGCGCTCACCGCCAAGCTCACCAGGTCGGTGCACGAGGCGGCTATTTGGCACAAACTCGTCAAGTTGTGAAGAACTTGCCAAGATGTTACGAACTTGTCATGTTGTTACGAACTTGTCATGTTGTAACGAACTTGTCATGTTGTGGCGAACTCTTCATGTTGTGACAATCTCGTCAACTTGCTACGGATCTGATTATTTTCTTTTAACATTGCGCTGGTATTTGCCTGTAATGTTTTCTTATATACTTGGTATATATATTAAAAAATGTAATTCTTTCGCCGAAATACTAGTATACTAGCGATGGGCCCCGGCTTATCTTATTTTTATATTAGCTTTATTTATTTATTTATACTTAATTGTACATAAAAATTCTATAGTTAGTCTATCTATACTAATATTGTAAACAGGAAAGATTTGTATTTTTGTGTGTATGTATGTTTGTAATGAATAAACTCAAAAACTACTTTGCCGATATCAAAAATTCTTTCACCATTAGAAAGCTACATTCACCCTGAGTGACATAGGCTATATTTATTGCTAGAAAAGACTAGGGATCCTTACTAAAACTTTAGTAACGTAACTTGAGGTGTAAAAAAAAATGCTATAAAATATCTTTCGCCGCGTGCGCTGCGGAAACTATTGGTGATCCCTTAGTCGGTTTTCACGACACTTACGGAAAAGGAACGGGTGGTCCATTCTATGCCGGGACCACAAGGCATAGAATGGACCACATCATGTATATGTCGTATAAAAGACATGAAATAACGCAATCGTTGAGATTTCGCCTGATTACCTCCACGTGTCGACTAAGTCACACAATCTACACGCGACCATGACCGGTGTTTTTTTTTATACCACTGAGGTGGCAAACAAGCATGCAGCCCACCTGATGGTAAGCGGTTACCGCAGCCTATGAACGCCTGCAATACCAGAGGTATTACGCGCGCGTTGCCGGCCCTGAAGAAACCTCTTTATCCCCCTTTTTAAGAACCCCATGCTATAGTTTTTATGTGTTAATAAATTTGATATTTCATTTTATAAGTAAAAATGTATTAAATATTATGTGTGGGGGGAAAGGGATTGTTAGTAATGGAGACTGAGAATCCCATTGCTAGCAATATACCCAACCAGGTCGACCGCCTCGCGGTTCTCCCTGGAAACTATCATGGTAAATTCCTGATGAATTCATCATGATGGGCTAACTGGCCTGTTTTCATTCTCACCTATCACTCTTCACTGGTGCTCCGCCAGCGTATCCCGTTAGCGCAGGCGGGGTTGCCATACCATTTTCATCCAATAAAAAAAAATTATGTGTAGGTACATGGAACGCGCGGAGGAGATAAAGCAATATTTGAAGTACTGCGAGGACGGCGTCCCGCCGGCCGCGGCCCACCGGCCCACGCGTGGGAACGCCGCCAGCGACGGCACGCAAGAGTTGCGTAAGTCCAGAAGGCAACATTATATCGTCATCGTGACCACCCTTGAGGGAACACTAGGAATTAACCATGTCGGTTTCCAGGGTATACCTTACATGTTATATTGCTAGCAATGGGGCTGATAAATCTTATTAGTAACAATCCCTTTCCCACCAGAAAAGGCAGGTCAGTCTTTTTTTTTGATGGGTGAAAATGGTATGGTAACCCCGCCTGCGCTAACGGGATACGCTGGCGGAGCACCAGTGAAGGGTGATAGATGAGAATGAAAACAGACCAGTTAGCCCATCATGATGAATTCATCAGGAATTAACCATGATAGTTGACCAGGGGGAACCGCGAGGAGGTCGACCTGGTTGGGTATATTGCTAGCAATGGGATTCTCAGTCCCCATTACTAACAATCCCTTTCCCCCAAGACAGGTCAGTTAGCCCATTGTGGTGAATACATCTGGAATTCAGCACGGTGGTTTCCAGGTGGGACCACGTGGAGGTTGACCTGATAGCAGGCTACATTACCAGCAATGAAACTTGTCCACATTACTGACAATCCCTTCCTCCCACTCATTACTTGCAGCTCAGGCACCAAGTGAGTGCGGCCCCAGCAACAGCAAGTCGGCTGATGGCACAGCAAGTGGGGCCTACACGTGTGGGACAGACGGACAGACAGCCGCGCGGAATGGAAGCGAGCCCACTGTGTCCGAACACGAGGTGAGAACTTATGTAGATCGAGATAGACTTGGTATATAATTATATATAGCCGCGTGGTCCCGGCATAGAATAAGCCACCCCTTCCTTTCCCGTGGGTGTCGTAAGAGGCCACTAAGGGAGCGTGAGGGATGGGCAGCAGCGTCCCACTTAAAACATGTCTAAAAGCCTAACTGCGGTTGCCAATCCGCCTGCTTAGTTGCTGCTTGGGTTAGATTTAGGTTATTTAGTTAACATGGTAATCTCCCAGTTTACCATTGGCGGATAACCATGTTCCGTTCTATGGGAAGGCTCTTGTTTAATAGTGGTTTTTTTATACAACTTAGAATGGCAAACAAGCAGACGGCCCACCTGATGTAAAGTGGTAACCGTCGCCTATAGACATGAGCAGTACCATGGACATAACAGAGTATACTGTTTCGCCCATGATACCCCCCATGCGTTGCCATTCCTGAGGACTCAGGCGTTATTCCTCTGTACCCTGTAAATTCACGCCATATCCCACCCTTCAAACCGAAACACAGCCATGCAAATACAACTGCTTCACGGTTGAAACACGAATGGTACAGAGGTACCCAAGCAATCGACTTTTGTACAAAGTCTCCCTCTGGTAATTAATAATTAATAATAATTTGTCTTTCTACCTGCCCATGCGAAGCCGGGGCTCATTGCCAGTGTATTTATAAAAAGAAATGATTGAAGTATGTACATCAAGGCCACTAGACAAGTGGCAAGCGAATTCGTCGATAGAATCGACATCGCTAGCGAGTCCGTGAGACAGAATGAGATAGCAACGCCGGGTGACTCATTCCAACTCACGGACTCGCTAGCTATGTTGATTCCATCGACGAATTCTCTTGCCACTTGTCTAGAGGCCCAGTTATCTTAGACGATATAGCCAGGGGGAAGGGACCGTTAGTAATGGGGAGATTAGTCCCCATTGCTTTCAAAATATCCTATCAAATCGACCGCCACACGGTTCCCCCTGGAAACCATCGTGACTAATTTATCGTTGAATTCGTCACGATGGGCTAACTGACCTGCCTTTTCATCCTCACCTATCATCCCTCACTGGTGCCCCGCCGGTGTATACCGATAGTGCAGGCGGGGTTACCATTCCATTATCATCTATTTAAAAAAAAACGATTTTTCAGCCGCGGGCTGCGCGGGGCGGCACAGACAGCAAGCGACGCGGGCTGCGGCGGCTGCTGAGCCGCGCCGCCTCACACTCACCGCCCGCCGTGAGTATACCCTCGATACTCGACACTTCAACACTCTCACTTCTAATAAATAAATAGCCCATCAATTGTGCATATCGACTGTAAAGAGAACAACAAAAATCTAAATAGATTTGTTATTCAACGATCTCATCAAACTATGGTTTTGTCACTCAGCCATCTCGTCACTCCACAATTTCGTCACTCGGCCATCTCGTCTCTCCACAGTTTCGTCACTCTACAGTTTTGTCACTCAGCTATCTCGTCACTCCACAGTTTCGTCACTTAGTCATCTCGTCACTTCACAGTTTTGTTACTCAGCCATCTCGTCACTCCACAGTTTCGTCACTCTACAGTTTTGTCACTCAGCTATCTCGTCACTCCACAGTTTCGTCACTCAGCCATCTCGTCACTCCACAGTTTCGTCACTCAGCCATCTCGTCACTCCACAGTTTCGTCACTCAGCCATCTCGTCACTCCACAGTTTCGTCACTCAGCCATCTCGTCACTCCACAGATTCATCACTCAGCCATCTCGTCACTCCACAGTTTTGTCACTCAGCCATCTCGTCACTCCACAGTTTCGTCACTCAGCCGTCTCAACACTCCACAGTTTCTTCACTCATACATCTCGTCACTCCACAGTTTCGTCATTTAACAATATTGTCACTAGCAGACAACTCACCTGGTGGAAAATGATAAACGTTACCTATACACATGAACAGTGCAAATCGCAGAGTACACTGTGACGCCCACGGTACCTCTCATACATTCCCATTATTGAGAACTATGATGTTATACTCCCGTACCGTGTAACTTCACTGCCATATTCTAATATGGCAATCAAGTTACAGGGTAGTCACTAGAGTGGGCTCCTAGTATACCAAACCGTTCGGCCTCGGGGGAAAGGGATTGTTAGCAATAGAGTTTGACAGCCCCATTGCTAGCAATATGCCCTATTAGGTCGACTTCCACGTGGTTCTCCCAAGAAACCATCGTGAACAATTCCTGTTGAATTCGTCACGATGGGCTAACTGGCCTGCTTCATCCTCACCTATCGTCCTTCACTGGTGCCCCGCCGGTGTATACCGATAGCGCGGTTGAGGTTGCTATTTCATTATCATCCATTGAAGAAAAAACCGTCCGGCCTATTGCAGGGCGGCAGGGACGTCCCGCCGCTGCAGGGCGAGAGCGCGCTGCCGGTGGCCGCCGACGCGAACGACATCTGTCGCATTACGTGAGCACAATCACGTTTAGTGAACCTGTTGGCTTTCCATTGAAAAGTATTTAATTAGGAATACTGTTGAAAGGAATTTATTGCTGTTTGATTGAACATGTGGAAGCGGTCGGAGTTGGAACACTCACTCTTGCTAAGCTACTGTCTTGTTGAACAGCCGCTTTGATGTTACCGATCTAATGTGTTTACCTATATAATAATTAGCAGAATTAAACATATGTAGCTATAGTAAATTGGATTGTGTCCTATACAGGGTAAAAGGGACAGATTGGTCAAAACGAAAACGGCTGATTCAGATCAATGGTCTGAAACAGATGGCTGGTTATTTTCCCACCGGAAATGCACCGCAGCCGTATAATTACCGATTGTTAGTTTCGATGACGCGCAATGTATTTGAAACTGTACGATCCACGCGACGCGTGATGCCTACAACGCGCGCTCAGTGCTGCTTCCTCGTAGGTAGTTTCCGTACGCTCGTGGCGTTGACTTTACACAGCTGGTTCCGCGCGTCGCGGTAGAATTTTCATACGTATATTACATTGCTGTTTTTTTTTGGTATTTCATAATGTTTCACTATAGAATAATATTATTTCTTCATATTATGACATATCGTAGATTACATGGTTTTAAAGGAAAAATAAATAAATTTTCCGGAAATAATTTCCACTGTATTTCAGTTCAGAATAATGGTCTGAATTCACTGTTTCACTTTTTGCCAACCTGTCCCCTCCACCCTGTATAGAAAGCTAGGTTTAAACGTAATTGGGCGCGCAAATATTGTTAATATTTTTTATTTATACAACTTAGAATGGCAAACAAGCTGACGGCCCACCTGATGAAAAGTGGTAACCGTCGCCTATAGACTGATAAAATAATAATAATAAAAAATTATAAGAATTAAGTTAGTGTTCCCATCTGTTGAAGTTTTGTTACATAATATTTTTAATTTATATATATATATATATATATATATATATATATATATATATATATATATATATATATATATATATATATACACCAAATGATTATTAATTAATAATTAATTAAAATATTTTAAATAATTAATAAAATTATATCAATTTCTACAAGATTTCTGTCTTTAACAATGGCCCATCCGTTGGTTTTCGTCCAACGTCCAATACGTTGGTTTTTGTAGTTGCAGCGTACGGTGGGTCGTCTTACTTAAGACGACCTTTAACAATTAACTTATGGCCTATTTTTGGTATTGCACACTTAGAGTTCTCTCGCACTAGTATGTCGTGGGTTATTCTCTCAGTTTACAACATACTGGGGATGGAAAGGGCAAAGGCGATGAACGCTGTAGGGAGATCCGTGCCTAGTAGTGGAGTATTGATAAGTGATAGTGAGTCTAGTGGATAGAGATATTGTGATACATTTATTATTAGGTATAAACCGAGGCCTTTGAGAGTTAGTGTTGATTGACTTAGAATGGCAAACAAACTGACGGCCCACCTGATGTATAGTGGTAACCGTCGCCTATAGACATGAGCAGTACCATGGACATAACAGAGTATACTGTTTCGCCCGTGATACCCCCCATGCGTTGCCATTCCTGAGGACTCAGGTGTTATTCCTCTGTACCCAGTAAATTCACGCCATATCCCACCCTTCAAACCGAAACACAGCCATGCAAACACAACTGCTTCACGGTTGAAACACGAATGGGACAGAAGTGGTCTAGCAAACGACTTTTGTACAAAGTCTCCCTCTGGTAAGTATCAAATTGGAATATTAATTTTAGAAATGCTGCCCACATTTGATTCCATATATTTAATCCTTTAATTTCTTCGTGCAATACGTCATAAAGTTAATAAAGTACGATACTGAAGTCTGATTATATTATGTGTGTGTGTTAATTTCAAATATTTTTCATAAAAAAAAATGCTTATCGAATTGTAACGTTCGTATCAGCTCGATTGTTCCTACGTGGCCTTGATTGTTCATATTGTAAATTATATTTTTAATAGAAAATATTGTTTTTATACCACATTTCTCGTTTCATTTTATAATTGTATCTCCTGAATTATTTATAATTATTGTGTCCACAAAAAAAAACTGACTTCAATTGTGAGAAAACCGTTTATTTTGATAAAAAAAACTAAACTGCTGAAGTGAATTTGCTAAAATCTCTTTGAAACCAACCTGTAAGTATATCCTCTCAGATAAAAAAGATATTTTCCAAACAGGTTTTTTTTTACAACGCAGGGGGCAAACGAGCATGCGGCTCACCTGATGGTAAGTGACTACCGCCGCCCATGATCACCCACAACACCATTGCAACAGCGGCATTGCAGGTGTGCTGCCGGCCTTTTAAAAAGGAATATACTCTTTTCTTGAAGGTTATGTTGTCGTATCGGTTCGGAAATACTGCTGCTGGAAGTTGATTCCAAAGAGTGGTTGTGCGTGGAAGAAAGTGCCTTGAAAAACGCACGGTGGAGAACCGCCACTGGTACAGATGGTTGGGATGAAACTTTAGTTTGTGTCCGAAGAATTCCTCAGAACACTCTCCATGATAAATTCGGTAGAAATGATGGAGTTATGAGGTGGCAAACATAAAAATACAACTACATCGAAGAATTCCTTTTTAAAGTCGATTGAAAGAACACAATTATACATAGAGAAAGTATATTTACTGGATGCAGTACACTGTACACACATCGCAGTGACTTCACCATCGTATCGATCGTAACCTGTCCACTGCTGCTCACAGAGCTCTTCAAACCACCCGCATCCACCGTGTCCCTGCAATGCATTTGAAATTGTCACTCCATTCTAGTGGTGGGTCTATAAAGTGACACCATATCAGCCGTAAATTGTCCACTGCTAAACATAGGCATTTCCAGGGGGGTTTGTCGGCAGTTGCCACGCTTGACAGGCGGGTTGGCAACCGCAGTTAGTCTTTGGAGTGTTAAGAGGGACGCTACTGCCCATCTCTCGCCATCCCTTAGTCGCCTCTTACGACACCCACGGGAAAGGAAGGGACGGCCCATTCCATGCCGGGACCACACGGCACTTTACGTAAACGAGGTCCAATAGAACATGCTTCTGGTCAACCCATTGCGGATTGTAGTCGTGAACATATTAATGTTGACATCCTCATTCAACCGGACCTTGGCGCGGCGATTAACCTTCGAAACAGACAAACATATTATGGGAAATGATCGATACAAAACCCATCACCGGACTCGAACAATGATCGATGATGTTTTAAGAGAGACGCTGCTTGTTATACACGTATAGTGACTAGAAATGTGTTATAGCTCATACTGCGTAATCAATGGTTGCTGCGAGGATCGAGAAGTGCGGAGCAAATTGCGACGACTTACCAATCAGCAGCTATGTTCACGTCAATCGCCATATTTTGATGATTCTATCTAGATGCGTTATACCGTCGCCTCTTTTTCCAATATATACAAACATATCGTGAATTCATATATACAGTGGTCGCTCGACATGCGAGTTTAATTCGTACCGTAACCTTGCTTGTATCTCAAAACAATTTCCCCCATTGAAATGCCATTAATCCGTTCTAGCTCCCATAAAATCACGTCAGTTGTTTTTGTTAAGTGTTAGCCTGAGGTGGGAGCAACTGTTAGACACCACCATCCACTCCGCATGTTGTGGGGCTCGTGTGCAGCGGTGTAGCGTGCGATTCCTCGCATCTCAAACCTTGCTCTCATCTCGAAGCAAAATATCGCTCGCTCGGCGGCTCGTGTCTCAATACACTTGTATATCGAGGTACCACTGCATTTCATCGTTTCCGTATTAAAACCGCACGCGTATCAAGAACAATATCGTCATTACTGCAAACACAGTAAACTTGGAATTATCCAATCTGCAAGGGCAAGGCAACACACATTTTTTTTTATACAACTTAGAATGGCAAACAAGCTGACGGCCCACCTGATGGAAAGTGGTAACCGTCGCCTATAGACATGAGCAGTACCATGGACATAACAGAGTATACTGTTTCACACATGATACCCCCCATGCGTTGCCATTCCTGAAGACTCATGCGTTTTTCCTCTGTACTCAGTAAATTCACGCCATATCCCACCCTTCAAACCGAAACACAGCCATGCAAACACAACTGCTTCACAGTAGAAACACGTTTGGAACAGAGGTACCCAAGCAATAAACTTTTGTACAAAGTCTCCCTCTGGTGAGACTTTGTACACTCCCCCTACATACCCAGACAGTAGCTACTTATGGCATATTGTTTATAAAGGTAAATAAATGTGGGTTGAAAGGGATTGTTAGTAATGGAGACTAAGAATCCCATTGCTAGCAATATACCCAACCGGGTCGACCTCCTCGCGGTTTCCCCTGGAAACTATCATGGTTAATTCCTGATGAATTCATCATGATGGGCTAACTGGCCTGTTTTCATTCTCATCGATCACCCTTCCCTGATGCTCCGCCAGCGTATCCCGTTAGTACCCGTTAAGTACTAGTAAAAAAGGATTGGTTTTAGTTCGCAATAAACCAGTCTTAAGTCATTTAAAAAAAAAAATTCTGAGCCTGAAATGCCACACCACAGTATAAAGGTAAGTCTGTTTGTTTACCTTAACCTCTCAACCATACATACATACATACATATCTGTCACGCCTGCCTCCCATTAGGGTAGGCAGAAACAATGGAACGCCAAATGCTTCGATTCAAACAAACCTCTTTCGCTTCCTCCACATTCATCAATCTTTTCACACACGCTCGCCGGTTACGGGTACTTTTAATTTGGCCCTTCTTCAGCACGTCGCCTATTTGGTCGACATCCGTACGTCCAGGGCGGCCCCTACCGACATCTCCATTCATTCTTGCTCGATAAATCTCTTTCGTAATTCTTCTTTCATCCATCCTCTCCAAATGACCACACCAATCCTTAATTTGACAAGTAGTAAGAATTCATCATGATGGGCTGACTGACCTGCCTCTTCATCACTCACCTATCATCCCTCACTGGTGCCCCGCCAGCGTATACCGATAGCACACACGGGGTTACCATGCCATTATCATACATTTAAAAAGTCCCTTCCCCCACTATAAACCGGTTATTTCCTAGTCAGAGTTATCTCCTTTGGGAAACACACTCTATACCTTGGGGAGACAAAAAAACATAGCTACAAAGAACATCTTAAAGTTCCTATCACAGATGGGAATTAGCGGCGAACAAAAGATCACGGGAAGGTCGCAGTGTCATGGGTTTTTCTGCCTTAACGAGCCCGTCTTACAGTAAAAACAATAATCGAAGATGGAATGAAACACTTATATTTTATGTATATATTTATTTATTATATTTATTTAACTTAAGTTACAAACAGCCAGACCGTGGACGGCGGACACAACTGTACCTGTCACCTGTCACCTGTCAGCGACTCGCATTCTATATTGCAATATGAACTACCAATTTACAATTATAGACACTTAAATACCGCATACAACCGTATTTAGAGGGGGCCGAGTAGGCCGTGCCCACCTCAGCATCGTCCTGTGCCCACCCCCGAATGAATGAAAGTACATACAAAGGGGCCATCTCTGATCGATGCAGCAAGTGACAAATATAAATAAATCCAATGCAATATATATAATAAAACTAGGTAAAGCAAATAATTTTAGGTTTTTTTTTTAAATACATAAAAACCGGATAATAAATTCAGTAGAAAACCAACTACAGATACGAAAGGCGAAAGGATGCCTGCAAGAGGTCGCTCCTAGCGATAAGGTCGCCCATTGTTCTCTCACTGTGATTTCTTGTAATTGTTTGTATCTATAATAAGTTTACTATTGTAATCTTATGGAGGGAACAATAAAGAGTATCTATCTAGAGGTCTCCGTTACCACGACGCGTCCCTCCAACTGTCTGTGTGGTGCGAGGAGTCGTCCCCAGCTGCAGTCCGCCTGGAGGAACGTTCCACTACTCGGTCGAAGCCTTGTCAATATTTCTAGTTACACAATTGTAACATATTGTACTGTGGAGGGGCGTGACATGTTATCGTAGAAAATGTATGTATATATACATACGCAATACTTTAATTTTACCTTCTTTAAAAACCTAAATCCTCGTTCTAATAGCTGAACGAGGATTTAGGTTTTTAAAGAAGGTAAAATTATCCATTCGATTATCTTCTTTTAAATAGAAAAAAAATAACTAAATAGATGGAGACAGAATACTTTTTGTAGCTGTAATGTTACACTTTTAATATGTTTTTATAAATAAGAGACTTTTTAGTACATTTTGCCTAAAAAAAAGATTCATTAAAATCGGTTTACAAACGCCACTATTCCGTATCGTACACAAAAACACAGTCGACACTAGAAGCGAAATTTTGATGATGGTTAAAATATTCAAAAAAAAAAACATTGTAAAATATTACAGTAGTAAAGAAAAAAAAATCATTTAAATTAAATTTTTAAACCCTTCAATTCGTAACTCTCTGATGATGGGGGGGACACCGTTAACAAACCAGTGCCAGCGGTGAGGCACGTTGCATTCTAATACGCCCGCCAAAATGTAAGTATATCGAGTGCATAAGCATATTTAGAGGAGGACGGGGCCTCGTGGGCCCATGCCCTGCCATGCCATCTCTCGGAGAGGTTAATTAATTATACTTCCATATATTTTTTTTTTCGATACCATACCAATTTCATTCAGTGATGTTCAGACACTTGACACAGAGTATAGTACAATCAGAACAGCAGAACTAAACAAAATAATACAAAACATCGCAGTCGTACTGAATTGGGGAGGAGTGGTCCGTGCCCACCTCAGGGTCGCCTCGTGCCCACCTCGGGACTCGAGTGGAACTTACAGATACGCGCGAAAACAACTCCGAGAGTACACAGTACGCGACGCTTATTAAGAGGGCCCTTGACCTCTTGTCAAATGACCTACTATTATATATATATATATATATATATATATATATATATATATATGTATGTATGTATGTATGTATATATATATATATATATATATATATATATATATATATATATGTATATATATATATATATATATATATATATATATATATATATATATATATATATATATATATATATATAAATGCGCAAGTTTACCCTTACATTATACAGATACGAGAGTCCTCCATACAGATACTTCGAGAAAAACGTAAACTCTCATTTTTTGTTTATTAAATAATTAAACATAGGTACACGTCAAGGTACATCGCGTGAAGTATATAGAACACTGATAGAAAAAGCCGAGCTGGTGCAATGTTGAGCCGCTTTTGCCAGTGGCCGCTGTATCCATATAATGTAAGCATAGAGCGTCCATGGTCGGCGGCCGCCGCTCAGTACGCGTAGTCGTCTCCGTTCGCCTCCTCCGGGTTGTACTTGTTCTCGTCGTCGTGCGGCTCCTGCTTGATCTGCACGTCCAGCGGCTGCAGGCTGAACACCGGGTAGTCTGCCAACCAATGTTACACACACTTACATTACAATACGATTATTTATTTATTTATTTATATGCTTTTATACATTCACTTATAGATCTTAGGGTTATAACAGAAATGTACACAGGCCGACTTGACCCTTGATGGGATCTCTTCCAGTCAACCTTGAGAAGCCGAAAGGAGCAAGTGTCTGTAGGGTTTTTTATGCAACTTGGAATGGCAAGCTGACTGCCCACCTGATGGATTCTCCATCTAGGTAACCGTCGCCTATAGACATGAGCAGTGTCATGGACATAACAGAGTATACTGTTTCGCCCATGATACCCCCCATGCGTTGCCATTCCTGAGGGCTCAGGTGTTGTCCCTCTGTACCGTGTAAATTCACCGCCATATATACCCACCCTTCAAACCGAAACACAGCCATGCAAACACAACTGCTTCACGGTTGAAACACGAATGGGACAGAGGTATCCAAGCAATCGACTTTTGCACAAAGTCTCCCTCTGGTAAGTGAGCTACCTAATAATATGGAAAATTACGTCTAATACAGCATAATGGGTTCGAAACTCGGCGGAACAAAAATCGGGATGACAGGCAAAGAAATTTGCGATCATAAACGAACCGATTCCGGACAGATTTGTACTATCCGCTTTAACATAGCTTGACTCCATTTCGAGAAACTCTTTACACAGCACATATTGGAGTATTTGAGCGATTTTTCTCCACTTTTTTTCAACAAACTATAGGACAAATGACTCGAGAGTACTTAGCGACGTTTTGTTTACTGTATTATGACGTCATGTACGCTCGCATCGATCATGGCCGCTCCATGTCAACCACAGATAAAAAAACTTTAATTAATTTTGCAAAAATAAAATATTTTAATACATTACTGCAGCGGCCGGCAAGAGAGGCATTGATGGACGAACGTGTGAATGTGGGCCGAGGGGAACCCGAGGCACACATACGTGAGTCTATCAATGCCTAAGGCTTGTATAGTACTTTTCTCAAATAATGCGCGGAAATTATTCAAATTCACGTTATGTTTCATTAAAATTGTGCATTTTAGCATTGAATAGATGACCCAAAGCGTTGTAGGCTTCACTTTGTTGGCGAGTTCGCCGAAATAAGCCAGAAAAACATTTTCGGATAAGGATTTCGATTTTCTTTCATTCTTCCATTGAACAAAATCTTCATAGATTTTCAAATATTTTTCTTTAGATTTTGGCGGCAACAAGTTTTCTACTACGGCTCTTGCTGCTTCTTGAATTTCAGGTGGCGTTAAAATAATTTCATTACACTCATTGTCTTCACTTGAACTCATTTTGTCAAATACAAAAGTATTTAAAACCAATGACGAAGTTGACGAACAACTAATAACAATAGTTTTTTACGCGCCAAAAAAAAATTTTTTTTTCACTAAACAGCTTTCTATGTGCAAGCCAGTTCGAAATTTAAATTAAACCTTTGATAAGTTGCCTCTTTGATCGCCATGTTGCGGAGTAGAAGATCGTTCCATTTTTAAATTACACGACAAATATGATTTTACATAGTAATTCATTTGGCCGCTAAACACGACAGATATGGATTTTCATACAACTATTGCCGGCCGCTGCTCGACCAGTACCGCAAGTTCGATTTATCTCGAAGAAGGTTGTCAAAATAATGCTCAAATTTCCAAGCATGTTTGAGAAAATATTTTTTTAATGCGAAATACATACTGTACGATTATTGTTTACTTAAAAGCTACTATAAAAAATATATTTAATATTTTATTGCTTCGACTGTCAAATAGCGAACTGTGATATGTACAGATAGCACGAGTGGTTTACTTTATACAAGATGGATTCCTAGTTTGGACAGCGCGCAATGTATTTGAAACTTTACGATGTACACGACGCGTGATATCAACAACGCGCGCTCAGTGGTACTTTTTCGTAGGTAGTTCTCGTACGCTAGTGACGTCGACCTCGCACAGCTGACTCCGCGCGTAACGGTAGAATTTTAACACGAATATTGTATTACTGTGTTTTGGTATTTCATAGTATTTCGTTATATTATAGATTGCATGATTTTTAATGAAAAAAAAAAAACTAAGAAAAGAAATTATATTTTCCGGCAAATATCTATTTTCCGGAAATCCGGTTTTCAGTTGCGAACAACGGTTTGTATTGACTGTTTCATGGTCGATATAAGTGAAGGTGGTACAGAGTGTGAGAGCGAGTGTATAGTGTATAGTGTACAGTGTACAGTGTATGTAGTGGCGTACCGTCGAGCGGCTCCTGCTTGACCTTGACGTGCTCGGGCTTGAGCTTGTGGTCGCGGCGCTCGCGGTCGATATAAGTGAAGGTGGTACAGAGTGTGAGAGCGAGTGTATAGTGTATAGTGTACAGTGTACAGTGTATGTAGTGGCGTACCGTCGAGCGGCTCCTGCTTGACCTTGACGTGCTCGGGCTTGAGCTTGTGGTCGCGGCGCTCGCGGTCGATATAAGTGAAGGTGGTACAGAGTGTGAGAGCGAGTGTATAGTGTATAGTGTACAGTGTACAGTGTATGTAGTGGCGTACCGTCGAGCGGCTCCTGCTTGACCTTGACGTGCTCGGGCTTGAGCTTGTGGTCGCGGCGCTCGCGGTCGATATAAGTGAAGGTGGTACAGAGTGTGAGAGCGAGTGTATAGTGTATAGTGTACAGTGTACAGTGTATGTAGTGGCGTACCGTCGAGCGGCTCCTGCTTGACCTTGACGTGCTCGGGCTTGAGCTTGTGGTCGCGGCGCTCGCGGTCGATATAAGTGAAGGTGGTACAGAGTGTGAGAGCGAGTGTATAGTGTATAGTGTACAGTGTACAGTGTATGTAGTGGCGTACCGTCGAGCGGCTCCTGCTTGACCTTGACGTGCTCGGGCTTGAGCTTGTGGTCGCGGCGCTCGCGGTCGATATAAGTGAAGGTGGTACAGAGTGTGAGAGCGAGTGTATAGTGTATAGTGTACAGTGTACAGTGTATGTAGTGGCGTACCGTCGAGCGGCTCCTGCTTGACCTTGACGTGCTCGGGCTTGAGCTTGTGGTCGCGGCGCTCGCGGTCGATATAAGTGAAGGTGGTACAGAGTGTGAGAGCGAGTGTATAGTGTACAGTGTACAGTGTATGTAGTGGCGTACCGTCGAGCGGCTCCTGCTTGACCTTGACGTGCTCGGGCTTGAGCTTGTGGTCGCGGCGCTCGCGGTCGATATAAGTGAAGGTGGTACAGAGTGTGAGAGCGAGTGTATAGTGTATAGTGTACAGTGTACAGTGTATGTAGTGGCGTACCGTCGAGCGGCTCCTGCTTGACCTTGACGTGCTCGGGCTTGAGCTTGTGGTCGCGGCGCTCGCGGTCGATATAAGTGAAGGTGGTACAGAGTGTGAGAGCGAGTGTATAGTGTATAGTGTACAGTGTACAGTGTATGTAGTGGCGTACCGTCGAGCGGCTCCTGCTTGACCTTGACGTGCTCGGGCTTGAGCTTGTGGTCGCGGCGCTCGCGGTCGATATAAGTGAAGGTGGTACAGAGTGTGAGAGCGAGTGTATAGTGTATAGTGTACAGTGTACAGTGTATGTAGTGGCGTACCGTCGAGCGGCTCCTGCTTGACCTTGACGTGCTCGGGCTTGAGCTTGTGGTCGCGGCGCTCGCGGTCGATATAAGTGAAGGTGGTACAGAGTGTGAGAGCGAGTGTATAGTGTATAGTGTACAGTGTACAGTGTATGTAGTGGCGTACCGTCGAGCGGCTCCTGCTTGACCTTGACGTGCTCGGGCTTGAGCTTGTGGTCGCGGCGCTCGCGGTCGATATAAGTGAAGGTGGTACAGAGTGTGAGAGCGAGTGTATAGTGTATAGTGTACAGTGTACAGTGTATGTAGTGGCGTACCGTCGAGCGGCTCCTGCTTGACCTTGACGTGCTCGGGCTTGAGCTTGTGGTCGCGGCGCTCGCGGTCGATATAAGTGAAGGTGGTACAGAGTGTGAGAGCGAGTGTATAGTGTACAGTGTACAGTGTATGTAGTGGCGTACCGTCGAGCGGCTCCTGCTTGACCTTGACGTGCTCGGGCTTGAGCTTGTGGTCGCGGCGCTCGCGGTCGATATAAGTGAAGGTGGTACAGAGTGTGAGAGCGAGTGTATAGTGTATAGTGTACAGTGTACAGTGTATGTAGTGGCGTACCGTCGAGCGGCTCCTGCTTGACCTTGACGTGCTCGGGCTTGAGCTTGTGGTCGCGGCGCTCGCGGTCGATATAAGTGAAGGTGGTACAGAGTGTGAGAGCGAGTGTATAGTGTATAGTGTACAGTGTACAGTGTATGTAGTGGCGTACCGTCGAGCGGCTCCTGCTTGACCTTGACGTGCTCGGGCTTGAGCTTGTGGTCGCGGCGCTCGCGGTCGATATAAGTGAAGGTGGTACAGAGTGTGAGAGCGAGTGTATAGTGTATAGTGTACAGTGTACAGTGTATGTAGTGGCGTACCGTCGAGCGGCTCCTGCTTGACCTTGACGTGCTCGGGCTTGAGCTTGTGGTCGCGGCGCTCGCGGTCGATATAAGTGAAGGTGGTACAGAGTGTGAGAGCGAGTGTATAGTGTATAGTGTACAGTGTACAGTGTATGTAGTGGCGTACCGTCGAGCGGCTCCTGCTTGACCTTGACGTGCTCGGGCTTGAGCTTGTGGTCGCGGCGCTCGCGGTCGATATAAGTGAAGGTGGTACAGAGTGTGAGAGCGAGTGTATAGTGCCGTATAGTGTACAGTGTACAGTGTATGTAGTGGCGTACCGTCGAGCGGCTCCTGCTTGACCTTGACGTGCTCGGGCTTGAGCTTGTGGTCGCGGCGCTCGCGGTCGATATAAGTGAAGGTGGTACAGAGTGTGAGAGCGAGTGTATAGTGTATAGTGTACAGTGTACAGTGTATGTAGTGGCGTACCGTCGAGCGGCTCCTGCTTGACCTTGACGTGCTCGGGCTTGAGCTTGTGGTCGCGGCGCTCGCGGTCGATATAAGTGAAGGTGGTACAGAGTGTGAGAGCGAGTGTATAGTGTATAGTGTACAGTGTACAGTGTATGTAGTGGCGTACCGTCGAGCGGCTCCTGCTTGACCTTGACGTGCTCGGGCTTGAGCTTGTGGTCGCGGCGCTCGCGGTCGCGGCGCGCGCGCCTCTTGTCGCGCTCCTGGTCGCGCCGCGCGCGCCGCCGCTCCGACCGCGAGCGCGAGCGCCGTCGCCGTCTGCGTCACATGCAAACGTGGGACTATGTTATAAAGGAAACAAACGATGTGCATATCACGTCCAAGTCGGATAGGGAGCCACTTCAACTAGTTGCGAGAGGCAGACACGTGATCGTGTTTACGAAGACCCAAGATGAACCTAATAGCTAGATCATGTTTATTTACCACACCCAATCAACGTCTCCACCTCCGATTTTGTTGAGTCTCCATCGATTCTCATGAAAATTGGTGAGTACGGGGGAAATAACTTTTTTTTTTATACAACTTAGAATGGCAAACAAACTGACGGTCCACCTGATGGAAAGTGGTAACCGTCGCCTATAGACACGAACAGTACCGTGGACATAACAGAGTATACTGTTTCGCTCATGATACCCCTCATGCGTTGCCATTCCCGAGGACTCAGATGTTATTCTTTTTTTTTTATACCACTGAGGTGGCAAACAAGCATACGGCCCACCTGATGGTAAGTGGTTACCGTAGCCTATGAACACCTGCAATACCAGAGGTATTACGCGTGCGTTGCCGACCCTGAAGAAACCTCTTTACCCCCCTTTTGAAGAACCCCACGCTGTAGTCTCTTGGGAAAATCTCAGCAGGGAGCTCATTCCATAACCTGAGTGTTCGTGGGAGGAAACATCTCTGAAACCGCGCAGTACGCGACCATTGAGGCTATAGGACATGAGGATGAACTCCCTGTCGATGGCGAGCCGTACGATGGTAGAAAGTGGCTATAGGCATCATATTGAACAATTCCTCTGAGCACAATCCATTGTACAGGCGGTAGAACACGCAGAGTGAGGCAAAATCTCTCCTAAGATTTAAGGGTTCGATACCGCCTGTGAGCCTGGGATCATCGACAATTCTCATAGCTCGTCGTTGCAACGAGTCAAAAGGTTCAAGCTGGTATTTAGGTGCTCCGGCCCATAAGTGACAGCAATACTCCATGTGGGGCCGGATCTGCGATTTGTACAGCATTAATCGCTGATCCGGCGTGAAGTAATACTTCGCTCTATTGAGCACACCGAGTTTTTTAGATGCCAGCTTCACCTTACCTTCGAGATGGCCTCGGAACTGTACATCACTAGAGATGTCGACACCAAGGATCCCAATGCTTTTAGAGATGGTAAGAGACGTGCCTTGGAACTGTGGAACCACAGCAAATGGGGTTTTCTTAGCGATGAACGCGCAAGCTTGTGTCTTAGCGGGGTTAAACTGGACTAAGTTTTGTCGGCCCCAATCGGAGACTCTAGTTAACGTTCTCTCGATTTTAGACACAAGCTGTTCACGACTGTCCTCCACGATGGAACGAGGGACATTGGTACGACCCGTATAATGGGCATCCCCAGTACTGTCATCCGCATAACAATGAATGTCACCTAAGGACAACATATCATTAATATGCAGCAGGAACAACGTCGGGGATAGCACAGAGCCCTGCGGGACGCCAGCGTTAATGTCCATGCTTTCGGAGCAGCAACCATCAACAGCGGTTTTTATGCATCTGCCGGACAAAAAACTGGCAAACCCATTCGCAAAGGCTGTCGGGAAGTCCATAGTAGGGCAATTTCGATAGAAGACCCCGATGCCAGACCCGGTCAAAAGCTTTTGCAATATCAAGACTAACAGCGAGCGCCTCATCCTGATTCTCAATGGCTGACGCCCATCGGTGCGTAAGATGTACCAAGAGGTCACCAGTTGAGCGACTATGGCGAAAGCCGTATTTGCGGTCACTCAATAAATCGTGATCCTCTAGGTATCTTAAAAGCTGTGCGTTAACTATACGCTCCATCACCTTAGAGAGAAGGGAGGCGATCGCTATCGGCCTGTAATTTGAAGGGTCCGACTTATCGCCCTTTTTAGGTACAGGATGTACAAGGGTGGTCTTCCATGTCGAAGGAAATTGTCTTGTGGAGTACGAAATCGTGAAGAGACACGTTAATGCAGGACATAGTTCCGGAGCACACTGCTTTAGGACCACTGCCGGTATACCGTCTGGCCCACTCGACTTATGAACATCTAAGGATAGTAACTCCCGCCGGACTTTACATTGTGTTATGGAAATTTCCGGCATAGAGCTTCCACAGTACGGGATGGTAGGTGGTGTAGAATTACCTTCGTCCATAGTCGAGTTAGAGGCAAAGAGATTACCTAATAGATCGGCTATCTCTTTAGCACTGTAGGCCAAGTTACCATTCGGTTTCCGAAGTGGTGGAAAAGACGTCTGACAAAAGTTTCCTTGGGCGGCTTTGGCAAGCGACCAGAAAGCACGATTACCAGAAGGTAGGCTTGATAGTCGCCTACCAATTTCGCCCACAAATTCAAATTTAGCTCTGGCAATAACTCTCTTACTCTGCCTCGAAGCAGCGTTTAATTTCCGCTTTGCATCAGTGATCCCAGGATCCGAGTTAGTGCGAGCCGTAGTCCAAGCCTTGTATGCAGATTGTAGAGCAAATCTAGCTTCCTTACAAGACCGGTTAAACCACGGACGTTTCTTTGATCCCATTGCCACCAGCGGGTTGGGGATAAAAATCTCCATTCCTTCAATGATTGCCTCGCTAACGGCAATTGCACAGACGTTAGGATCATATGATGCAAAACAGAGCCGCTTCCATGGGTACGACGCATAAAATTGTCGCAATCCATCTGTCTGCTGACTTATAGTGCCACACACGATGTCGTCCAATAGGACGAGGTGGATCAAGTCGAGTGTTGGAGACGTCAGCCCGGATGAGACAATGGTCGGATGTGCCAATTGGCGCATCCACTCTGACGGTATATCCATTCGGGTGTGTTGTCAGCAGAAGGTCCAGTAAGGAGCTTGTATGGTTCTCTATATCTGGTATTCTCGTTGGAGAATGAACCAGCTGAGAGAATCCATAGGTCAGAGCAAATTCATGAGCAGCTTTCCCCGCGCAGTCAGTGGACCGAGAACGAAGCCACTCGGAGTGGTGAGCATTAAAGTCTCCAAGTATCACTAACTCCGCAGATGAGTACTGCTCGAGAACTTTGTCAGTCGTCGTTTGCAGGTGCTCAAAAAGACGGAAAGTGTCCAAATCACCGCTGTGAGACTTGTAAAGACACGCATAAATACGAGTGTGGCTCCCATAATCCACACGCGTCCATAATACCGACAGGTCTTCAAGGCCATGGAGACGGCGATAACAGATGTCGGTCCGGATATACATACAAACCCCGACATGACGAGCAAATTTATGCTCGAGTTTGTAACCGGGGTATAGTAAGTAAGATGTATCAGCCGGACATGAGATCTGTGTCTCGGTGAGGAATAACAGAGTCGGCTCCGCAGTTTCGAGATGGTGGTGAATTGCGTTGATATTAGAATGGATCCCTCTGATATTGCAGAAGTCCACTTTAAATGTGGATGAGGGTGCCGCTGTGTATGGTCTATTTTTTTTCTATATCTGGCCATAAAGTAAAAGGGGTATTTGGAGGTTAATAGGGAAAGATTGTGCCGATATCAAAGGAACAAAGTGGTGTCTACTCTGTCCCCGCGCTAAACAAGTTGTGCAAATTGCCAACACGGCGGCCGGAAGGGCCCACGGTCCCCCCCACTGATGCAGTAGCCGGGTCCACTCCGGTCTCCTCCTCCGGCACGACCACTACACACACAACGCTATTAAAACAGCGTTGTTTGGCTGCGAACTTCTGCAAGGTGGAGGTCCTTCCCCAGGCGGGCGTTTCCATTTATGAGCGAGAGTCCCGCTGTGCCCTACCTCTCTTAAATTCCTCTGTACCCTGTAACTTCACTGCCATATCCCACCCTTCAAACCGAAACATAGCCACGCAAACACAACTGCTTCACGGTAGAAACACGAATGTGACAGAGGTGCGCAAGCAATCAAGTTTTGTACAAAGCGTCCCTGTGGTAACGGCGTACTCACCTGTCGTCGTCGGCGTCCCGCGGCCGCTCGCGGCGCCGCGAGCGCGAGCGCGAACGCTTGCGGGAGCGCGAGCGAGACCGCCGCCGAGCGCCGCCAGCGCCTGCGCCTGCGCAAGTACACAACAATACAATAACTGTAATAATACTACCACAAATGTACTTTCAATCGTTTATACATCTACCATTTATTAGTTTAACCCAATTTTTCTTTGACATTAATCGTCAACATTCGTGCTATATCCTTGTTTAATTAATACATTAAGTTTGCACGCATACAATTATAAAACAATTAGAGCAAATGTCAATAAATTCTGTCGCATGGCGTTTATTATGTTAAATTAACTCTTAAATGAAAAAAAGCGAAGAAATGTGAATGGGTGTTGATAATAACAAAAAATAAAGCAAAATAAGCGCTAATTAAGGATTGCTGTTTGTTTGTGTCCTGTGTCTTGTTTACAATATCGTGTCTTATTATTGTTAAAAAAAAAAGCTAATTGTTATGTGTATTTTTGTGTGCGGCAACATTATTCTATTTCGCGCGCTTTTTCACGGCGTCTGTCATTGTATCTATTGTTTATTGCAGAGGTAGCTAACCGGTTGTTCGCGACTATTAGTACAGTTGATCGTGGCAAGGCAAAAAGTATAAATTATTCTGCGCTGACGCTGTGATATATTTCTAAAAACAAGATCAGCTCTAGATTTCTGAGTATTTGGTTTCCAACGAGACATTGCAACTAATTATTGTAAATTATTGTTTTGTTCGTTTTGTAAAGTGCGTGGTGCGTGGTGCGTGTGGTGCGTGTGGTGCGTGTGGTGCGTGTGGTGCGTGTGGTGCGTGTGGTGCGTGTGGTGCGTGTGGTGCGTGTGGTGCGTGTGGTGCGTGTGGTGCGTGTGGTGCGTGTGGTGCGTGTGGTGCGTGTGGTGCGTGTGGTGCGTGTGGTGCGACGTGTACTGACGGTCGGCGCGGTGATGGTGGTCGCGGTCGCGCTGCTCGAGGCGGTAGCGCTCGCGCTCGCGCTCGTTGTCCTCGCGGCCCGAGTGCTTGATGTTCACGTCCGCGCCGCCGCGCCGCGTGCCGCCCAGCCCGCCGCCTGCACCGACAACCAAAACACCCTTATGCCAGTGGCCACTTCCCAAAACAATAACGTCCGCGCCCGACAGCCAACCTCCTATAATAATGGGGTCAAATAGCCCCATTATTAGCAACATACCCTGTCAAGTCAACCTCCACGTGGTTCTCCCTAGAAACCATCGTGGCTAATTCTAATTGATTTCGTCAGGATGGGCTAACTGACGTGCTTTCATCCTCACCTATCCTTCACTGGTGCCCCGCCAGTGTATACCGACAACGCGGGTGGCGCTACCACTCCATTATCACCCATTAAAAAAAAAAACCTCCTGTAATACATTTCCAATTACAGTAGAATCTCGATTATCCGGAAATTCGATTATCCGGACTTAGTATTCACGCCTCTAATTATCAATTTAGAATTGATATTATGTATTAATTATGTAAATAAGTATTATGTAGCCCATTCTCTTTACAGCTCATAATTCCTTTATATCGTATTGTATAAACGACGTATATAAAACATTGTACGTAATAATAAAATATTAAAATTTAATTACGCATTGTTCGATTCGACTTCGAATTCGATTATCCGGATTTTCGATTATCCGGAACACCATCACGTTTTATTTGATTCTCATAATCGAAATTCTACTGTATATGGTTCAATCGTTTTATTTTTATTAATATTACAAATATAAAAATAAAAAGGTTGGGGAGATAAGGGATTGTTAAAAATGGGAATCAATAGCCCCATTGCAAGCGTGGGGAAAGGGATTGTTAGTAATGGAGACTAAAAATCTACTAACTATCATGGTTAATTCCTGATGAATTCATCATGATGGGCTAACTGGCCTGTTTTCATTCTCATCTATCACGCTTCACTGGTGCTCCGCCAGCGTATACCGTTAGCGCAGGCGGGGTTACCAATCCATTTTCATCCAACAAAAAAAAAGCCCCATTTCAAGCAATACTCCCTCTGTCAAGTCGACCTCCACGTGATCCCCTTCTGAAAACCATGGTGCGCTGTTCTACTCCAGGTGTATTCATCACGATGGACTAACTGACCTGCCTTTTTATCCTCACCTATCATCCCTCACTGGTGCATCGCCAGCGTATACCGATAGCGCAGACGGAGTTACCATTCTATTACCACCCATTAAAAAATAAAACAAACTGGAAAATAAATCTAGGGAGGAAGGGATTGTTAGTAACGGAAACTGAGGGCCCCATTGCTAGCAATATACCCCCCAAGCAGGTTGACCTCCACGCGGTCCCACCTGGAAAACATCGTGCTGAATTCCAAGTGTATTCATCACGATGGGCTAACTGACCTGCCTTTTCATCCTTTACTGGTGCCCCGCCAGCGTACACCGTTAGCACAAGCGGGGTAACCATTCCATTATCATCTATTTAAAAAAAAAAACCACAAACGGTTTAGAGACCAAACATCTACTATACAAGTACATCGAAACTCACCAAGTCTCCGCGGCAGCCAGCCCTTCACGGTCCTCGCGCGCTCCACGTCCACCAGCACACGCTTGCCGTCGATTTTCTTACCGTCCGCGTGTTTGTATGCCGCTGCAAGTGTTGAGATACGATTAGAAGAATAGATATACACATTTTGTGCAAGTCTGAATTCGTACAGTTGTCACGATGGGTAAATATAGTTACCCCCACTCAACAACAACAACGGCCATGTCAGATTTTATTATTAACCACCGAATATGTGTAAACGCGGATGAATGTACAAATTTATAATAATTAATTAAAATATACACAGTGAGACAGAAATCAAATGGCATCCTTTCAACACTATTCTATGTCAAAAATTGAAATTTTTCAAAAAGAAACCCATGTTAATAATCGACAAATGTTTAGCCCTTAATAGGCACATTTCTTTGTCGTTCACCAGCCTGTGTTTTCCTTTGGGAAAATATACAATTTTCCTAGTAGAGCATTCGTTTAAAAGTACTTCACCTGATTTACATTTCACCTTACAGAATGATTACTCGTTAAAATAAAAAAAAAAATAAAAAACATTTATTTTAATAAACGTATCAGACATAAGTGTCTGGTATTCAGACACTTTTACACTAATGTATTCTAAGCGTAGAATACAAGTGCGCATTGTATAACGTTTGTTGTACACGTGTGTATTCAGACAAATTGTATTAGTGTGGAATTATATTTTATTAAATCGATTCAGACTCGCACAATTTTAATAATAATAACAATAATATTTAATAAATAAATTTACATGCACTATTTTGTCACTAATGTAGTGACGCACTTGTATTCTAGTATTATTTATTTGTTTTAATTATAAATCTCTCGAACCATAGTGCGTGTAAACAGACTTTGTAACTTACTGTCTTTCGAAGTTCAAATACGATAACCATTATAAATATAAATACTTTATGATAAACAAAAAAAAAAATAATCAAATTTGAAAACACTAAAATTCATGACATTTTCCTTTTAAAAAAAAAAACAACATAAATTATAGTATTTCTAATCTGTCACATTTAATTTCCAAGTCGACTCGGCCGCATTTGTTTTTCTATAATTAAAAAAAAAAATAGAGAAACAAACGTGGCAAAGTACGCATCGTATAAAGCTGTATACATACATACATATATATATATATATATATATATATATATATATATATATATATATATATATATATATATATATATATATATATATATATATATATATATATTTGTTTCATGAATAACTAAATATATAATAATAACATTGATAAATATACATGTAAATGATAAATATACCTACCGACCGAGCCGAGAGAGACCAACAAATTTTATAAACATAATTCAATTTGTATACCCACCATTGTTCGTACCTACCTTTTTTTATTAACTACCACAAACAAAATGGCGTGTTTTACTTACTTTTTAATTTCACATATATAACCGTTACTATCCGTGATTCGAGTGGACTTTACCTGGTGCGCTTTACTTACTTATCCGATGCGCTACTCTTTTTTTTTATATATATATATAATTATAATAATTAAAGGAAAAAGGAATACTAGTAATCGGTGTACTGATAAACCATCAACACTACACTAGTGGCGTCCTTGTCGGGTGACGCGCGTGCGAGGGGGACGGCGACGGTGCTAGTTTAGTACAATGGCGTCAGGTACGTCTCTTACTAGTACGTAAACCACCCGAATTTAAAAGTGGCCCACCGTGGTAGTGTAGCGGCGTCGAAGGCACGCCCTAATTTATATATTACTATAATTAACATATATATATATATATTCAATATTTCATTAAACTAAAATTAATAGCTAATTAATTAATTCTAAAATTTAATCTTTTAGAATTTTTGTTATAGAATAAAATTGCATCCAATTGTATATATTTTTATATATATATATTTATATATATAAAGCTTAAATTCTAAGAATTTATATAATGAAAAAAAAAATCACATGTTTTAAGGTTAAAAAATCTGGTCTAATAGTTTTCAAGAATGTCGTGAATGTGTAATAACTGAATTATTAAATTATGTACACCAAAGCCAACCTAACATACAAGAGCAATGAAATACTGGTTTAAAATTAAAAAAAATAAATAATCATATCACGTTATACGATTACAAATGATCTGATATTTATTTAGATAGAGAAATAATAAATTTAGGAGTTAAATAATTTGCCTCGCTGTTATGTTAACGTGAAACAATCGCTACTTACGAACAGTGTAATACAGTAGAAGTGTAATTTATTAATTTGCCGTGTGATTCAGAAATAGGATAGGTCCCTTCCTTTCCCGTGAGTGCCGTAAGAGGCGACTAAGGCAACTAAACGGTCGAGGGACGGGCAGGAGCGTACCTCTTAAAACAAAGCCTAACTGCGATTGCCAAACCGCCTGTTATGCGTGGCAATTACTGGTAAAACCCCCCAATAGGGGGAGGCCTGTGTGTGTGTAAGCCTGTTATAAACACTCCTAGTCATACCGGCCAGTTTAAATGTAAAATGTCAATTTAAAGCTTTCGTAAACAAATCTTTAAGCTCATTCTCGTTGGAGAACTCTCACGACGTTTGAGAACTATCACTTACGCAGGAGCAAAACTGCTTGATTTCATTTTATTTTATACATTTCAATAGTTTATTTGTTACCTCTCGCTACATTAGTGACTCAACTATTGTAATTTATCTATTAACATTTTTATCTCAGTTAATAACTATAACCCGCAATAACAGACAAAAAGACCCACAAGTATCGGCAAAAAAAAATCCTACACCTACACAAATTGGGGGCAGAATTACCTATGTCCTACTACAGTAGCCTCTCGGGTCGACTTGATAATACGTCACGATATGCCAACTGGCCCGCCTCGATCCTCACCTATCGTCCCTAGCTGGTGGCCCGCGTACCCCCACGTAACAGTTCCAACACCGCCCGACTACCACAGCTGTCGTGTGAGAAAGAAATTTATATACGACACTACTGTCACATTGGTCATTATATTTTAGTTGTATGTTGGCATCTTACCACATACAAACCTATTCAGAATGGCCGGTTTACTCGTTTGTGGCTCATTATGGCTGGGTCTGTGGTGTGAAATAGAAAAAAAACCACTTATTAATTATTAGATAATGTATCCACTATATACTATACCGACGGGAGGTCTACGCCTCGTGTGTAGACCTTTCTGGAGGTGAGCGACTAGTACAGCGTTGTCTATGGTATGTACTTTTGACGTTTGCAATTAACGGCGGACGCGGTAGTCTGTAGATGTTTTACTCGTTGTTTAATTAGTAAGTTAGTAATAACTTTATAACAAAGGGTAAGTGGGAGGGTCATCAGTTGCTCGAATGGATACCTGAGCACCAGATGAAGAAAGGCCATGTTCTTCTAATGTATGGATGATGATTCGAATTTTTAGGGGATTTTAACAGCTTCATTGATAGAATGACATCCACACGTATATAGTATTAAATTAATATTCAAAAAATTTTGAATTTAAACAATTGGGGTTTTATTAACTATCATTGTAAGTCCCCTTGTTTGACCAGAAATGTCATAAACAAGGACCATGGGTCCTGGCTAACCAGGATCATTGTTATCATAGATTAGTAGCTATGGTCTTAAATATACCGATTAAAACAGTGAAGATTTGTGACAGCTGCACCAGTCACATTTGAAAGTTAATTTTATCTGTATTTGTATGTAAACATTTTTTAATGTACACTCAAATATTGCACTAATACATACATTTTAATCAAACTTTCATTAATTAAACATATAAACATTGTTAGTTCCCCAAAAAAAAAGCACTAAGGAAGTTTCAAAGGCCTGTTTTTTTTCACTTTCTAATTATGCTATAGGAGTGAGTAATATATACCACATAATTATAGTATATTGGCCCAATAACAGATATATTGAAATTGAGGGAAATTAAAAAGGAACGTTGCGTTGGTTTGGTCATTTGGAGAGGATAGATGAAAGAATTACGAAAGAGATTTATCAAGCAATAAAGAATGGAGATGTCGGTATGGGCCGCCCTTGACGGACGTATGTCGACCAAATAGGCGACGTGCTGAAAATGGGCCAAATTAAAAGTACCCGCAACCGGCGAGCGTGTATGAAAAGTTGATGAATGTGGAGGAAGTGAAAGAGGTCTGTTTGAATCGAAGCATTTGGCGTTCCATTGTTTCTGCCTACCCTAATGGGAGACAGGCGTGACAGATATGTATGTATGTATGTATGTATTGAAATTAAGAACTCGATGGAAGTGAATTAGACATCCGACTGCTATGTGCAATAACAGAATGGGTGATGTTTTCCATCAAAAATATCTAGAGGACCACTATATATAGATATCAGACCGGTACAGATATTACCCATGCCTACAGAGTATTTTTAATGAAAAAAAAAAGTGTTATGAATTTTAAAAATCTCAATTAGGACTTTTTTTTTATACAACTTAGAATGGCAAACAAGCTAACGGCCCACCTGATGGAAAGTGGTAACCGTCGCCTATAGACATGAGCAGTGCCGTGGACATAACAGAGTATACTGTTTCGCCCATGATACCCCCCATGCGTTGCCATTCCTGAGGACTCAGGATTTATTCCTCCGTACACAGTAAATTCACTGCTATATCCCGCCCTTCAAACCGAAACACAGCCATGCAAACACAACTGCTTCACGGTTGAAACACGAATGGGTCAGAGGTGGCCAAGCAATCTACTTTTGTACAAAATCTCCCTCTGGTACTTGTATTCATAATTGAATCTTGAGTAATTAACTATAATAGAATTCCAGTGTAAACCTAGAGACACCGTGTCCGCCAGGTTTAGATTTAAAACTTAAATGTTCAATAAAAATTAAATATCAATACAAATAAATGCAAAAAGCAGACAGAAATGAACCGTATCGCTGTAGTTTACACTCTCACAATTACATATATTGTTAGTACATAATTTAAGAACATAAACGGTACAGTATAAGGTTCAATTTGCATTGTAATATCAAATAGATACATTCCCCTCCAACAAGGTCTAGATTCTCAACGTCATTTGTTTGAACATTGAGAATAATCATCGTCATAATTGTGTAAATTAACAAAAAAGAACTTTACTACTGTGAAATTAAGGTTGATGTTAAGTAATGGGATAATGTTAACACAAACAATGCATAGACTCATCTACTGTTAAAAAAAAAGCAATAAAAATAAATAAATACATAGATAATCTTAATTAATACACTTTTAAAAATATTTCAGTCAATACTATTAAAAGGGGGAAAAGGGATTGTTAGTAATGGAGACTGAGAAACCAATTGCTAGCAATATACCCAACCAGGTCGACCTCCTCGCGGTTCCCCCTGGAGACTATCATGGTTAATTCCCGATGAATTCATCATGATGGGCTAACTGGCCTGTTTTCATTCTCATCTATCACCCTTCACTGGTGCTCCGCCAGCGTATCCCGTTAGCGCAGGCGGGGTTACCATACCATTTTCACACATCAAAAAAAAAACTATTAAAAAGACATAAAAATAAAAAGAAATAATAATAATAAATAAATAAAAATTATACTAGTTTTAAAACTGTAAATAAATTTCTGTTTTGCCAAAGGTGGGACTGTTACTGGGAGAGAATGCATATAGCGTTAAATACGTCTTTTGTACCAAACATATTTTTGTAATGTGGTCAATAAATAAATAAAGAATTTTTACTTATAAAATAATGAAATTAAACATAGAACGCACATAAAAGCAACAAAAAAAAAAAAAACTTTAGTTACTAAACTAAATACTAAACCAAATTCAAACCGTTGGTTCACAGTAGAATTTAAAATTTAACAATTAACAAATTATGACGATGCTTTTATAAGTATGTACGGTATTTAGGGAGAAATGGCACTTGATTGCTAAACTCACACACACATAGACATGTTAAAACTAAACGTATTCTATTGCATAAGTGTCTGGTATTGAAACATTAATGTGTATACACGTCTGGTATTCTATTAAGGAATACACATAGCTAAGTGTCTGGTATTGAATTTTGAGCGTCTGGTATTGAATTGTACGCGTCTGGTTCGTGAGTTTGTCAAGGCCATTTCTCCCGCAGCGGTGGTCGACCGCACATACGACGCGCCCGCGGGCGCCACTCACAGTGCATGTCGCGCTCGTGCTCGTACTCTATGAAGGCGTAGCCGCGCGGCTTGTTGTTCTCCTTGTTGTATACCATGCATATCTGGAAAGAGAAACGGCGTGTTAATATACGCAACAGCTGATAGTGGAGGGAGAGAGGGAAGGGATTGTTACTGAAGCATTTTTTATGCAACTTAGAATGGCAAACAAGCTGACGGCCCACCTAATGGAAAGTGGTAACCGTCGCCTATAGACATGAGCTGTACCATGGACATAACAGAGTATACTGTTTCGCCCGTGATACCTCCCATGCGTTGCCATTCCTGAGGACTCAGGTGTTATTCCTCTGTACCCTGTAAATTCACGCCATATCCCACTCTTCAAACCGAAACACAGCCATGCAAACACAACTGCTTCACGGTAGAAACACGAATGGAACTGAGGTGCTCAAGCAAACGACTTTTGTACAAAGTCTCCGTCTGGTAATGAAATTAGTTATTTTTTTATACCACTGACGTGGCAAACAAGCAAACGGCCCACCTGATGGTAAACGGTTACCGTAGCCTACCAACGCCTGCAATACCAGGGACATTACGCGCGCATTGCCGAGTTTCGTTAAAATCCGTCGAGTAGTTTTTGTTTCTATAACGAACATACAGACAGACAGACAGACAGACAAAAATTTTACTAATTGCATTTTTGGCACCAGTATCGATCACTAATCACCCGCTGATAGTTATTTTGGAAATATATTTCATGTACAGAATTGACATCTCTACAGATTTATTATAAGTGTAGATTTACAAAGGGGCTATTTAAGTGAACATTAAATGACTCTGAGTGCCTTTGCCGGGCCTCCCCCCACGGGGTCTCACCTGGCAGGCGAAGACCGCGCCGACCGGCCCAAACGGCGTCAACAGTCTAAAGAGAACCATGTTCCTCTAAAGGCAAAGCAAGTCACCGGCAAGTGCCACCCCCAACTACCCTGCACATAGTAATGGGCGGCGAGCGACACCAGCAGAAGGGGGCCCGCGCCCCGGACTGCTGTTCCCCACGTGCCCTCTAAACCACTGTCTGATTAAGGGATTGTTAGTAATGGAGACTGAGAATCCCATTGCTAGCAATATACCCAACCAGGTCGACCTCCTCGCGGTTCCCCCTGGAAACTATCATGGTTAATTCCTGATGAATTCATCATGATGGGCTAACTGGCCTGTTTTCATTCTCATCTATCACCCTTCACTGGTGCTCTGCCAGCGTATCCCTTTAGCGCAGGCGGGGTTACCATGCCATTTTCATCCATCAAAAAAAAAAAAAACACTGTCTGAGTGCAGTGGTGAAAGTTAATTAAGTTACCTTTTTGATTGGTCCATATCCTTCGAACTCTCTCCGTAGTTTCGACTCCGATGTGTCATAATTCTGTTAAAAAAAAAAAAAAATTATTAATATATTAATTGTTGCTAGTCGACGTCTGTCCATGGGAGATGTTTTAGAAAAAAAAAATGCGGTAACAAGATCAATAGACGGAAAGACAATAATTTTTAGAGATTTTGTCTGAATGTTTGTACTGGCTTACAATGCTCTTCGAGTCCAATGTAATAATGCCTTCAGGCCACTGTTGGGGCTACCTCGTCGCTGTAATGCGTCACACATATTTGCACAAGAGTGTACGCAATATGACACAAACGAATTTACTAACATAGGTTAAGGGGGGAAAGGGATTATTAGTAATGGAACTATGGTTCCATTGCTAGCAAGCCCTGTCAGGTCGACCTCCACGCGGTCCACCCTGGAAACCATAGTGAATAATACTTGTTGCATTCGTCACGACGGGCTAACTGACCTGCCTTTTCACCCTCACCTATCATCCCTCACTGGTGCCCCGCCAGTGAGGATAGCCTGAGTGGAGTTACCATTTTATTATCATCCATTAAAAAAAAGACAGATCAAGTATATTATGACTAACAAAAATGGACTTTATGTTGTCTGAATTAATATTATTATCTAACCCGGCTTCACACGGGTGGACGTTTATACGACATTTTAAAAAGTGGTTACTGTACCATAACGATAATAGTTGGACATATAGTGTCGCGAAGTTTTTTGTAGTTATTGATATTTTCTTCAATATTGTAGAACATACTTTTGTTCTATCACCAATAGTTTCCGCAGCGCACGCGACCAAAGATATTTTATAGCATTTTTCTTACACCTCGAGTTACGTTACTAAAGTTTCAGTAAGGATCCCTAGTTATTTCTAGCAACAAATATAGCCTATGTCACTCAGGGTGAATGTAGCTTTTTAACGGTGAAAGAATTTTTGAAATCGGCAAAGTAGTTTTCGAGTTTATTCATTACAAACATACATACACACAAAAATACAAATCTTTCCTCTTTATAATATTAGTGTAGATAGGATGCAGACTGCACAGCTATGTTGTCCGAGGGCTGGTATGTATGTGTATGTGTATGTGTATGTGGTATATACTGACGATGCGCGCGACGAAGAGCGTCTTGAAGGGGTCGGCGGTGGCGGCGGGCGCGGCGGCGGCGGCGGCGGCGGGCTGCCACAGCGCGATGTGCTGCTCGAGCCGGTAGGCGGCGTGCTCGGCGCGCTCGCGCCGCCGCCGCTCCAGCCGCTCCTCGCGCGTCTCCACGCGCGTCGGCGGCGGCGTCTCCGACGGGTGCTGCCGGCACAGGCACAACACCACACGCCTTACTTATTACCATTCTACTCGAATGATTCACATGCTGACAGTCTAAAGTAATTATATATATATATATATATATATATATATATATATATATATATATATATATATATATATATATATATATATATATATATATATATATATATATATATATATATATATATATATATATATATTTGTATTTTAACTTGATAAAACCTAAATAGCTTTCTATAAAGTCTCAGTTTTGCACCACAACTGTACAAACTACAACTGTACATAATAATTTTGTTATATACTGGCCACCAGTAGCTAGTTCGAATTTTTATATATGTGAAATATCTATTTGACATGTGTCACAATTATTCTATTCTAATAAAATAACTTATGTAGATATACGTATTTTACAAACTGGCAACGATGTCAACTATCGATAGAAAAAAAATTGAAGAAAACACGAGCCTCGCTACGGGGTTTACTCACAAAACTAGAAAATTATAACGAAACAATCCCTCAAGAAGAAATTCAGTCAAGACTTCAATCACTTCAAGAAACATTACGAAAATTACAAGAAATTCAACACGAAATAGAAACAGAATCACCAGAGCAACAACTTAATGAAGAAATAGAAACAAGGTACGACTTTGAAGAGAAACGTACAATTTTAAAGACCAAACTTTTGATACTACAAAACAGAAATCACGAACCCACCGCAGCACCACAGCTATCCCCATCACCTTCGAGCACCAATTCACGTCAAGACAGAAATCCCAAAATGAACTTTCAACCATTTCAAGAAAAGGAAACCTTTAAAAATTTTACGAAAAGATTAACAGTAATATTTCTTATTAAACAACATTGAAGACCCTAAAATTAAAGTACACCTATCCCCCGATTTACACGGTAGATACGTTCCTGAGAAAAACGTGTAAATCGAAAATTTAAAATTTTCAAGTCAAAACCGTGTAAATCGAAAAACTTGCAGAAAATGCATAATTTTGCTATTTAACAGTTGTGATTTTTTTCAATATTTTTAGGTGTACACAGAAATAAAAATAAAATGCATTGACAGGTTAAAATATGTAATATATTACGGAAACACTGTTTTTTTATTTAATTACAATACATTAAACGATCCAAAGCGATCCAAAATTTCGATTTTAGTTTCTAAAGAAATAACTTTTCTTTTAACTTCTTTCGACATTATTATAATTATATTATTATAAATATTATTTAATTTATGTTAATTTATAAAAATCTTAATTATGCACTCACTTGTAATTTACGAATATGAAAAATTAAATCTTTCTGACACTGTGAAACTTTCACTCAAATACAATTTTCCATAGATAAAACTTTAATTTTATGCGAAGAAATACAGACACAGTGCGCATGTAGAGATGGGCAATCCACCTGGGTGGGTTTAAAGTCTGGTGGGTAAAAACCGGGTGTTTTGGGTTTATTGGGTTTAAACCCCATAAACACCCAAATTTTTGGGTGTTTATGATTTTGTACTTCATCATCGTCATCTCAGCCGCAAGACGTCCACTATACTGGACATAGACAATATTATTATGCAGCCTACAGAATAAAAAACTTTTAATTTGATTTTGAGTTTATTAAGAAAGAGATGAAAGTAAAATGTAAAACTACAGTCAATCACTGTCAGATTCAGAGTTATTACAAGCGATGAATTGTATAGGTTCGATAGGCTCTATTTCGTCTAAACTGTTATGTTCATTTACTTGCTCAATGAAAGCTTCTAAGGTATTTTCTTCATTAAACTGAATGTCCTCGCATTCAGCTTTATGTTTAAGATTCCAGTTATAACAAATGAATGAAATTTTTTCAGTTCTTTCAGTTGTAAGTCGATTTCTTTTGTTATTATGTATGTAGCCTTGGATACTAAAGGAACGCTCAGTGGCTGCCGAAGTACAGGGAGCTGATAGAATACGAATCGCTACTTTGCTTAACTCAGTGGAACCACAAATACCTTTCCACCATATTAGGGGCTCAATGCTATCTAATGAGCTCCATACAAATCCTCTGGCCCAAAAGTTTTCTTTAGCTTTATAACACGCCAAATCTGCCATTACATTTGACAAACTTAAGTGTTGGCTTAAATTGTAGATAAACTCCATACCCTTAAGTTCTTCCTCTTGAGTAAGTTCGACTCCTAGAGTCCTGGGGTCTAGAATATATGCTGCAAAATGTATTGGCCTCATTGCCATATTGCATCTTGAAGATACTGATGTTAGAATCTGCTGTTTGCTTTCTTCGCTCAATGTCGAAATCTCATTTAATGCAAAACGTATCTTAGCTTGTACATCTCTAAATGTAATGTATGTGCGATGCAAACGATTCTGGTCGCTCTCTAAGTAAAATATGCTTTCAGTGACTGGTTCCAAAATACTTATACATTCCCCTGTCTTCGTCCAGAAATCATCACTTAGAATTAAATCTTTAATATCTCTTGAAATTACCACATCTTCTCTAACTGTTAATATTTGCAAAGCTATCTTATTTGCTTTCAAACTTTTTAACGAAGTAACATGACTTCCCCATCTTGTAGCACAAGGCAATTTTAGTGTTTGTGTAGAATCTTCACCCTGCCTTGATTTTATCAACAAGGAACTTAATCGTTGACTCCTTTTAACAGTTTTTATTATATTTATGGCTTGCATAATAAACACAGTTACTTCTTGTATCTTTACAATATCTTGGCACAACAAGTTAAGGATATGTGCACAGCAACCGAGAGGAACAACATGTGGATATTTGAGTTTTGTTAATTCGAATGCCTTTTGTATATTTCTAGCGTTATCGCCAATAAGTACAAGAAACTTATTTGCTCCATACACTTTCATTACTTTTTCAACTTCTTGGCTAAGGTATTCACTAGTGTGAGGATTACTTTCTGTATTCAAACTTTTAACGTATGCAGGTTGAGGTTTTGATATAAGAAAGTTTATTATTCCTTCATTTCTTAAATTAGACCAGCCATCGCACTGAAGGTGTAAGTAACTACAAGCATTTAGTTCCTCATTTAACTCAAAACGCATTTCTCTATATATTTTATCTAAGTATTTTGTCGCTAAAGCTTTACGTGAAGGTATTTTAAATTTTGGTTGCAATTTTTCGAAAAATTGTATCCATAAAGGATGTTGCACCATCGATAATGGCGTCCCTGTTACAAATATAGCTCTCGCTAATTCTGTTTTTATATGATCATCGGTGTCTTGAAACTCAGCATTTATTGTAGTGTTAGCAGACGACGAGGGGCTTATAAAAGAATCATTTGTCTCTATCTCTGACAGTCCAGACATTTTGGTTTTGGACGAGCTATCTTTTATAAGTTTCATAGAGTCTTTTAATGTTTCTGGAGATTTTGGACAAGTGATAAGATGTTGAAGCATTTTGGCAGCATTACTGAATTTGTAGACCTTATTACAAAGCTTGCAAGAAACAGACTTGTTTGGTAAAGTACGGTAGTGCTCCCATATGCGTAAATCTTTAGGTCTCCCCATTGAACCTAAAAAAATGAACGATGATTAGTTGGTCTGACGAAAATTCAACAATAGAGTGCCTATTTTTTTACAATGATTATTTCTTGTTATTTACAATAAATTTATTAAAAAAATAATAAAATAAATACAAAAAACCTTTGTAAAATTACATCTCCTCGGAGGATTAAACGCAGACGCTAGTTTATTATCGTATTGTTCTGTATTTTTCTCAGCAACTTCTTTAATTCGATTAGGTACTTACGCATATTATGTTAAAAATAAATATCTAGTACACATCTTAGGCTATCCACCATTATTATCCAATGACGACTCTCAGCTAACTATGCACTATCATCCAAAATAAACGTGTATGGAAAATTTTATCCCAGTCGGTTGAGGATTGAGGATAATTGCATCAACATACGAACATACCTACATACTTTTATTTACATAACGCAAGCTAAATAAAAGCTTGTAATAATACATCTAATTTTAAGTTAAAATTGTTAAGTGATCATGATATAATTGTATCATTCAAAAATCCACTTACCTTTAATTATTTCTTGTTAAGTATAAATATTATTTCAAATCTGCTCCCTTAATATGCACTTTTTTACTGCTTTTCCTACCTAACACGTTACCAGGAAGTCACGTTACCAGAGTCAGAGTAATAGTGAACACGTTTGACAGTGATTGTCGTCGCCTCATATTCAGCGTCGACGAATAGGGGAATCCCCAGTCATAATGTATTGCATGCGTGGCGGTCTTACTTCAAATCCATAAACAAAGAGATAATTACAGAACTCGATACTAGATGGCGCTGTTTTTGTTTGAAGAAAGTTTGCGGGCTAAAATACATAGAATTTCATCAATGACTTCCACAAAGAACAACATTTCTGTTTTTTCTAAGTCCGTATCTCTTCCGTATATTTCATAAGATATAAGCTTGGGCTACATTGTTATGCAACGTGATTTTGTCGCTGTCTTGCTAGCAGGGTTGACAGATATACGATTTAAATCGTACTCATACTATTATTTGTCTATTTTTTAATGTACGATCGTAAAGATTATGATCGTAATTCGCACAAAAACATACGACTTTTTGGTTACCTGGCAACATTTTTATTATGAAACGAACATGCTCACATCATCAGTCACATGCAACAATTTATTGGGGATTTCCCCTTCACATCTGGCAGTCCTGCTTGCTAGAATATAGGTAAGTCAGCCACAGTTACTGACGATCGATATTTAAAGGGTATTGTTTTTGTGCTAAATATTTCATAAAAACGTTATTTAATACTTTGTGGATTATTAATTTAGTTGATAATCACTGGAAGTAAAATGGATGCTAATTTGAGAGATCAAGATCTTCGTATAAAACAGTTAATAAAAGAAAATTTACGTAAGTACTCTTTTTATACCTAGGTAGGTAAGGTATAATAAACACAAAAGGTACTTAGATCGCGTGTGTTCGAAGCATTTATTCTAATAAATTTAATTTAAAATTGTAGAAAGAAAAAAATGTCTGCCAAGCCGTAGCCGAAGCCGATCTCCAAATATATTTGGCGATAGTGAGACCCAGTGTCCAGATGATTTACCCAGCGTCGTCGCAACAAAGAAAAAAAACGAGGATAAAGTAAAAGAAAATTTACTGAAAGAAGAAACAAACTGTTCTAAATGCTTAATTTATGGAGAAGAGGATAAAAGAAATGAGTATTTCGGACTGTTAGTGGCTCAAGAATTTAAATATATACGGCCATGTGTGCGAACGAGGTGTTATGAAGAAATTTTAAAGTATCTACGGGAAGCAAAAGGCCAACATGTTGATCAACTGCAACATGAAAACACTGAAAATTAATTACTTTCATTTTATTATATATAGATTTTTAAAATTTCCTGAAATATTATTAGTTAACGTTTTATTTAATATTGTAGAATTGATCAATACAATTTATAAAAATAATTTATTGGTATTACTTACATATTTTCAAAAAAATACGTAAAAACCTATTTTTTTGGGTGATTATGGGAGTTTATGGGTGTTTATTGGGTTTTTACCAAAGCACCGGGTTTAAACCCGGTGCTTTGCCCATCTGTATGCGCATGTGCAGCAAGTCAGCACATAAGCTCGGGATTCCCCGTGAGATGTGTACACAGCGCACGTGTTCAAACACAGAAGCATTTAGTAGAGTGGGATAAAAACAAAAAAAAAAAACTTATTTGGAAAACCGTGTAAAAGCGAAAACGTGTAAAACAAGTACCGTGTAAATCGGGGGATAGGTGTATATATATTACTATCGGCGTTATCTCCTGAACTTCATGAAAAGTTACACGACCTATGCTCTCCTGAGGATCCAATTAATATGAACTTTATAGAACTTACTCGTACACTAGATGACCACATAGATCCAATACCGAGTGTATGGGCATTACAACATAAATTTATTACACGGGTACAAAAAGAGGATGAAACAGTAGCAATGTACGCCTCCGAATTAAAGAAATTGTCCAACAACTGTGAATTCAAATGTCAAAACTGCCATAAACCAACCTTAGAAAGCTTCATATCATTGCAATTTATCCGAGGATTGAAGGACAGTGATATAAGAATCAGAATCCTACAAGACCGAGAAACGCCACCTTTTACGAGATTGGTACAAATGGCTACATACATGGAAATGGGAAAATGTATGCGGGCCAAAATGGGAATTTGGCAATATAGTGAATAGACTGGGACGATTGCACTACGAAGTACAGACCGACCAGGGAGCTGTGTGGCGTAGGCACGTGGAGCAGTTACTACCGGCTCCAAGAGTCCAGCAGTGCAGAATAGCGGCGGAGGACTGTTATATACTGGCCACCAGTAGCTAGTTTGAATTTTTATATATGTAAAATATCTATTTGACATGTGTCACAATTATTCTATTCTAATAAAATAACTTATGTAGATATAGGTATTTTACAAATTTATTTCTACATTATTAATATAGCAATATTAAGGATGTATATAACTATTAAATACTAGCGGCCCGTCCCAGCATCGCACGGGTGGACAATTTTACATTTGAAAAAGTGGCCATTAAGGCCACAAACACGACAGAAGCTTAAAAATGGAGTAACTTCTCCCGTTTTCCTAACATTTCCCTTCACTGCTCTGCTCCTATTGATAGTAGCATAATGAAAAGTATACTATAACTTGCCCAGGAGTATGAAGAATAATTGCACCAAGTTTCGTTAGAATCCGTCAAGTAGTTTTTGTTTCTATAACGAACATACAGAGAGACGAACAAAAATTTTACTGATTGCATTTTTGGCATCAGTATCGATCACTAATCACCCGCTGATAGTTATTTTGGAAATATATTTCATGTACAGAATTGACCTCTCTACAGATTTATTATAAGTATAGATAGAACATAATTCTAATGGGCTACAATTCTTTTTAAAGGAATAGTACCTTTATTGATTAATACTAAATATTAAAATCATAGATAGCTAAAAAAAATTAAGGGATATCTTTCTGCAAAATATTGGTGCAATATTCATCGTGTTGCCATAAATTATGTATCAAAATTATGATATGGTAACATAACTAATGACATGTTTCATGAACGTAGCAAAATGTTTGAAATAACTTCCAAATTTTATATTTCATATTAGCACTCAGCAGTTACTATAAAAGAGATATTGTAAATGGTTAAAACCAGAGTATTCATCATGTAAATCTTAAGTACACCAGAGAAGATTAAGAGATTTATCAAGCAAGAATGAATGGAGATGTCGGTAGGGGCCGCCCTAGACGGACATATGTCTACCTACCCTAATGGGAGACAGGCGTGACAGATATGTATGTATGTATGTAAGTACACCAGTTTATTGCTAATTAGTGTGTTTTACTCTCCGTCAACCTCCATCACAAAATATAAAAAAGTCATTACAAAAAATATTGAATATTTATGCATCCAGATAAATTTAACATAGTATTAAATGGACAAAAGAGTTGTGGAAGAGATCCAACACAATGGACCGATATATTGAAATCAACTTGGCAAAGTATAATAAAAAATATATATAAATTGATAAAGGCCACATGGCTTACACAGCAATGATGAAAAAGTGACGACTATCAAAACGTTTATTACATCTAGACAGAAAAAACCTCAAAACAATGATAGGGACAATAACGGGTCATTGTCCATTAAACAAACATTTATACACAATAGGAGCCACAGACAGCCCTCTATGTCGAGGCTGTTTCAACGCCGAAGAAACGGCAACTCACGTAATCCTGGAATATGAGGCTGTGGCCCATCAACGTTTAGAAATCCTCGGAACGGTGAGGTCGCTCCGTGAGGCCTGTGAAGAACCCAGGAAGCTTCTGCGCTTCTGGACGGAGCTAGGTTGGCTGCACTAGCCACGACTCATACGCACAATGGCCCAAATGAGAGGCTAAGTGCGGAAAATGGAGTCCCTTTCACATTCACATTCACATGATGAAAAGTGACATGCTCACATGGTCATTACTCAGTTTTACAAAACCGATGTAAATAATGTAATTTTAACATTAAATCAGTGGAAAGTAACATGGCAAGAAAGAACAACTTTTTCACTATCATTCCCTAGTCACCATAATATTAAAAACATTTCCTGTTGGGGTAACAGCCTCAACAGAGGGAAAGCTATTTTTAGTTATAAAATCTAGCAGCCTCAATGTTGCTCCTCTTGTAAACCATCATGATTGATTTTTTAATTCGTCACAACTATGTCAACAATGTCACTGACCTGTTTTTATATTCACCTGTCAGTGCAGGTAAGGAACCAGTGAGAACTGGTTTTCAATGAGAACTAGTTCCCCAATAGCTTATATGCCATCATCATCAACATCATTTCAACCATTACCCGTCCACTGCTGGACATAAGCCTCCCCAATAGACTGCCATAAAGAACGGTCCTGAGCCACCTGCATCCATTACCTGCAACGCATTTCAGGTCCTCACTCCATCTAGTGGGAGGTCGTCCTACACAGCGTTTACCCATCCGTGGTCATTGTTATGTTATATAATATATTAAATAAATAAATAAGTAGCATGGGGTCGTGGTTACCCCGACTAATACCACAAATGACGAAAAATACCACGACCGTGGTCGTGGTATTTTTATCTATAATAAAAAAACATTCCACGTTTAGCTCATATCCCGGTAGTCGGACAGCAGTATAAGAGTTTAGATGGAGTTTTCCTCCTTTAGCATTGGTGTAAAACCCATAAAATAAGACATGGCACACGGTACCGAACTAACCTCAAATATATTGAGAAATGCACCAACGCCATCGTAGCCCTTTTGTTTCTTCTCATGCGGGAGCTTCGCTGCCGGCGGCAAATACGGGATAGGGTCCCGCGCCGCGAACAGCGCGAGCAAATTCGGCGGCAAGAACTGAGTCATGTTATTTTTTCACACTCACAACTTTAGCAAACGCATTCCAATAAATACAAGATAAACGTATGTACGGTGAAATAAACACAAATATTTCAAATGCCGACACTTCACTAAAAGCTACTAGTTCAGTTGCAATATAATGAGAATAGATTCTAATGTAGAATACAATTGTAACGCTAAACAATATAACAAGTTCAATATTGCGTAGCGGAAGCCATTTGTATTATAGTTTTTTTTTTTCAGGTAAATAGAGACCACAATATAACCACAGTCTACGAAGACCACAGATATATAATATTGTAATAGATAGGTATTTTTGTGATCATAGATACTATTACTTGGTCTATGTTAGTGATGTGATTTATCTTGGTAAATTAGTTCTAGTTTCCATGACTACTGTCCTTGTTGATTTTGAGACATAGAAAATAAAGTTGTTTAAATTTTATCTCTTTTTAATTATTAAGTTAAACACTTTAGAGTGCATGAATGATCTTATAATCCATTGCGTCTACCTTTGCGAAGTTCTAAACTTTAAATATATTACGAAAACTTAAGTTGAACTATATTTATCGAGACTTCGAAGACTATCATTAATCTATGGCAAGACCTAAATCATCATCTTGTCAACCTTTAATCGTCCACTGCTGAACATAAGACTCCCCTTGAGGGGTTCTGGCAGTATTTGCCATTCTTGACAGGCGGATTGACAACCGCAGTCAAGCTTAAGAGATGTTTAAGAGGGACGCTGCTACCCATCTCTCGTCCTCCTTTAGTCGGTTCTTACAACACCCACGGGAAAGAAAAAGGTGGCCTATTCTATGCCAGGACCACAAAGCAAAACCAAAATGAATAATATATTTACTTCTTAGATTATTAAAAAAGTTTCAATAAAATAAGTCTTATTATCATGTAAAAAGAGTATCTCAGTAATGAAAACTAATTCTGTCCTAATAGGATGTATATCATCCTGGCTCATATTACAATACTTCAAAAATATATATCGTATGCGTGTCAATATATGTCGTATGCGTGTCTATTTATACTATATTTGTGTATCTAGTATGAATCTATAGAATAAAAATTAAACGTGTGTTTTAAAAATAACATAGGACAATAATGTAAGAAATAAATCTACAACAAAACAAAATAAAACACATCTAATTTTATTTTTACTAAACATTTCTATGCATAACGTTTCCACAATATGACAGTAAAGAAAATAACAGACAGTGTAACCAATATACACAGGCTAATCATTATTATAACTTTAAAGTTTCTTCCAAGACAACTTTCTTCACCGTAAACAGAACCTCTTGCTCTAAAAGCATTCTGAAACGCTGGAACAACATGAGGCTTGAGTTTCTCCATTGTGTCACCGCCACTTTCATCAAATGTTTGTCTGTCGATTAAACACTACAAATTATTTATTCCATCTTGATCAGTGGCATCAAACTATTTTATACTATCTAAGGCGTCCAGTTCACTAAACATGTACATAACCTATAACTATGACTTCCATTATATGGCAACATAGAAAATGGCGCGAAATTTAAATTGTATGTATTACGTGTCAAAACAAACCAAATCATTTGCATTTGTCGTTAAAGTCATTGAAAGAAATTTGAAGTCATGATTGTTATCTTAATTTTCATTTAATAAATTTTAATCAATAACAGTGAACAACGATTTACATAATAAAAGACTTTTTCTTTTGAACTTTACTAAAAAAGTCAAATAGCAGGATAACCCTATTGCATTTACTTACATTGCCGGTCTTTGTTTAAATCCGCATTCTGTCATAATTTATTCTTATTTACTCATATTCTCAATTTTAGATATGAACCTAATATAAATTAGTCGGGCACAATTTGTATATAATGAATATTTTTAATTGTTCAGGACATTAGAAATCCTAGGGTTTATTACTGACATCAAAATGGCAATTATGCTGTCATCGTTTATTTAATGCCATATAGAAAACTACATACATATCTGTCAGGCCTGTCTCCCATTAGGGTAGGCAGAAACAATGGAACGCCAAATGCTTCGATTCAAACAAACCTCTTCGCTTTAGAAAACTATAGACTAAGAATAATACCTGCGACAGAAACTTAACCCTTGTTTTTTTTTTGATGGGTGAAAATAAAGTTCACCTGCGCTAACGGGATACGTTGGCGGAGCACTAGTGAGGGATGATAGGTGACGATGAAAGCAGGTTAGTTAGTCTATCGTGATGAATTCCATTATAATTAACCACGATAGTTTTTAGGGGGAACCGCGTGGAGGTAGACCTGATAGGGTGTATTGCTAGCAAGGGGCCAGTTAGACCCCATTACTAACAATGAATTTGTCACGATGGACCAACTGACCTGTCTTTTCATTCTCATCTGGCAGAAGGCGAACATACAAACGAAAAAATAATTAGTTTTCGATATTTCTCAGTCATAAATTTAATTCGACACAAAGTCAAAATTTTTTTAATGTCAGCCAGATTCTAATGAAACCTTTGTGACAACAGTCAGGAGCAAAGGTTCGGAATAGGTTACCTAGCATACCATAGAGTCACGATATTGTATAGATATAAACAATAATTGCCTTATTTCACTGTAATTTTTTTATAATACTTGAATGCATGGCTCTAGCTAGGAGTGGGAGGGCTTTGCCCTTCCTTTAAAGCCAATGCCCTACCTTAAAATTAGATTCGCTTTTTCGAAGTCACTTAATTAAGGCCTTACCACAAAGTTACCAGAGGGAGACTTTGTACAAAAGTCTATGGCTTGGGTACCTCTGTCCCATTCGTGTTTCAACCGTGAAGCAGTTGTGTTTGCATGGCTATGTTTCGGTTTGAAGGGTGGGATATGGCAGTGAATTTACTGGGTACAAAGGAATAACACCGGAGTCCTCAGGAATGGCAACGAATGGGGGATATCATGAGCGAAACAGTATACTCTGTTATATCCATGGTACTGCTCATGTCTATAGGCGACGGTTACCACTTTCCATCAGATGGGCCGTCAGCTTGTTTGCCTTTCTAAGTTGTATAAAAAAAAAGTTCATTTGCCTTACCTTAAACTTGGGTCTAGCTACAGTCCTGCTTGAATGGCAAATAACCTAATGACCCTCACCATAGAAAATATATCTGTGTTAATTATAAAATATACTATATTATGCCCATACTACCCATCATGAGTTGCCATTTTTTTACAACACAGGGGACAAACGAGCATGCTGCTCACCTGATGGTAAGTGACCACCGCCGCCCATGATCACCTACAACACCAGCGGCATTGCAGGTGTGCTGCCGGCCTTTTAAAAGGGAATACAAGAACTATGATGTTACATCACCATGCCCTGTAACTTCACTGTCATATATCCCACCTTTCAAACTGAAATTTATATAGGTTGCTTCACAGCAGAAAGAAGAAGAGTGAAGCAGAAGAGTGGGCCTTCTAATAAATAAAAAAAAAAAATACCAAATAAAACGTTAATTCAGAATAATCTTTACACTTATCATAGTTTATCAAATACAGAAACAATAGAACAAATGTATATAGCGTTACAGAAAGAGCTACAAATTAACTTTAAAAAGTTACAAAACAAAGTTTTTTTTTTGTTTGTAAATTAAAAACATACTGTACCTACTTTACTTACAACAAACAATTTTTTTGAGATACAGTACAGTTATGTAGCTTATGGCCACAAAAGAATATCAGTGTTTTGCTCTTTTTTCTGGGCAAAACAATTAAGTGAATTGTGCCCATTTTGTGTTACTGTGGCTCAAGCACGAAATGTATTTTCCTTTTTCTCTGTATTAGTATTATTTAATTTCTTTTTTTTTTTATATCTCTATTTATGTCTGTTATTGTTTGTGCGTTGTAAATGATACAAAAAAACTATATACAGTGTACGCTCTATATAAGCAACATTCTTTATATTTTATTTATTGTACTCATAGATTAGTTAGTAAAAGAAATAAGTGAAAATATTTTCCAGACGGTAAGTATTTTTATACTCCTTTTTTGCCTACAACTTTTCCCAATAAGATTTATTTATTTTATTGAAATTGGTTTCAATGAGTTGCTTATATAGAGCGTCCACTGTATCTATCTTACAGAATAGATACTCTACAATAGAAATATTTTATATGATTTCTGCCAACATAAAACATGATATAATCTTAGATATCTTGATATAAAATATCTTTAGTCGCTATGTAGATACAATAGGCAGGTTCTGCTAACATAAAATATTTATTAATTAACAATTTAATCTTATACGTAAATGTGCCATCAGTTTTGTCAATACGTAATATTGTAATAAACTATTGCGCACAAAAAAAAAATGTATACAAGGAGTATTTATACAAAATGTGCATATACAAGAGGCAGTCTTATCGCTAAAAGCAATCTCTCACAGACAACCTGGCATAAATAGTAGATAAGTACAGAGAGAAAGGTAGATGGCGCTAGTGAGACACAGTAAATACAAAAAAGTAACCTAATAAAATGCATATTGTTCTAAATATAATTTATATAAAAATAAGACTAAATTACATACTCGTATGTATGTATGTATAAATGAATGTAATGCTGACAATATACACTAAACACAGCACAAGTATTTAATTTTCACCATTACTTTGTCAACCCAAACGAATTCTGCCATATGTTAGACATATCTCATCATTGCCAACACAAATGGGCGTGCCAAGTGGATTCTGCCAAAACTAATCAATGATATATTGATCGATCAATTCCATCCTCTACATAGACAGTAGATACGCCATCTGATTTTTGCCCATACAAAAGATAATGCAGTGTTTGGGCATAAAACACTAAGGGCATTTCGTCCCTATGTAAACATCTCATGCGAGTTCTGTCAATTATTGGGTAGACACCTCAAAACCAGTTCTGCTAAAATAAATCATGGAAATGATTGGTCAATTGCATTTTTACATAGACGCAAGATCTGTCAATATAATGAAGCAATCTGTAAACCAGATTGCACTATAAAGATAAGAAAAGAAATTTATCACGTTCTGAGTGAATTCTGCCCATTACTGTACAGACGCCTTATGCGAGTTCTGTCCGTACAAAAAAAAACCCACATACTGGGCATGTTACATTGCTACGACGCGTCGAGCAGCTTGTGTTAACACAGGTCGATGACGTTGTCGCTCGCCCCTTGCGCGTATTCATCGTTCGTCAATGATCGCACTTGCGTAATTTGGCCTTCCACAATACTGTTGTTTGGCGGCTGTCCTTCCTAGAAAAAAAAAATTTACAACATAAGCTCGTGAGTTCCTTACTATATATTTTCGGCTAAAACAAAAAAAAAAAAATAGCGTGCATTGAATTGTTAAAAACAAAAAAATTCCTATAAAAAAAGTTTTTTTTTATGCAACTTAGAATGGCAAACAAGCTGACGGCCCACTTGATTAAAAGTGGTAATCGTCGCCTATAGACATGAGCAGTACCATAGACATAACAGAGTATACTGTTTCGCTCATGATACCTCACATGCGTTGCCATTCCTGAGGACTCAGGTGTTATTCCTAAAAATAAAACGAGTCAGCTAATTTGACAAAAAGCTGACCAACTTTTGAAGCTCGATGCTCTATCATTACAATCCAAGTGTCTACCATTTAACGTTTCGTAAAAAAACACCATAGACTCACCGTAAAAAATATAACATCCATCGGTATCTTATTCTCCCAATCGACCTTGGACGGGTTCAGGGGCGGGGGACGCGCGTCGTCATCACCCAAGTCTATACTGTCACCATCTGTCGACAGGACAGAGCTTTTTCTCTTTTTACTGGCAACACCACCAATATTATTTCTGATCAATTCTTTGTCAATAATATTGCTACAGTCGTTTAGCAAGTTCGCGTAGTAACATCCGAACTTCGTGTATGGGTTTGGAGCTAGAGGAGGCGTGTTCAGGTAGATCGATTGCCTATTTGACAGTACACAGGTCGACTCCAGATCGCTGGGTGCTGGTTGTACTGGCGTTCGTTTCTCTAGCAAGCGTTCTATTGGCACTAGTGCTGGCGTATCCTGTGTGGGGGCGCTGCAGTCTGTTTCTGGTGCACTGTAAGAAATCATAGAGGTAGACAGAGTCCTCAGGAATGGCAACGCATGGGGGGTATCATGGGCGAAACAGTTATATACTCTGTTATGTCCACGGTACTGCTATGACTATAGGCGACGGTTACCACTTTCCATCAGGTGGGCCGTCAGCTTGTTTGCCATTCTAAGTAGTATAAAAAAAAAAGGTATTATTAAGTTTTTTTTTTTAATGTAATAATAATGGAATGGTAACTTACATAGCCACTATGTACAACGTATGAATGCGAAAGTGCTGAACTGCATTCTCGGGACGGTCAACAATTGACAATAGTAGAGACGTCATGCCATCGATTTCTATAGATTTTTCATTATAATTAAAGACAGACCGGATTTGAACGTCAAACGGACAAGACGTTATTTCTATAATCTTATATTTCCTATCTATGAATGAAATTTGTTTTAATTATAGACTGGTGTGTATTAAAATATCTTTTTTTTAAAGTCCCATCTGACCCACCCCCTATTATTACTAACAATTACTAACAACCCCCCCCCTTGGGGGGGAAGGGATTGTTAGTAATGGAGACTGAGAATCTCATTGCTAGCAATATACCCAACCAGGTCGAGCTCCTCGCGGTTCCCCCTGGAAACTATCATGGTCAATTCCTGATGAATTCATCATGATGGTCTAACTGGCCTGTTTTCATTCTCATCTATCACCCTTCACTGGTGCTCCGCCAGCGTATCCCGTTAGCGCAGGCGGGGTTACCATACCATTTTCACCCACCAAAAAAAAAAAATCAACCCCCCTCCTTTCCTCTTACTTTTAATATTGTTAAACAATTTCCAAAGAAGGAAGTTCCCATAATACTCCTCATAGGTTACCATACCTAGATTATTATTCTTTCAGCCGTTAACCGTCCAGTGCTGAACATAAGCCTTCCGCATTAGGGAAGTTCTGCTAGTAGCCACCAAGCTTGGCAGGCGGATTGGCAACCGCAGTTAGGTTTTTAGAAATGTTTTAAGTGGGACGCTGCTGCCCATCCCTCGCGCTCCCTTAGTCGCCTCTTACGACACCCACGGGAAAGGAAGGGGTGGCCTTGTCGGGTGCCTATGCCGGGACCACATGGCATTACTGAATACGAAATCATTGTGCCCCTGTACCGTGTAATTTCACTGTCATATCCCGTCCTTCAAATCGAAACACAGCCACACAACTGTTTCACGGCGGACACAACTGTTCCTTCAGGGTCGGCAACGCGCGCGTAATACCTCTGGTATTGCAGGCGTTCATAGGCTACGGTAACCGCTTACCATCAGGTGGGCTGCATGCTTGTTTGCCACCTGTGGTATATAAAAAAAAAACACAAATGGGACAGAGGTACCCAGACAGTCTCTCTCTCTCTCTCTACAGAGCTAATTGGTAAACATGTTTAAACAAATTATAAACACTGACCTTCTATTAATTACGGCTGTCGTTTGTTCGCTCTGAAACCAAATTAAATATTAAAAAGTTAAAAAAAAAACAAGCTGACGGCCCACCTGATGGAAAGTGGTAACCGTCGCCTATAGACATGAGCAATACCGTGGACATAACAAAGTGTACTGTTTCGCCCATGATACCGCCCATGCGTTGCCATTCCTGAGAACTCAGGTGTTATTCCTCTGTACCCAGTAAATTCACGCCATATCCCACCCTTCAAACCGAAACACAGCCATGCAAACACAACTGCTTCACGGTTGAAACACGAATGGAACAGAGGTACTCAAGCAATCGACTTTTGTACAAAGTCTCCCTCTGCTTACGATATAAGTAAGATTAAATGAGGGTTTTATGGACCAGATCATTGTCCCATCCCCCCCCCCCCCCCCCATATCTGCAATACTCACCACTTCGACGTCGATATTTATCGTCAACACATCAGTAGATGCATAATGACTTTGTTCTTCAACTATTTTCAATAAATAGTCATAATTTATCGTCGATTTTTTACCCTTTTTGTTCACCTGTAAACATTAAATGGGGGTATTTTGTAATAACATTGTAATGCCACATTACGACACTAGATGTCGCTACTATCCAGCCGTGCGTGCCAAGCCAAGCCATGCCAAGAAGGGAGCAAAAGCAAAGCCGTATATGAGTGAAATGACTGTCTATGTGTAATAAAATATATAATGATTTATAATTTATGTAAATATTTATTTTAACTTCTGTCTTGCACTACTACTGCCCACTCACTACTTCCTACGCCACTGTGTTAGGTTGACTGGAAGAGATCTCTTTTAGAGGTAAGTTCGCGTTTGCTAACATTGTTATTAACTTATTGTTGTTACTGTATGTTTTAGTGCAATAAAGTATATATATGTATATAAAAAAATGTGATGTTTCGGTATGCAATTATAATTTGGAACGTTTACTGGATTTTTTTTATACTACTTATAATGGCAAACAAGCTAACGGCCCACCTGATGAAAAGTGGTAACCGTCGCCTATAGACATGAGCAGTACCGTGGACATAACAGAGTATACTGTTTCGCCCATGATACCCCCCATGCGTTGCCATTCCCGAGGACTCAGGTGTTATTCCTCTGTACCCAGTAAATTCACGCCATATCCCACCCTTCAAACCGAAACACAGCCATGGAAACACAACTGCTTCACAGTTGAAACACGAATGGGACAGAGGTACTCAAGCAATCGACTTTTGTACAAAGTCTCCCTCTGGCAAAGCCCCCAAAGGAGAGGCTTATGATCAGCAGTGGACAGTTAAAAATTAACATGGTGATGATGATGTGGGAAAAATAGTTAATGGTTAAAAATTAAATATTGATCGTGATTGCGTCAGCACACAAACCTTACCTAGTAACAGGTTAAATGACAGAATTGCAAATTTATTAATTCGGAGGTAAAATCTTGTTATAGAATATTTTATAGTAAAAAAATACCATGTTGCAGTGTTGAAAATATAGTTTATAGATGGCATGGAATACAATGAATAAACCTATAGAGAGAAAACATTGTACGCATAGTTGTAAGTCGACAAAATAAATCATTTCTCTTATGGTTTTTTACTATAGAGAAATTTATAGAAAATAGGTATGGGCATATACATAGTTTGATGGTATTCTGTATAGCTTTAGGAAGCTTTGGCATAAATATCCCAGTCTTCTTGCGTCCGTCTGTTTATAGTTGTGTTAAACAGTTCTCTTAATTTCCGACGATGCCTCTCCATGTTAGTACACCACCAGTGTTGCCTCCCTCCATACCATGGCATGATTAGGGCGCAGGAGTGTTCAAAGCTGGACGTTAAGCTGGAGGTAATGTGATCTTGCACAAATGTACAAATCTGCTGCCGCTAAATCGTTTAATAGTGGCAGTTGATTACCAAATTTTTCTCTGACCAGATTAAGAAATTGACGTTGGTCAAACTTTCGAGGTATGCATCCAGGCTGTGGTTTGGGTAACTCCATATTAATGGAGAGTCAGATCCATCTGTGGTCTGAGCATGATATTTCTTCAGATACATGCCAGTCACAAATAGATTCCGGAATACTAACAGACGTTAGAGTTAAATTTACAATATTAGTTTGTGATCGAGCGTTTATAAAGGTAGGTTCGGAACCTTTGTTACGTAAAGTTAACGCTAAAAATACAATGAAGCATTTCCTCACCTCTGTTGTTGGATTTGCCGTTACCCCAGAATTCGCTGCGCGTTGGAGGCGATAACGATGATCAGATCCAGCTCACAAAACTCGACTAGTTAGTTGGGCTCTGATGTTGGTACATCCTCGTCGCTCGGCAGGTATGCGGAAGCAAGGACGATCTCGGAGATACTGTTCTGTCCTAGTTAATCTAACTACTATCAGGTCCCTTGAACAGAATTCGTTAATTAATAATATTGATACATGTTTAGAAATAAATAAAAATGTTCTTGGTTTACTTACGGAGGTGTTCAGGAGTAGTTTTCTTCCGCTGTTTCCAAGACCACATGTCTAAATATTCCTGATCCACGGCTCTTGGATCAAGGATATGGTATGTGTGTTGTTTTCCAGCACTCTGCGTAGAGAGACCGTCGCAGATTGACAGTGCTGGAGGTTATTTTGTATGATTTTAGTCTTCCCGGAGAGGGAAGGAGTAGACACCATCGTTGGTTTCGCATTCTCCTTCCCCTGCCAGAAAACATTCTTCATCAGAGATAAATCTGTAAGGAGGCAAATTTTGCACCTCTATCGCAGACGAGGATTCCACGTGTTCCATAACACTCGCAGCTTCATTTGTCGATAATGTCGACTTAGGTGCTGCGCTCTGCATTGACGCCTGCGTTTCCTCCGGGTATTGCGTGGGATTTGTATTGGGTTGTAGTAAAGTATCTTTATCCAGGAATCGGATATATATGTTTCCCAAAAGGTAATACAGTCTTCTTTCCTGGGCTTTTAACAAATTAGCATCCATTTCCGTCACCCGGAAGAATAGACAGATTCCTGGTGGATCCGGTCTAACCTTCTCGTGTGTCAGTGTCCAGGAGTTAATATTTAGGTTACGATTTTGCCGCGCCAGGAGTTTTCGTAGTGCTGCTGAATCGCCAGTGTATCCTGGGACAAAAAGCAGACACGGTATCTTCTTCGGGATAGCTGATTGTGGTTTCACAACTAATTTTGTGTTAGTTATCGGTGAAGCCATGTTTTGGACGGTCCGATTTAGCCAGGCTAGCGTAAAGGCATCCTCACACCAGGCTTTGAGAACACCATCCGAAAAGTGTGCTCTGCCTCGAAATCTTATGTCGTTTGGTTCCGTTTCAAGAGATGTATCAGGCTCTGCCATAAGCTCATCCAGAAGCCTCGCTTCTATTTCTTGCCGAATACCTTCAGCTTGACCTTGCGTCATGTCAGCGAAAGGTTGGGTCATGACAGCAATGCAAAGGTCATTAGTTATGAAGGTTGCGGCCGCTTCAACGTACGATGCAGCAGTTCCTTTCACGGTCCGGGATTTTTTTATTTTGGGTTTTTTACGCACTCCGGTCGATGTAACGGAATTCCCTAGCCATGTACGTTTCTGCGCCCTCGGCTCAGATTTTGATTGGTCGTTAGATGATTTTTTCTGACCTCTCGGTTTCATGCTGCGCTTGTTTATACCTGTGGAAAGCGCAGCACTCACACCGACAACCGCAGGTGGTGGGGTCTCGCCCACTGTTACCTCCCATATTGGTTCAGTTTCCACTGGGCGAGAGCTCGGCTCAGCGATCTGCCTCGCAGCATCTGTTGTTACTACGCATTGTGCTGCTGCCTTCGCCTTGGCTTTAAGACGCCGCTTCATTGAGGCCGACATCGGTTTGGTTATCGATTTCCGAATTGGATTCGATGATGATTGTTTGGCATCTACAAGAGACAACATACCCATCGTTGAATTGTCTGCTTCAGCTTCCAACACAGACGCTGAAGGTTGATCCTCCGCTACAACCTCGGTCAGCACCACTGATTTTCCCTTGGAGGACACTTCCTCTGACGCAGCCTTAGTTGGCGCATCTCGGAGTGCGTCCTTCCTCGGTACTACCGTTGTGATAGCCGTCCTTGGTTGAACAGAGGGAGCTGCTTTACAAGGCGCATCCTTGGACGTCGACATGGATGGTGCATTTTGAAACGCTGCCCGGGTTGGCGCATTCCATACCTTCCTCATCGTATCCTCGGACGCAGCCAAGAGCGGCTGGAGGTTCGGCGCATCCTGAGACGCAGCCCTTTGTACTGCATGTATAGGCGCATTCCAAGACGCAGCCTGTGTTGTTGGTTCAGTTGATTGATTATTCGTCTCATAATCCATAAGGTTGTATGTATTTTATTCGCCTCAGGAGCTCTCCACCCGCCACGGAGCCCTCACATCGGGGACGTCATTCGTTCTACGAATGATCGCCAGAGCTACTCCCTCGGTATAGGCCCAGCAATTTGAGAGGAAGGCGAACCTGCACGCAGCAAAGCATCAAGAGGATACCTACAATACGAGACAATACCATAGGCCTACCTCAAGACGCCGTGCCGCGCCGACTGCCCCTCCCCAAATCGCCAATCCTCGCTTGACAGCCCGCTTATGGGATGTCGCAGCCGATTGATCGTGGTTAGCTACTCCACGACCGCCCGTTTGAGAGGAAATCCGGACCGAAGAGATGTGTTGTGAGCAGCGTACAACTACCGCCGGCACACTGCTGCACTCAATCTCCAGGACTCCTTCATCCCTCCGTACGGGTCTCCGCGCACGGCACAAACACGCGGGAGGTCATTACTATCCACCATCAGTCTTGTTTGATGATGAACACGCAAGGGCATGACCTCTCCACCCCCGCATTTAATTTTTCCAATAATTACAACTTTTATATTTATTTTAATTCAAATTATCTTTATGCAAATACACTTGTTTACAAACACTTTTAAATCGTCATTTTTTTTTTAATGTACTGCAAGATTCGTAAAATTGTTATCTGCTGAGAAGACCCCACATGGAATTCAAGCGTTACTTTATTTTAAGTCTATGTTAACATATGTATATTATATGTAAGTACACATATATTTATGTAAATGTACTGTTTTTTTTTTTAATGGATGATAATGGAATGATAACCCCGCCTGCGCTAACGGTATACGCTGACGGAGTACCAGTGATAGATGATAGGTGAGGATGAAAAGGCAGGTCAGTTAGCCCATCGTGATGAATACACTTGGAATTCAACACGATGGTTTCCAGGGGAGACCACGGGGAGGTCGACCTGTTAGGGTATATTATTAGCAATGGAAATGATAATCCGCATTACTAACAATCCCTTCTCCCCCAAATGTACTTTGTTATGTCGTTAAAAGCCCATGCATGATCTAACACCATGCACGTTTGTCATTCAAGTGATCGTTTAGTGTATTGTTTTTATTGGCTTTGTTCAATAAGTGTTTTTAATAACAGTTTTAAACTTATTAAAAGGTAGATCCAAAATATCCTTCGGTATCTTATTATAATATTTAATGCCCATTCCCATAAAAGACCTATTAATTTTATCTAAACGACACTTCGCAACAGCAAGTTTGTATTTGTATCTAGTGTTAAGATTATTCAGATCGCTGTTTTTATGAAACAGTTTAAGATGCCTGCTTATGTACAAAATGTTAGCGTATAAAATATATGTATTATGAAGCTACGGTGAAGAATGTTTGCTTCCTTAAATTTCTCTTTTAATGATTCACGACTTGCCGTAGAATAAATCGCGCGAATGGCACGTTTTAGTAATACAAATATGCTTTGGATGTCGGCTGCTTTACCCCATAATCCATAATATTCCATAGGACAGTATACTATGAAAGCAAGTATAATAAACAAATCCGGCAGTCTCGATATTAGTATACTGTTTGACCCGGCGTGCAGCATACGCCCAACAACTTGATTCAGTTGCAAGGCTTTGAATGCGAGGACCCCGCTGAGTTTTATTATCAACAGTGATTCCAAGAAAGACAGTGGAATCTATGAAATCAAGAAATTCATTATTTCATTTTACATAAGTCCAATAGTGATTTTTTAAAAGAACTTTACGCATCCTTTTTTTTATACAACTTAGAATAGCAAACAAGCTGACGGCCTACCTGATGGAAAGTGGTAACCGTCGCCTATAGACATGAGCAGTACCATGGACATAACAGAGTATACTGTTTCGCCCATGATACCACCCATGCGTTGCCATTCCTGAGGACTCAGGTGTTATTCCTCTGTACCCAGTCAATTCACGCCATATCCCACCCTTCAAACCGAAACACAGCCATGCAAACACAACTGCTTCACAGTTGAAACACGAACAGGACAGAGGTACCTAAGCAATCGACTTTTGTACAAAGTCATCTAGAAGTGGTCGTTTTTTTTTTTATACAGCTTAGAACTTTATACAACCTACAAATTGCAAGCACAAGTTAGTCTATGGTATTCTACTGGGAACGGCTTATCCAGAGCCAGAGCCAGGGGACTACAGATATCTTAAACCGCAGGATATCGTTAGGGTAACACATAGGATCTATGAAATGATGGTATAAGGCAGGGGGGAGCACAAAAGATCCGTATGGGTCGACGTGCAACAGCTTAGCTGACCCCATATGCGATAATAAGGTAGTCTATGATATAGAAACAAGTCAAATATACAGGGTAGAAGCGACAGGTTGGCGAAACCGAAAACAGCTGATTCAGATCAATGGTCTGAATCAGATGGCTGGTTGTTTTCCCACCGGAAATGCACCGCAGCCATATAATTACCGATTGTTAGTTTCGATGACGCGCAATGTATTTGAAACTGTACGATCCACGCGACGCGTGATGCCTACAACGCGCGCTCAGTGCTGCTTCCTCGTAGGTAGTTTCCGTACGCTCGTGGCGTTGACTTTACACAGCTGGTTCCGCGCGACGCGGTAGAATTTTAATACGTATATTACATTGCTGTTTTTGAGTATTTCACGGTATTTCACTATAAAATACTATTTTTTCTTTATATAGATTCTTTTTTGATGAGTGAAAATGAAATAGTAACCCCGCCTACGCTAACGGGATACGCTGGCGGAGCACCAGTGAAGGGTGATAGGTGAGAATGAAAACAGGCCAGTTAGCCCATCATGATGAATTCATCAGGAATTAACCATGATAGTTTCCAGGGGGAACCGCGAGGAGGTCGACCTGGTTGGGTATATTGCTAGCAATGGGATTCTTAGTCTTCATCACTAACAATCCCTTTCCCCCCTTTATATAGATTACATGATTTTAAATGAAAAAAAAAAGTGGAAAATATATTTTAAATTGATCAGAACAAATTTTTACTGATTTTCATTTCAGCATAACGATCTGAGTGCACTGTTTTAGTTTTTGCCAAGCTCTCCCTTCCACCCTGTATATGGCATAGAATGTATAGTAAAATTTTAATGAGGAAAGATATTTTTTTTTTTTATTTTTACAGACACTTAAAGAAAGCGATTATCAGCAAGAAACATAAGCTGTATTATATGTATGTATGTATTCTATCCACTCATGCGAAGCTGGACTGAAACACTTGAAGAATTGTCTTGTATAGTGACGTCATCTGGGTATAGGTCTTACGTATCGGAGAGTAAATACATACAATACCTAAAAACGAACGCACACTATGCATTTGATCTTTATTTTATTTTTATAATTTTTTTTTTTAGTTACATTTCACAGATCACTTTTGGCCACAACAGAATATCAGCGTTTTGCTCTTTTTAGGGCAAAGCAAAAAGCCGAGTTGTGGCCATTTTGTATTACTGTGGCACACGCGTGAAGAAAAAAAATTGTTAAAAATTTTATGCATTCTTGTTTTGTTTTTGTTTTTTTTTTTTAATCTTTTATACATGTATCTTTTTTTATCTTTTTTCACTTTGCATTTGTGTCTTTTACTGTTTGTGTGCTGTAAGTAATGCAAATAAACTATTTACCTATCTAAATTAATCCATTACTTCTTTTAAATTGTTATTAATGCCAAGTGTTTCGGTTTGAAAGGTGGGATATGGCGTGAATTTACTAGGTACAGAGGAATAACACCTGAGTCCTCAGGAGTGGCAACGCATAGGGGTATCATGGGTGAAACAGTATAGTCTTATGTCCATGGTACTGCTCATGTCTACAGGTGACAGCTGCCACTTTCCATCAGGTGGGCCGTCATCTTGTATGCCATTCTAAGTTGTATAAAAAAAAAATATTATTATAACTGTATTAGACTTGATCCGATTCCACCATACCATATGGTGGTCAGAAGCGAGCGGATAGAAACACTGAGGCAGGCGTTGGCATGAGCTGGTCTATTATTAGATTAAAGTACTAACAGTTTTGAAGTTCCCGAGCTGGTTGCTGAACTCCTCCTTGGTGAGGCGCCACCTCTTCAGCCGTTTCACCACATTGGTCAGCGTGCGGGCGCAATGCATCGCCCGCAGCAACTTCATTGCATTCAATGCTTGTTCCTCACAAATATAACATACTGTTATATCCTGGGGGGAAAGGGACTGTTTGTAATGAGCAGCCTTACTGCTAGCAATATACCCTATAATAGGGTTTCTTGGAGTGGGAGACTGAGAATCCCATTGCTAGCAATATACCCAACCAGGTCGATCTCCTCGCGGTTCTTCCTGGAAACTATCATGGTTAATTCCCGATGAATTCATCATGATGGGCTAACTGGCCTGTTTTCGTTCTCATCTATCACCCTTCACTTGTGCTCCGCCGGCGTAACCCGTTAGAGCGGGCGGGGTTACCATACCATTTTCACACATCAAAAAAAATTTAATGTGTGCTCGATGTATGGGTAGACTGTGTTTTCCTTTAATATGTTAATAACATCTTAGGAATAATTATAATGTAAATAAATATTTATTCTATTTTACCAGTATTTATTAATTTACACTTTATTGCACCATTTTTTAAATAATAACTTTTTATTAACTTTTACTGACCCTAAGGGTTTCCACTGAGCGTGTAGTTTTTTCTCCTTTTTTTTTTATTTTGCCAAGGGCATTGTGTTTCTTATTACGCCATTATAATTAATGTTATATATTAAAAAGAAATCGAAGAAACAAAAGAAGCTAAGAAGTTATAGTAATAAATTACCTCGGGTCCATCCCTTTTAGTAATCATGCGGAGCTCCCGTATAGCCTTCGGAGCCACCATGCGTCTTTCCTCCTCAGTCCGCAGGCAAACAACGCAGTAGGACAAATTCGAGAGAGAGATATCTTCATATTTTTTGTAAAGTGTATGTAAAGCTATTTCCGCCATTTTTTCAATCACATCTATATAATAAAATTACAGAGAACTATTTATTATATGAATAAAGATGGACTTAATTCAAATAAACAACTGAACGCCGGTTAGGCCTAACAACGCCAAATAAAACGCACAAGAATAATTAGATTTCTTCAAGTAATGACCAACATTATAATAATTTGTTTAAACAACAAAAGCACAGAGTTAGATAAATAAAATATGAATAATAAAGATGGGAAATTAAGAAATTAAACAAATGATGAGCAAACAAGATGCTATTTAAGAGTCAGTAGTGCCTTTGTATTATGAAACTGAAGTGAATCTATGCAATCATTTATGCAGTATTATTACAATAAAAGATTTATACTTTTCTACTTCTAGTTCTACGATTATTTATAATATGTCTCTATTAAAAATATTAATATCGCAAAAGAATTAGTTACTTCGTAGTATAAAATTTTTAAATTCAATATACTGGTTGCATAGATTGCATACAAATGGTTTTTATACGAAATGATGCCGGATAATCGAGACTGGACAGATTCTAATAGGAAATTTAAAAAAAAATACCTATTCTATCTGTGTTGTTTTGTACTCCATTTTTTTTTTATATCTTTGATTTTTTTTTTTTGTTTATTCTTTGAGATTTGGTATTCTTGAGTTGATCACAATTGCAAAAGCCAAAAATATTTGCTGTTAGCCTTCATTGTTAATATTTACATTTTGTATTACCCGAAAGCCGTTGTACGAGAATACCAGGCCCTTATTCTACATAAATCCTTAATCTATGTAATCGAGGTTTGTTAAGGGTGTTTCCACTTCAACGGAATAGTAATAGAAATCATTAAAAAAAACATATCACAATAAGAAATACTACAGAAATGAAAAACACATTAGAATCCATCCTAATCCAATCCATGGGAATTATATTTGATATGTTTGTATATTTTTTTTTATAAGAATTGTTATTACTAATTGTTTTGATCCTCAATCCACACAACATTTATACTTTTGGGTTTTAAATTTTGCATGCCTTGCAGGCGAAATATATGGACATATATTTATTTATAAATATCTATATACTGACCATATTTCTTGTAAATAGATAAAATAAAGGTTGATTTTGGATCACTATCTTTGGGTAATAATTCGGAATGGTAGCATAGGCGTAATTACGGAAGGATGTGGGAGAGAGCAGATGGACCGTGTCTACCCTAGAATTCGATTCAGCTATGCTGTACATATGCGCTTTTTAGGGGTTTGTCCGCACCTAATCGTCCTCGCATTGGAAAATCTACATCTACACTAATATTATAAAGAGGAAAGATTTGTATTATTGTGTGTATGTATGTTTGTAATGAATAAACACAAAAACTACTTTGCCAATTTCAAAAATTCTTTCACCATTAGAAAGCTACATTCACCCTGAGTGACATAGGCTATATTTATTGCTAGAAAAGATTAGGAGTCCTTACTAAAACTAGTAATGTAACTCAAGGTGTAAAAAAATATCTTTGGTCGCGTGCGCTGCGGAAACTATTGGTGATAGAACAAAAGTATGTTCTACAATATTGAAGAAAATATCAATAAATACATAAAACTTCGCGACACTATATGTCCAACTATTGTCGTTATGTCACAATGACCACTTTTCCAAATGTCGTAAAAATGTCCACCCGTGCGAAGCAGGGACGGGCCGCTAGTTGAGTATAAACAAACATCTCAATGGAATGGGTGAAATAAAAACACAATGTATAACAATATCTTAAATTTTATCATAAATATCAGTGGACATACAACGCCATCTAGTCCCGGACTCAGCTAAGTTACAATATAATGATTTTGAAGGTGATCACTCTTTTATAAATATTTACAAATACATAGGTATCATAATTTGTGATTGTTTCTGCAACCAAGAAACATTCAAACATTACTGCTACATACATACATATCTGTCACGCCTGTCTCCCATTAGGGTAGGCAGAAACAATGGAACGCCAAATGCTTCGATTCAAGCAAACCTCTTTCGCTTCCTCCACATTCATCAATGTTTTCATACACGCTCATTTTACCAGAGGGAGACTTTGTACAAAAGTCGTTAGCTTGAGTACCTCTGTCCCATTCGTGTTTCAATCGTGAAGCAGTTGTGTTTGCATGGCTGTGTTTCGGTTTGAAGGGTCGCTAGGGGTCGCTCTAAAAGGATGTATGTCGACCAAATAAGCGACGTGCTGAAGGGCCAAATTAAAAGTACCCGTAACCGGCGAGCATTTTTTTTTCTTTTTTTTTTATACAACTTAGAAAGACAAACAAGCTGACGGTCCACCTGATGGAAAGTGGTAACCGTCGCCTATAGACACGAGCAGTACCATGGACATAACAGAGTATACTGTTTCGCCCATGATACCCCCCATGCGTTGCCATTCCTGAGGACTCAGGTGTTATTCCTCCGTACCCAGTAAGTTCACGCAAAACCCTACCATTCAAACCGAAACACCGCCATGCAAACACAACTGCTTCACGGTAGAAACACGAATGGGACAGAGGTACACAAGCAATCGACTTTTGTACAAAGTCTCCCTCTCCCATTCATCCATCCTTAATCCTCATAAATAAATTTGCATATATACACATTAGCTTATTAAATTTGTGATGTATCTTCAACCCTCTGTCACCCTTCCATCAGCATCAACTGCTTCCAGGAGCTTGTAAGCTGCTCCATAATTTTACAACCTATTTACATCACTCCCAATGTGTCTACATTCAATCACCCTTCCTCCAGCCGTGAGACACTTTCAGGTGTTGCTGCAGGTTGATCCTGGACTTGAACACCTTGTGGGGACAGTGGGGACAGGCGACAGACGCGCTCTGCGGCGGGTGCACGTACTTGGTGTGCTGGTGAACGCACAGCCGGGACTTGAACTCCTTACCGCATACTGTGCACTTGTGGATCTTATCACCTGTATACACATTCACACAGAAGTTTTTTTGATGAGTGAAAATGCTGACAGTGTAAGTTAGAATTCCACAATAGTAATCACAATGGTCCAGGGAGAACATGGTGAACAGAGGTGGATCAGATAAGAGTATATTGCTAGTAATGAGTATCTGGGGGGAAAGGGATTGTTAGTAATGGAGACTGAGAATCCCATTGCTAGCAATATACCCAACCAGGTTGACCTCCTCGCCGTTCCCCCTGGAAACTATCATGGTTAATTCCTGATGAATTCACCATGACGGGCTAACTGCCCTGTTTTCATTCTCATCTATCACCCTTCACTGGTGCTCCGCCAGTGTATCCCGTTAGCGCGGGCGGGGTTACCATACCATTTTCACTCATCAAAAAAAAAAGTAATGAGTATCTTTTTAATGGATGATAATGGAATGGTAACCCCGCCTGCGCTAACAGTATACACCAGCGGGGCACCAGTGAAGGGTGATAGGTGAGGATGAAGTAGGTCAGTTAGCTCATCCTCACGAATTCAACAATAAATCCATCACTATGTTTTCCAGAGTGAACCCACATTTAGCCGAGTATATTAGAATCCACTTGTGGCAGGGAACAAGCTAAGACAAGATGAACAATTTTTTTTTAATGGCTGAAAATGGATAGGTAACCCAGCCCGCGCTATCGGTATACACCGGGGCACCAGTGGAAGATGATAGGCGAGAATGAATGCAGGTCAGTTGGCCCACCATGATGAATTCGACAAGACTTAACCATGACAGTTTCCAGAGGGAACTGCGAGGAGGTCGACCTGAGAGGGTATATTGCTAGTAATGGGGCTGGTAGACCTCATTACTAACAATCCCTTTCCCCTCCAAGAGGAACAATTAATATTTAAGAAAACACCCTGATATACTTTATAGAGCTCTCCTAGGCTGCCATTGTAAATGCACATTAAGAGACGTCTCACATAGTTTTCCTTATTTTTTTTTTTGGAAAATAAAGTGTACTAAATAGGTAATCGCACTCATAGTCCCCAAGATACAGGTCTGGCCTAGTTTGGGGACTGGTATTAATGAATGGTAATGCAGATATTTCCTCGTTGAATATAAATTGTAAACATTGTAAATTGTACCTTATGCAACTGTATCTTTCTTGACTGTATCTTTATTATTATTATATTATTAATTATTATTAATTTAGGGGTTTAAGCATGAAAGGTTGAATGTAAATGCACAATATTATATGTATCACTTTTTGCTCTTGCTTTGTCACACTTTTCATACGTGTGGATTAAAGAAGTAGGAAAACTTTGTACAAAAGTCGATTGCTTGGGTACCTCTGTTCCATTCGTGTTTCAACCGTGAAGCAGTTGTGTTTGCATAACTGTGTTTCGGTTTGAAGGGTGGGATATGGCGTGAATTTACTGGGTACAGAGGAATAACACCTGAGTCCTGAGGAATGGCAACGCATGGGGGGTATCATGGGCGAAACAGTATACTCTATTATGTCCACGGTACTGCTCATGTCTATAGGCGACGGTAACCACTTTCCATCAGGTGGGTCGTCAGCTTGTCTGCCATTCTAAGTAGTATAAAAAAAAAAAAACTAATTAAATATTCTAGTTAGTTGTTCTAGATGGCATATGAAGATGAAACTTACACCAGATTTTAAATTAGACCTTCAAGGACACAAGTGTGAAAACTGCATCCAATTTGATGCAGTATTTTTTGTGTCATACCAAAATAAACATACGGGCACACAAAATTTCTAAATACTCTACTTCGGCTTCTATTGTTGTTACTAAGATGGTAACATCATCAAGATGATGATGTCTGCACATGCTGCATGTCAATTATATATTGATTTTAACTTACCACTAGGGTGAACGTTCCTTTTGTGGTTCGACAAGTACTTTGGGGAGCGAAACTTCTGTCCACATAGTTCGCACTCAACAGAATCCTCTATAGACTCGTGCACGAGCTTGATATGTTCCCTGAGGGTCAGTTTAGACTTGAAGTTCCTGTTGCACTTCCCACAAGTCAATATCATGTCGGGGTTACTGTGCTCCGCTATCAGATGATCCTTTAAACAGTACTTCGGCAGCTCGAGCACACAAATCGGACATGTAACATTCTCAAAATCGTTCCCCGTGTCCTCGGACGTTTCAACCTCTCGTAGGATCTGCTGGAAGGACTTCCGTTTGTGCCGTTTTTGGGGTGGTCTGCATTCCTTCCTATGAACAACTAGTAACTGTCTTTCCTGGAAGATATTACAACATATCTGGCATTTGAAGAGTATTCGACGGTAGTTGTGTGCGTTGACCATGTGGTCAGAGAGGAGGTTGGCATCGACATCCTCGAGGCAGTGCATGCACACCATGAGGCCAGTTTTAGGGTTCATCATTGCGTCAGTTGTGTTGAATTCGATCGGCTCCTGATTAGTTTGGACGCACTGTGCCAGTTCCAGAAGCGCCCTGGGAATAAATAAAAACAGTTACGCTTTAGTGATATTATGACAGAATGACAGGGTAGCAGCATCACCCATCTCTCAGAAAGAAAGAAATATTTTTATTCAAGTAAACTTAGATTTTTTTGAATTGTCTACTTAGCTGTTGCTCTTTAGAAAAACTTTAACTATATAAATAAAAAAATTGCATGAAAACAAACTTCTAAGCCGCATTCGTACATAAGCAACCACAAAATTCCCTTAATAGCCTCTTAGAACACTTACGGAAAAGGAAAGGACGGACCATTCCATGCCGGGACCACACAGCGTGGATAAAATAGTTTATGAAATAAATAATAACATGTTTATACATACAGACAGGATATAGAACAAAAGCTTACAATATGTTAACAATAGTTGTCACAGTAAGAAACATTAAGAAACTAAGCACAATAACGTTTGATACAAAGTGGTTAGAGGTCTGTTTATGGAGTAGTCACAAATTTTTATTGCTTGTTAGCAGTTGCATTTCACTCGAACAAAAGATCAGTTACACAAGCTAAACAATACTTTTATTGATATTACGGCGTCACGGACATCTTTGATTAGCAAGATACACCCACCGCTCCTTTCAAATTGCCGGGATATATTAAATAAATAAAATAAACACAAACATTGTATTGTATCCATCTTCATCGGTGTCTTCCTCTTCCTTTATCTCTGATTTAACAGTAACAGCCAAGTCGTAACTACTGCCTTCAAGCGGATCTCGGTCCGCGGTGTCTGCCATCGTAATTTCAATTTATTGCTACAGTATTATTTAAATAAAAAATAAATATTGTGACTTCGTTTAAATCGATAGAAAGAAAATAGAATGACACTTATTATGTTATTCAAGAGTCAGCACTATCTCTATGTTAACGAAACTGGATATGTATCTATGCAACTATATAGAAATATCAACACTAATAAAAAAATATTCACAGTGTTATACTATTATTTGTGATATATCTTTTTCCAAAATATAGACGTTGATAGCTATCATAAAAAACCAAGCTACTTTATAGTGTAAAATTTTCAAAGTTATTGAACTAGTTGCATAGAATTCCAACAATTAGATTTTTATTCGAAGAAACGTAGGTTGGACAAGAATTTGCTTTCTGCTGTCATACATCAATCAACTGACAATATCAAATTGACAACAATGTATAGTCATAGATAGAGGATAATCAATATGCACGACACACCTCAGCTCTTTCGCCTATAATCAATAACATCCATACACAAACCTATTTAAAAGATTCAATGTGGCTTAAAATAGAAAGAAATGTTTATTTACAGACCTTTATTCAGTTTTGAATAGTTATCTCGATTTAAGCTGCGTTAAAAATTACATAAAAACATACATTAGATCCAGTTCAGCTTTATTTATTCAACAAAGCTTATACAGAATAATATGACCTTGTTGAGACCTTGTTACAACAAGTATATAAAAAATACAAGTCCTAAATATATAAATTAATATTTCCCATTGGATTTGTCGGAAGTTTCTGACATATAACTCCGTAACTTCTATTTCCCTCTTTGTACTGGAACTAACCACCACAAATACTATGCTTAATCTATGAACTAATTGCATTTTTTAAAGAGTAAAAATGAAATGGTGACCCCGCCTGCGTTATCGGTATACCCTGACGGGGCACTAGTGAGGACTAATAGGTGAGAATGAATGGAACAGATCTGTTAGCCTATCCTGACGGATTCACCAGTAATTTACCGTGATAGTTTCCAGGGCGATCGCGTGGAGGTCAACCTGATAGAGAATATTGCTAGCAATAGGGTTTTTAAACCTCATTACTAACAATCTCTTTCCCTCTAATCAACAGCAATTAAACTATACGCTAGGTAGTCTAAAAAAATTAGTCTAACTATAAAAATATTTAATCCGAACAATTACAGTTGAATAGTTTATATTTGACACCAATCTCGTAGGACTCATCAATTATATTACAAACTAATCGAAAGTCCTCTTTACTCCTATATTTGTAGAATACAATTTCAGATTTCCACTCTGCACTGAACTGTTGGTCTTGAAAAAATGGTTCTGTGGTCTGAATATCTAATGGTTCCGTCGATACTGGCAACAGTAACCTGGAAATTAAATAAGAAACTATTTTGAAACCATTTGCGGGTACAAATAATAAAAACATTTTACAATAAATATACAATAATATGAACAAACTTTTTTACATCACAAACAAACAAGCATACAGCCCGTTTGATGGTAAAAAGTCACTGTAGCCTATGGAAACCTGCAACACTAGGGGTGTCACGTACGCGTTGCTGACCCTGAACAAACCTTAATATACCCTTTTTGAAGAACCTCATATTGTAATCTCCAGAAAAAACCTCAGCAGGGTCTCCATAATTCTCGACTAGTTTACTAAACTTTTAACAATAAAATATAAATACCTGGTAGCGTGCAAGAACATCCTGTGTGGAGAGCTATCAGTCGCGTTGCTGTACGTGTAATCGCCCAGTATTGTGTGACCAATGGCCGAGCAATGCACACGGAGCTGGTGGCGACGGCCTGCAAAACGGAAAACTTGCAAATTAGAGATGAGTCATCACCATTGTTTTACCCATTCTCCGCCCACTGCTAGACATAGGTCTTCACCATAGATAGCTATAAGGAACGGTTTTGGGCCATCTGCAATCACCGACTCTCTGCAGTGCATTTGAGGTCGTCACTACATCTATTACAGTACATTGCGTTTGCCCGTACAGGGTCGCCACTCAAGAACCTTTCTTCCTTATCGGTTGTCGGTTCTTCCAGCTATGTGACCAGCCCATTGCAATTTCAGCTTGCTTACCCTTTGGGCTATGTTCGTTATAGGTATTTACTATGCGTTGTTGTCATCGTTAAAAAAAATATAGCTGTTTGAAGACAAAAACACAAACAGCGTCCCATACATAGATACTCACCTGTTATTGGCTTTAATAGCACAACAGACACAGGTTCGTTTTTATAGTAACCCGTCTCTAAAACGAGGAGGCGTGTGTGCGCGTGCCGCGACTGCCCGCTGGCAGACGACTTGTTTGTAAACGCTAACATCTTGTGGCTTGAATTTGCTGTAGCTGGATCGATACCTGATAAAGAATACATGATGTCAACTTCTTAAACGATACTCCTGCGGAATAATAGACGTACAGAATTCAAAGATAAAGTTTTTATCTTTACCGAGTCCTTGAAATAGAAAGAGATAGCAACATACTGTATCTTGTTCTTTTTCTTGCCAGTTCTAATAGATTTTATAAATAGACTCGTTTACCACTTGTTTAAAGGGCCTTAATTATCTATTTGATGGACGCCATAGTTGGAAAGTTCCACTCACCGACATTGTACTCAATATCTGCTCGCTTAAATTTTACATGTCCCCTGACAATCGCCAGATAATATTTTTTTGTTTCCCGCCTCTCGAACAGCTTGCCAGCCGCGGCCGCAGCGGTTTTGTTTTTCGCGATACACAGCACGCCGCTTGTGGCATAGTCGAGGCGTTGCACAAAGTGCAAAGGATAGACAGACGTCGAGAGATGAGAGTCGTGAGACGCTATGTGACAGGTAACTGTGTTCTATAAGATAATTTAGGATTAAAAAAATATATACGTTATACGCCTAGAAAACAACTGAAAAAAAAGTTGTAATCACGCGTAACACACAAAGGCATTTCATGTCTTAGTCAGTTAAACGAAAATGGAGTGAATAAAACAATAAGCATAATAAGTAAATAAATAATAAATGACGCGGCTAGTGTCCATTATATTTGTAGAAGAATATAATACTGGCTGTTTCACGCGGCGTTAGTTAAGTTATAACTTATCTATATACATTTAATTCAAATTCATTGTGTAGTTTTTGCGTGAAAGTGTAATAAACAAACATCCATCCTCACAATATATAATAGTAGTAAGAATTAACTCTTGTAACATCCGCGAGAGGTGGTATTACTGATTTTTAAATATATCCACTTATTCATAAAAACTAAAACCTAGTAAGCACAGATTTATTTGAGCTATTGATATGCTTTGTCACTTTCTTTCAAATTGGGATTGTAACATTGATTTTACAAAGAAAGAGACAAAACAGTTCCATAGCTAAAATAAGTTTATGAGAGATTTGATATTTTTATAATAAAAAGCATAAGTCTCTCTGCAAATAATCATAGGTATGAGTATTCAAAAATGATGCAGTAGATAATCAAATTAATCAAAATTTAAACAATATGATTAATTTAGTTACTTTATCTTTGTCCAAATATTTACACAGAGTATATAAGATCAATTAGATGAATTACTTGAAATTTAGTCAATATCATAACCTAAAATAAGTGTAAACGATTCCTTTAAAGAGAATATTAATAAGAATATATGTCATACCTTTTCAGTTTCGTCGTCAGTATTAATATACATATCATATGGCTTGTTTACTACTATATAATTTTCACTTTCGTATAATTTTTCGATTGCCATGTCTAATGTTTTGTTTACTATATAAAAAAAAAAAGATCATAATAGCTGCGTTCACTTCACTACCAATAAGTAGATAAGAGTATGTACTCCAAAATAGTTGTCTTTTTCAAATTAAAGGAATAATTTGTATAGCTATTTTGGATTGGAGATGCAGGCAAAGATATCTTTGGACAAAAAAGCAACAAGGAGACAGTGTCATTTTGCCCAATGGATATTTTTTATTTATTAATTTATATCAAAATTGCGATACTACTAAAATTATTTTATATATTGTCTGTCAATATATATATTTTTATTTAACAAAAAACTATCGCAGGAAGCCTTCTTGTGATTTTAAAATCTTTATTTATTGTAATCTCATATGCACTGCTAATAAATATATTACTTTTTTTATACAATAAAAAGCTCATTCCTGAAATAAATTAATTTGCATACAAAGATGTATGCAAATTAATTTATTTCATGATTCATTTAGGAATTCATAATAATTAGTCAAATTTACGTAACAAGAATGCATCTCTTTGAGTGTCAATTTTTGACGGCTACCGTCTCTACAGTATAAAGCTATTAATTTACGTTGACCATAACATCTTAACACAATACGTACAAATTAGTAACAATGTTAATGAATAGCATTATATTAAATATATAAATTAAATTCATATGCCTTGGTAAATTTTATTTTTTTATATAAAAAATACAAAAATGAAGCGAATGAAGAGGCATAAAATTAAAAGAGAGAAACCTGAGTCGTCCGCTTCAATATCTCGGGAGCAGGAGGAGCACGATTTAGCGTATTACATACACGATCGCGTGGAACTGGTTCATCAAATATTTTCCTCTATTAAACCGAAAGATCTCAAATCAATGACTCCGGAATGTATCCGGCATCTCTCCACTGATAACGTAAAGGAACTGTGTACTGAGGAGGTAAGACTAACAATAATGATAATTAAAAAGTGGCAATTATGAATGCTCGCTGAGGTAGCGATATAAATTTAATACAAACATACATTTTCCTTAAAGTAAGAAATTAGTATTCGCATCCTGTGTCTCGATAGAGTAAATGTAAATTGGATCCTCTTTTCCACACTAAGAGTAATTTGGACCATTGTGCTTATGATACGTGGCTAATACAGCCACCCCTGCTCTGCACAGATGCACAGATGCTTCCTGGGTTCTTCACAGGCGTTACGGAGCGATCTCACTGTTGCTAGGATTTCTAAACGTTGAGAGGCCACAGCTTCACATTCCAGGATTACGTGAGCAGCTGTTTCTTCGGCGTCGAAACAGCAGACAGTCGACATAGAGGGCTGTCTGTGATTCCTATTGTGTATAAATGTTTGTTTAAGGGCAATGTCGGTTATTGTCCCTATCATTGTTTTAAGGTTTTTTCTATCTAGATATAATAAAGGTTTTGATAGTATAGATAAGGTAAGAAGATTTGTGTGAGTTATCAGAGATGTGTGGTTTTTTTATCAGTAGAATAACCTTAGTTTTATTTTTTTGGGATAAATGTTTTTACACAGTGTAAAAGATCCCCACTGGATGGAATGGACCTGAAATGCATTGCAGCGAATCAGTGGATGCAGGTGGCTCAGAACTGTTCTTTATGGCAGTCTACGGGGGAGGCTTATGTCCAGCAGTGGACGGATAATGGCTGAAATGATAATATAATAAAAAATGAATATACACTTGTTACAGCTACTGGGTATTAGTTCGAAACGGCTGTGTGCAATACTAGATGGGGCAGAGCCTCCCTCTGATACAGAGTCCTCGAGCCCGTCGCTGTCGCCAGAACATATGGAGACCATATCACTGGACAGCATCTCTTCCGATGAAGACTTGCTCAGTCAGACCAGCAGCAAGAAGAGTAAAAAGGTACAGCATAGGTTATCCATTAGATTGTAGCAAAAAAAAAAATTATCTCCGTCATCTTGTTTGCCATTCAAATTTGCACATAAAGGTATATTTTTTTTTATGGGTGAAAATGGAATGGTAATCCCGCCTGCGCTATCGGTATACGCTGATGGGGCACCAGTAATAGATGATAGCTGAGAATGCAGGTTAGGTGGTCCATCATGAAGAATTCAACAAGAGATTAACTATGATGGTTTGGTAACTATGATGGAGGGAGAACAGCGTGGAGGTCGACCTGATAGCTAGAATCCATTACTAACAAGTCCTTCCCCCCATAAGAGCAGTATTCTGTAAAGGTATATTACCGTGTACAGCACAAACACCGGCGCCACGGCTCCAAGTCGAGGAAGAGAAGCAAGAAGCGCAAGCGGGCGGAGGAGGAGGCGCACGAGGGGGAGGAGGAGGAGGAGGAGGAGGAGGAGCAGCAGGCGCGGGCGTCGCGCGCGGGGCTCACGGTGCTGGAGCTGCTGGAGCTGCAGGCGCGCGCCCGCGCCATCCGCGCGCAGCTGCAGCAGCACCGCGCCGCAAGTACGCTGCCGTATACTGTTAGTGCAGGGGGGTTACCATTCCATTATTATCTATTAAAAAAATAGCTAATTAGGGGGGGGGGAGATTGTTAATAATGGGGAAATTCATATACCAGACAGTGACTAGTATTTAAAGTAATCTATGTTAAGTTAGGATCTAACCTATCATTGTACCAAATTTCTTTAAAATGTAATGACCTACCGTGAAATGTTTACCGAAATATTGATGCCGAAAGAAACACAAATTGGGTATTAAAATTACATGGTGCATAACGTTTATAGTACATTACTGCAGCGGCCAGCAACTGAGGCATTGATGGACAAAGGCGCAAATGTGGGCCGAGGCGTAGCCGAGGCACACATACGTGAGTCCATCAATGCCTAGTTGTGGCCAAGGCTTGTATAGTACTTTTCTCAAACAATGGCCGGAAATCAAAAACACAATTTTACTTTTTAAGTTTTAATGACGAATTAAGAACAATAATAATTTTTCACGCGCCATTTTTCCTTTCTCTTCTTTGCCTTTCTATTTACAAGCCAGTTCGAAATTTAAATAAAACCTTTTATTAGTTGTCTCCTTGGTAGCCATGTTTCGAAGTAAAAGGTCATTCTATTTTTAAATTACAGGACAGATAGGAGTTTACATAGAAATTTATCTGACCGCAAAACACAATAGATATGGATTTCATACAACTTTTGCCGGTCGCTGCCCGCATGTATTTGGCCAGTACGGCAATTTTGATTTATCTCGAAGAAGATTGTCAAAATAATGCTCACATTTCCAAGCATGTTTGAGAAAAGCTATTTTTTATACCGCTGAGGTGGCAAACAAACGTACGGTCCATGTGATGGTAAACGGTCACCATAGCCTATGAAAACCTGCAATATCAGGAGCATTACGCGCGCGTTATCGACCCTAAAGAGACCTCTTTACCCCTTTTTTGAAGAATTTTTACTGAAGTCTCTTGGGAAAACCTCGACAGGGAGCTCATTCCATAACCTGAGCATTCGTTGGAGGAAACATCTTTAAAACCCCGCTGTATGTGACCATCTAGACTCTAAGGTAAAAGTTATAAGGTCCTTTATTAAGTAGAAGTTTGTTTTTTCTAGAGAGTTCGAGTGAGCTTGCACCAGCAGCGTCTAACAAGACAGATTCGTCGAGCGATGACGAAGTGGAGGTGAAGGAGGAGCCGGCCGAGGTTGTGGAAATAAGCAGCAGCGAAGACGAAAAACCGCAGATTAACGAAGGTAATATATCCTAATTTTTTTACCAGAGGGAGACTTTGTACAAAAGTCGTTTGCTTGGATACCTCTGTCCTATTCGTGTTTCAACCGTAAAACAGTATTTGCATGGCTGTGTTTCGGTTTGAAGGGTGGGTGGGATATGGCGTGAATTTACAGGGTACATAGGAATAGCACCTAAGTCCTCAGGAATGGCAACGCATGGGGGGTATCATGGATGAAACGGTATACTCTGTTATGTCCATGGTACTGCTCATGTCTATAGGCGACGGTTACCACTTTCCATCAGGTGGGCCGTCAGTTTGTTTGCTGTTCTAAGTTGTATAAAAAAAAAATTATAAATGTAAAAGGGAGTTTGTTTGGTTGATACCACTTAGCATCTTAACAGTATAAACCGATCACTATGAAATTGGGTTATAAATTTACTATTTTGGATGGAGAAGAACATAGGAATTTTATTTCGGTCATGCAGAAAAAGTCGGTGGTAAAAGTTAGTTACAAATAAATACCACACAGTTACACCATTCGCCTAGTCTTCAAGTAAAGATATCCTGTGTTATGTGAAACTGGGACTCGCCTCAGGATTAGAAGCAGAACTTTCAACTATGGGTATGTCTAAGTGCACATATGCACGTAAGGACCATCCCATCCCCGCGGGGAGGTGGAAGAGGTTGTTAATTTTAAATTTGTGTGATTAGGTCAGCCCCATTGCTAGCATTATACCCTATCAGGTCGGTCTTCACGCGGTTCCACGTCATGGTGAACACCGCCAATGTGGAAACCATTGTGGTTAATTCGTCATGAAGGGCTAACTGACCTGCTTTCATCTATACTTATTATTTCTCACTGGTCCTCGCAGCGTATAATGATTGCGCAGACGGGGTTGCCATTAATTTCTCATCTATCGAAAGGAGAAAAATACGCTCTCTCCATCGGAAAATAATCTTAAATATACCAACGTTTATGTGCCATTCATCAGAAAATAAATTTATGTCACATTTAATGTTGCAGTAATACCGTCGTCGTCATGCAAAGAACCCGATAACACGAACACCACGCAAAAAGTAACGAAAAGAATAAACGATCTCATAATCACAGTACCACAAGCGAAGACGACGAAAAAAATTAAATTAAAAAGAAACAATAAAATAACAGTGCCCTCCGTTAAAAATACAAATTGTCCTTCCGATGTAGAAACAACAGATGTGGTTCAAAAATCGGAACATAGTTCAGTGGTTGCGACAACACATACCGTCACAAATACGGATAATAGAGAAGAGAAAGTTAAACATTTAGAGAAAGATGCAAAATCAAAGGAAAAGCAAAAAAAGAAATTAAAGAAAAAAGACAGGAAGAAAAATGTTGAAAAAGATGGAAGTGATCACGACGAGATAACTCTGCAACTGTCTGATAGTGAGAAAATGGATTTACTTGAGGACTTAGACCATAAAAACTTTGACAAAGTTTCAAGTTCAAGTTCAGAAGATTCTGAAAGCAGTAGTTCCGATTCAGAAGATGGAAGTGACTCTGAAACTACAGAAGTGGACGAGAAAAGTAAATCTCCATTAAAAGATAATATTGAAAACAATACAACAACAGTTCAAACTATGAATACGTCGACTGAAACGAGTAAACAATTAGATGAGAAAGCTGAAACAGTAGTGAGTACCTTGACTGCAAATGACAATGCTGAAGAAAATATAGATATACAAATAAATGCATGTACTGAGGTGGAATCGATGGAAATAGATAAGAGATTAGAAAATGACAATAAACAAATTGAAAATTTGTCTGAAGAAGTTGAAAAAACAATTAACCAAATTCAACCCCAAGAAAGTGAAACTATTGTGATTCAAGACGAACGAATAGAAACAACTGATCCTAATATTATAACAGATAACTCTCAAGAATCAGAAGTAAACATTGAAACGCAAAAAGAACTTGAAACTGATAATGGAAATGCAGATTGTGATGTAGATGATGCACATAGTGATGCAGTTGAAGATATACAGAGCACTGAAGCAACATGTAATATTGTTACAATACAACAAGAAAAAGTAAAAGAAATGTCTGATGGTGAAATAACAGATCGAGATAGTTCAGAAGTTGAAGTTTTTGATTTTAAACCTGAAATTGTCTACATATCGGATGAAGAAACAAACAAAAGTCACAAGAAAAAGAAGAACAAAAAGAAAGAGAAGAAGAATAAGAAAGAGAAGAAATCTAAAAAGTCGAAGTCGGATTTTCGTGAAGATTGCGATCAAAACTTTTATAAGAACTCAGTGATCGAAATTCTCGACAATACGACGTGTGCAGATGATAAAAAAGATGAATTGTCTACTGATAATAGAAATAATGTAGCTTTGGATGACAATCAAATAAATATTCAGTCAAATCATACAATTGAACTAAATCAAATTGTAGATGATGAAAAATTTATCATTATTGATGAAAATGATGTTTATGAAATTTTTGAATTGTCCGATGATTCGTCTTGTTATGAAGTAGAAGGCACAGTTCTATCAAAGGAACCTACAGCGGAAGAAATAGAAGCTTTATCTGCCAAAATAGATGAAATAGATAATAGACAAGAGGTTGTCACGGAGGAGGAAATCCGTGAACACGAAAGAGCAGAAGCACAGAAGAATGTATTGTACACAAATGATAACAGTGTCGAGAATATTTCATGGAAAGACAGATATTTGGAGAGTAAAAAAGTTAAAAGGGTACTGTGTACTTCAAACATACTGAATGCTCTGAGAAAGAAAAATAAAGAGTTGAAAAGAAAACTAGAAGAATCTAAGCATAAAGAAGTAGATGTAGATAAAGAAAGACCAGACGTAGATGTAGAAAATAAGAGTAATTTAGAAGAAGGTTCAATAGATCATTACAATACGTTGGAAGGATCAACCAAATATGTAGATCCTGTGAAAGAGACTGTAACTGAGAAGGAGGGAGAAATTGAGGCACATAATAAACAAATATTGGCCATAGTAACTAGAGAAATGAAGAAAGATGCAAAACAAATATTGAAAATGTACAAAAGATTATTAAAATACAATGACATGAATAAAAAGAAAGACCCAAATAAACAGAAAGATCTAAGTAAAAAGAAGAAGAAGAAGCTAAAGAAAAAAAAAGAGGAAAAAACAATAAGTGCTAGTGATTCACAGTAACAATTAATTGATAGTAATATTGTAATAAAATAAATAAAATATCCATTTATAGTCCAACATAATTTTAAGTTTTTGGAGTGTGTCTTCAAATAATTTCTTCCACATATGCCATATTTTGGGCTGACCTCATCCACATTGATCCTTTTTCCATCACTAGCGCATCTACCTACCGTCTGTTTGGTCGATCTCTCTTTCGTGTCTTCTATTTGTCCACCTACTATTGTCTTACATACGAGGTTTGTCCGGAAAGTACGTATAAAAGTTTTTTAAAAATTTTATTTTACAATTATTCAGGTAAATCAATTTTATCCCCTTCAAAGTACTCCCCCTGTGACATAATGCACTTGTGCCAACGCCGTTTCCACTGTGAGAAGGCTCCTTGAAAGTCCTCTGGTTGTAGGTTTCTCAGCTGCCCCGTCGTAGCTTTTTTTATCTCATTTATGTCCCCCAAATGCCGCCCCCGAAGTACCAATTTGGTTTTTGGGAACAAGAAGAAGTCACACGGGGCCAAATCCGGCGAATAGGGGGGGTGTTCGGTCACCGTAATGGAATTTTTACTCAAAAACTCACGGACAACAAGAGGTGTGGGCAGGGGCATTGTCGTGGTGAAGAATCCAACGCCCCTCTCGCGCCAATTCTGGACGAACTCGTGCCACACGAGCTTTGAGGCGTCTGAGCACATCGACGTAGAATTTTCCATCAACTGTCTGGCCTGGAGGGACGAATTCTTGATGGACAATCCCCCGAACATCGAAAAAAACAATCAACATTGTCTCGGCCCTCTCTGAATCTTTTTAGCCACTTGTGGACGGTTGGTTCCTTCACAGCATCATCCCCATAAACTGTTCTGAGATCGGCAAAAATTTCACGGCCATTCTTGCCGAGTTTCGAGAGAAACTTGATTACGACGCGCTGCTCTTCAACGGAAGCGGGCTCCATGCCGACGGGGTTTCGTTAAGAGGTAACTTCACAGATGGCGTGACAAGCCAGTTCGCACCGCACGGCGGTCAGACCAGAACTGAAGCATTGTTAGGGACATAAGGAAGGGGTCCTGCGCTTACCTGGCCTCCCCACTCCTCTTTCTCGCATTCCAGAACACTTTTATACGAACTTTCCGGACAGACCTCGTATATGTCCGGCCAATATTACAGTATTTATATAATAAATTTTCATTTTTTTTTTCTTCATATGTACTATACTTTATGTCCTTACCACAGGCCTATTGTTGGGCTTCGTGTTATTTTTTTTTTTATTTTTTTTATACAACTTAGAATGGCAAACGAGCTAACGGCCCACCTGATGGAAAGTGGTAACCGTCGCTTAGACATAAGCAGTACCATGGACGTAACAGATTATACTGTTTCGCCTATAATACCCCCCATTCGTTGCCATTTCTGAGGACTCGGGTGTTATTCCTCCGTACCCAATAAATTCACTGCCATATCCCACCCTTCAAACCGAAACACAGCCATGCAAACACAACTGCTTCATGGTTGAAACACGAATGGTACAAAGGTACTCAAGCAATCAACTTTTGTACAAAGTCTCCCTCTGGTAAATATATTAGCCATTAACTGTCCGTTGAATATAGGCATCTCCCATAAGGAGGGGGGAGGGGGTTTGCCAATAGTTGCCACGCTTGGCAAGTGGGTTGGTTTTTATCAATATTTCAACTGAATTTGTACTAACACGATGACAGCGTGCTGGCGGGTGAGAAATGCTAAAAAGGTTGATATCAATTGGTCCATTATGGCAAATTCACCATTAGTTGCCCTTGATAGTTGCCGAGAGATATCGTGTAAAGGTCATAACCAGGTTATATTGCTAGCTAGCTAATAGGCTTCTCAGAAGCTCGATCCAATTCCTCCTAGTGTTTTTTTTTTTATTTATTTATATTACTTAATGGATGTAAATGGAAGGGTCACGTCTACGGTATCGTTTTTTTTTTTATTTGGTCTTTTTTTTTTTTTTTTTTTTTTATTGGATGAAAATGGAATGGTAACCCCGCCTGCGCTAATGGGATACGCTGGCGGGGCACCAGTGAAGGGTGATCGATGAGAATGAAAACAGGCCAGTTAGCCCATCATGATGAATTCATCTGGAATTAATCATGATAGTTTCCAGGGGGAACCGCGAGGAGGTCGACCTGGTTGGGTATATTGCTAGCAATGGGATTCTTAGTCTCCATTACTAACAATCCCTTACCCCCCTTTTTATTTGGTCGTATCGTGAATATAAGTGAGAATGAAATTAGCTCTTCGTGGTGAATTCTACAGGAATTAATTGCAATGGTTCGTAGATGGAGCTAAGTAGAGACCGGCCTGTTTGGGGTATATTATTAGCAATGGGACTGTAATACTCCAATATATCTATGAATCTTTTGTCCTCACTTTGTGATATTTTTAATGGATGATAATGGAATGTTGACCCCGCTTGCACTAACGGTATACATTGGCGGGGCACCAGTGAGATATGATAGGTAAGAATGAAAAGGCAGGTCAGTTAGCCCATCGTGATGAACACCTGGCATTCAACACAATAGTTTACAGGGGGTTTATAGTTTGACCTGACAGGGTATATTGTTAACAGTGCGACTCCCCACCCTTCCCCCCTCTTTGTGATCATGGTATGTTAATAGTGCTTTATTAATTTGAATTTATATATAAGAAATGGCAAAAAATCTTTGTCCGGGTTTTTATAGTAGGACGGCGGTGCGATAAAATATAAGTCTTTTCTAACATAGACTTAGTATAACGTATATTAAAAATTTATCTAAGTAAAACATTTACTTAATTTCTTTAAAGAAATTAGAATATTTTTGACTTAGATAAATTACTAAACTTTTTGTACTCTGTGTAAAAATGTCACTGTTAATGTCATTAGTGTCATTTCATGTAGAGACGACGCTACAATAGCCATTTTTGCTTTGTTTGTAAAAAAACATTGCGATCATATCGATTATTTTTATTACAAATGACAAATAAAATATGTTCTAAAACGTTGAATGGGAATATCTACGGTATAATTATAAAAAATGGAGCAATTGTGCTGCGCTTGCCTGCGTACTGGACGTAAATTGTACTTCATCGTACAAACAGGCTTCTACGACCTATATTCACAAATTTTGAATGAAATACATGTAAGTTATGATTGAAATTGAAACTATAAGGATTTATAGAGGTCTCATTATAATTTGATATAGTAAAAATTGTATTTAAATAAAAATAAAATGGTACAAATGACAGTGGTTCAAATTTATTCATTTCACTTTATAATAATGTAAATGCACAAATTTTCCAGTTTAGGTAAGTAATCCTAATAATTTATATACTTATTCGTGGACAGACTTCAGCGGAATCAAAAAAAAAACAACAATTTATAAATTGTTCATTGTTTTTCTATAGGTAAATATTTGGTTCAAATGGGGGAAAGGATTATTAGTAATGGGGACTATCCCCATTATATATATATATACTCAATCAGGTCGACCTCTACGCGGTCTTCTCCAGAAACCAGAAACAAGAATCATCATATTAATAAATTAATCATTAATTTATAATGACTGACATGCCTTCATTTTCATCTATCATTCCTACTGGTGTCCCACCAGCATATACTCATAGTATAGGCGGGGTTACTATTCCATTCTCATCCCATTAAAAAGGATACATAACATCAGAGCAATATTCTTCATTGGTACAGTACAGTTGATCAGTTTTGCTGGGGGGAAAAGGGATTGTTAGTAATGAAGACTAAGAATCCCATTGCTAGCAATATACCCAACCATGTCGACCTCGTCGCGGTTCTCCCTGGAAACTACATACATACATATCTGTCACGCCTGTCTTCCATTAGGGTAGGCAGAAACAATGGAACGCTAAATGCTTCGATTCAAACAAACCTCTTTCGCTTCTTCCACATTCATCAATCTTGTCATACACGCTCGTCGGTAACTATCATGGTTAATTCCTGATGAATTCATCATGATGGTCTAACTGGCCTGTTTTCATTCTCATTTATCACCCTTCACTGGTGCCCCGCCAGCATATCCCGTTAGCGTAGGTGGGGTTACTATTCCATTTTCAACCATAAAAAAAATCAGTTTAGCTGACCATGTCATTTTTTCTTTACATTACCTGTCATTGTTCAGGTGTATAGCATGTCGCAGCTGTGTGTGCGTGTGTGCTGGGAGTGCCGCGCGTCGCTGCAGCGCTGGCAGCGCTTCAAGGACCGAGCTAAACGCTCCTATGCTCTGCTAATGCACATACACAATGTAAGTTTTTTAAAACCATTATATATATAAATGAATCCCTATTTCCCTTATTCAAGCCTTAACTTGAGAATAACATAACGGTTCGGATTTCATGGATTGATTTTTAATATTTCATAGATGGTTCTGATGGAAAGAAAAATAAAAAGATTGCATATAAAATTGGAAAACTTCTGAAAACTTGACAAGGACGTTAGCTTCACGTGTTGGACAGTTCGTGTATTTGACAGAACAATGTCTGTTGAGTCAGATAGTTATAGATAATTTCAGACTTTACAAATACAGTATTCATTCTAATTACGATATCATAATAAATATTTGAAGTACTAGCTTTTACTAACGTGCGCGCGCGCACACACCCACGCACACACGCACGCGCACACACGCACACACACACAACGTCCAGATTAAATTATAATTAAATATCTCTTTCTATAAATTATATTTATTGCATTGAATTCACTTATTATATTACAAGTGCTTAGTAAGTGAGCCTGCGGAGTGAGGCCCTGGTGAGCTGTAATACAGGTATTCTTATACCTATCTCAGGCACCAGTCTCCCACAATTATATTTATAATTTAATATAAGCTATTTATAAGTGATTGTAAGTGACTGACAGCTTTTTACCTGTGACTGAGATAAAAAGTAGCTTTTGTCCTACTCTGTCACAAATACTATGAGAATATCAAATTTCATAGTGATTGGTTAATCCAGCCTTTCCCAATGTGGGTGATAATGCCCCCTTGTGGGTGCTGCAGCCCAAAAGGGGTGCAGTAAGAGAACCAGAAAAAAAATGAGGGTGTTGTATAGAGGCTTGGGGGGGTGATTTGTTGATCTTGAAGTAATAGTGGGTTTTAACTAGGCGAATAAATGGGGGCGCTAAGAAATAATTTATTCTCAAAGTGGGCAGTAGACATAATAAGTTTGGGAACCCCTGGGTTAATCCATTAGAGTATCAAGAGGTAACAAACTCACTTTCACATTTACTATATTAGTGGGGATACATAACTGTATACTGTTGGGGGGGAAAGGGATTGTTAGTAATGGAGACTAAAAATCCCATTGCTAGCAATATACCCAACCAGGTCGACCCCTCGCGGTTCCCCCTGGAAACTATTGAGTTAATTCCTGATGAATTCATCATGATGGGCTAACTGGCCTGTTTTCATCCTCATCGATCACCATTCACTGGTGCTCCGTCAGCGTATCCCCTTAATGAAAGTGGGGTTACCATACCATTTTCATCCATAAAAAAAAACTGTATACTGTTTGTTACAGAACAATCCAGAATTAATAGCGCAACCGTCAAATCTTAAAATTGAGCACGTGACCAACATCAGCTATCCAGCAGTGAAGATAAAAACCGAGGTGCCCTCCGACCAGCTCAGCATGAACAGTATTGTCGTGGAGGACGAGTTCAACACAGAGACCAATGGGCTCTACCATGTGGACGTCGAAGTGAAGATAGAGACGGAGCACTGCGAGCCGGAGACGTTTGTCAACGACCTGCATGTGGAATATGATGATGTGAAGGAACCCAAGGTGAGTACACAAGTTAATTTTATTAATATTTTTTTTTATGACACTTATTATCGCATATGGGGTCAGCTAAGCTGTTACACGTCGACCCATCAGGATCTTTTGTGCTTCCCCCTGCCTTATACCATCATTTCACAGATCCTATGTGTTGCCCTAACGATATCCCGCGGTTTAAGATATCTGTAGTCCCCTGGCTCCGGATAAGCCGTTCCCAGTTGACTCATACGCATACTTGCCAACGAATCGCAGTTGCACATCAAGTGTTCCATGGATTCCGATCTCTCCCCGCACAGTCTGCACAGTGTGTCCGAAGATAGACCCATCTTGTGTAGTATATGCCTTATTAGCATATGTCCAGTTAGGGCACCCATAATGAGTCTTGTCTGTTGTCTGCCACCGCTGTAGATGAGTTCATCCCATCCCTCAGCATGACACTTAGAATGTGAAACAAGCTGAGGAATGATCTGGTTGAAATGGACAGTACCATGGACGTCACAGAGTATACTGTGACACCTGTGGTGCTCCTCATTTGTTGCTATTCCTGAGAACTATTATGGCTTTTATGAGCACGCTTAAATAATAAGTTTTATTACTTTTTACAAGTATTTTCAACCATCTTGAAAAAAGAAGAAGGTGCTAAATTCGATTATTTTTCTTTTTTTCATGTTTGTCACCTCATAACTTCGTCAGTTCTGAACCGATTTTGAAAATTCATCTTTTATCTGGAAGGATATACTTACAGATTGGTTCCAAAGAGATTTTAGCAAAATCTGTTCAGTTGTTTTATTTTTAAACAAATATAAACAATTTTGGTATAGTTGAAATAAGTTTCTTTTGTTATTTTTACTTTTTTGTTATTGTATACATTAATTGCATTAGAGGAAATAAATATACATACATACATACATACATATATATATCTGTCACGCCTGTCTCCCATTAGGGTAGGCAGAAACAATGGAACGCCAAATGCTTCGATTCAAACGAACCTCTTTCGCTTCCTCCACATTCATCAATCTTTTCATACACGCTCGCCGGTTACGGGTACTTTTAATTTGGCCCTTCTTCAGCACGTCGCCTGTTTGGTCGACATACGCCCGTCTAGGGCGGCACCTACCGACGTCTCAATATAATACTTAATTACAGATACCAAAAGAGAAAAATAAAAAGAAACTAAAAGAGAAGTCAGTGAACAAGAAGATTAAAACGAAGAAAAAGAAAAAATTAAAAGACGACTCAAAGAAGAATAGAACAGAAGAATCGTTACAACCGCATTCTGACGGTGTGAGCGACAGAGAAGACTTTAACAACGATAATAATGTTCTAGAAGTATCAGCTCACCTTCTAGAAGAGTCTAGAGATATTCCAGAAGAGAAGATAGAAGAATTTAAATGCAAAGTGTGTGATGTTGTATATAATTTGGAAAGTGACCTGAAATCTCATACTGATACTGTACATAAAGAGGTAAGTTTTTTTATACCACTGTGGTGGCAAACAAGCATACGGCCCGCCTGATGGTAAACGGTTACCGTAGCCTATAAAACGCCTGCAATGTTAGAGGCATTACGCGCGCGTTGCCGACCCTGAAGTTACCTCTTTTTTGAAGAAACCCATGCTGTAGTCGTTTGGGAAAAACTCAACATGTAGGTAACGGTCCAGGGTACTGTTCATGTCTACAGGCGACGGTTACCACCTTTTTTTATGGATGACAATGGAACGGTAACTTCGCCTGCGCTATCGGTATACACTGTCGGGGCACCAGTAAGGGATGATAGGTGAGGATGAAAAGGCAGGTCAGTTAGCCCATTGTGATGAATACACTTGGTAATTAAATATGATGGTTTCCAGGGAGGATCACAAGGAGGCATCTGATAGCAATGGGAGTGGTAGTCCTCATTACTAATAATCCCTTCCCCCCATGGTTACCATTTCCCATCAGGTGGGCCGTCACCTTGTTTGCCATTCTAAGTTGCATAAAAAAAAACATTAGGCTGACCAAAAAAGTTGGGATAAGGATTAGAAAGGCAAACAAGCTGACGGTCCACCTGATGGTAAGTGGTAACCGTCGCCTATAGACATGAGCAGTAGCATGGACATAACAGAGTATACTGTTTCGCCCGTGATACCCCCCATGCTTTGCCATTCCTGAGGACTCGGGTGTTATTCCCCTGTACCCAGTAAATTCACGCCATATCCCACCCTTCAAACCGAAACACAGCCATGCAAACAACTGTTTCACGGTAGAAACACGAATGGGACAGAGGTGCTCAAGCAAACGACTTTTCTACAAAGTTTTCCTTTGGTAAACTAAGATGATTCTTTTATATTCCAGACTGATAGAATAAAGCAAGAGAGTAGAGATAGAGTTAAGAGCAAACAAGAGAAGCCGCCGAGCAAGGAGGCGGGTCGCGACGAGCGGCCGCAGTGCGTCGAGTGCGGCAAGATATTTAGCTCCAGGAAGACGTACAGATACCATCTCAAGTGAGTGCACCCGGCGCTGCTTGTATATCAATACATACTTATAATAAAATCGTGACTGCTCTCTGTCTGGCTTTATGAACGCAATACAACGTAAAACAATGATTTTTGAAATTTTTGTCTGTTTGTCTGTACGTTTATGCGCGCTAATATTGGATTTGGATTCCTTGTCGATGGCGACTGTGGGACTGTGGGCATCATTACAAACAATTCCTCCAAAAGTTGAAACAGGCGCATAGATTAACGTATCGCTAAATATTTTGTTACCACCCTGTATATAAGATGATGTATTGATGGTTGGCGGCAGCGTGCTGCACAAGGGCCAGAACCGCTATCCGTGTCCGCGGTGCGGCAAGGTCTACCAGTGGAAGAGTAACCTCGGCCGCCACATGAGGAGTCACAAGGTCAGGAAATTTACTAACTTATACATTTTGATAAATGTACATTTAGTAACTTATTCGTAGTGCGACATGTACATTTAGTAACTTATTCGTAGTGCGACATGTACATTTAGTAACTTATTCGTTGTGCGACATGTACATTTAGTAACTTATTCGTTGTGCGACATGTACATTTAGTAACTTATTCGTTGTGAGACATGTACATTTAGTAACTTATTCGTTGTGCGACATGTACATTTAGTAACTTATTCGTTGTTCGACATGTACATTTAGTAACTTATTCGTTGTGCGACATGTACATTTAGTAACTTATTCGTTGTGCGACATGTACATTTAGTAACTTATTTGTTGGGACATGTACATTTAGTAACTTATACGTCAAGACATGGACAATTAGTAACTTATTAATTTTAATACGTGATATTTACTAAATTATTAATTGTGACATATGAGTATTAAGTAAATTATTCATCTTGAGACATGGGCATTTAGTGACATGGTCATTTTGAGACATGGACGGCCACATTAGTTGAACGTTACTGTCGGCGGCTGCAGGCGCGCGACTCGGGCGAGCTGTACTGCGCGGCGTGCGACAAGCGGTTCGCGTCCGTCGCCACCTACCGGCAGCACCTGCGGGTCTCGCGCCGCCACGTCGCCGAGGCAGAGTTCAGGTACTGCGCCACGTCCGCCACGCTCGCCACCAATTAAATTGCTCGTGTTCTCCCGCCATACAATAGGGCACCCCTTCCTTTTCCGTAGGTGTAGTAAGAGAGGGCGGGGGATGAGCAGCAGCGTCCCTCTTAAAATATCTCTAAAGCTTAACTGCGGTTGCCAACCCGGAGGGAAATGTTGGGAAAACGGGAGAAGTTACTCCATTTTTAAGCTTCCGTCGCGTGTGCGGCCTTAGTGGCCACTTTTTAAAATGTAACAATGTCCACCCGTGCGACGCCGGGACGGGCCGCCAGTAGACCATAAAGACGTGAGGATATACTTTTTGTCCCCCTTAGTAGTTAGCCATTATTACTACATCAGCTTTTAACTGTCCACTGCTGAACATAAGCTTCCCCCTTAGGGGGGTTTGCCACGCTTGACAGGCAGATAACCGCAGCCAGCTCATCCCTCGCGCTCACTTAGTCGCCTCTTACGACACCCACGGAAAAGGAAGGGGTGGCCTATTCTATATTGGGACCACACGGCGAATTTCAACATTGACTATAAATAATTCCAAATTTGTCACATTAATTCCATTTATTTTTGCCACATATAAATCTACCTTTTTTACAATTTAACTTATCCACTTATGTCTCAATTTATTTTCAACATCGCCACAAATTAATTCCATTTTCATTACAAATAATCCCACTTTTGTCACAAATAATTCCAACCTTGTCACAAAGCGGGAAAGGGATTGTTAGCAATAGAGTTTGATAGCTCCATTGCTAGCAATATAGGGCATATTGCTAGCAATAGGTCTATCAAACTCTTATTAGGTCGACGTCCACGTGGTTTCCCCTGGAAACCATCGTGAACAATTCTTGTTGAATTCGTCACGATGGGCCAACTGACCTACTTCATCCTCACCTATCCCTCACTGGTGCCCAGCCGGTGTATACCGATAGCGCCGGCGGGGTTACCATTCCATTGAAAAAAAAACCTTATCACAAATTCCACTTTCGTCATGAATTATTTCTGTTTTCGTTACAAATAATTATGAATATTTCCTACATTAATTCTATTATAATAAATTTAGAATTAATTAATAATTTGAAATTAAATAATATATAACGTGAAAGACCACGTCGTATTCGCTACAAATATTTCCAAATTCATCACAAATAATTCCGCCTTCGTCACGAGTTTATTCCAACCTCGCCACAAATACCACTGTCGTCACAAGTGATCACATATAATTATATACCTATACCAGCTGACTCGGGCAAACGTTGTTTTACCATATTACATTATTTTTAGAACTATACATGAAAATTTATCGTACTACAATTATTATATTGGATTGCCGTCTTGCAACCATATTGCGGCATATAAAAATTGCGATTAAAAACAGGAGTTGATCGTAAATGGGTGAAAATTTGAGGTTGTATGTATTTTTCAATGCTAAATCACAATAAAATAAAAATGGAAAGATTTGTCAAGAAAATAAAAAAAAAATTTTTTGGGGATGGTCACACTTATCATTGAGGGGTATGAAAAATAGATGTTGGCCGATTCTCAGACCTACCCGACATGCACATAAAATTTCATAAAAATCGGTAAAGCCGTTTCGGAGGAGTTTCGTAACAAACGCCGCGACATGAGAATTTTATATATAAGACATATACGTTGGGCAGCTTCGTGTGCGACGACTGCGGCAAGAAGTTCGTGAACAAGACGCGGCTCCGGGACCACATCGACTGGGACCACCTCAACAAGGTCAAGTTCCGCTGCCAGCTGTGCAACAAGGTGCGTTGCGACCGTCCATCGGACATTTGCATACACATATGTATTTAATTACATAATGTTTTATAATTGGGGGGAAAGGGTTTGTTAGCAATGGAGTTTGACAGCCCCATTGCTAGCAATATACCTTATTAGGTCGCCCTCCACGTGGTTCCCCCTGGAAATCATCGTGAACAATTCTCGTTGAATTCGTCACGATGGGCTAACTGATCTGCTTTCATCTTCACCTATCATTCTTCACTGGTGCCCCGCCGGTGTATACCGATAGCGCGGGTGGGGTTACCATTCCATTATTATGTCCATAAAAAAAAAATGTTTTGTAATTGACCACCTGCAGCCGTTCAAGTGCCACACGTCGCTGTACGTGCACCTGCAGAACGTGCACCGGGAGCGCGGCCGCGACAACCTCTGCCACGTCTGCGGGAAGGCGTACCAGGTACAGCGGGCCGGGGGGAGGTTGCTAGCAACCGGCGCTCGCCGCCCTATTTATTTATTTAATTAAATACAAAAAAATTACAACGCGTGTACATTGGACATTACCAGAGAGAGACTTTGTACAAAAGTCGTTTGCTTGAGCACCTCTGTCCCATTCGTGTTTTTACCGTGAAGCAGTTGTGTTTGCATGGCTGTGTTTCGGTTTGAAGGGTGGGATATGGCAGTGAATTTACTGGGTACAGAGGAATAACACCTGAGTCCTCAGGAATGGCAATGGGGGTATCATATAATACAGGTATATATATATATATATAGAGAGAGAGAGTGGCGACCGCGTATGGGTAAACGCAGTGTAGGACGGCCCCTCCACTAAATGGAGTGACGTCCTAAAATACATTGCTGGGAGTTAGTGGACGCTGGTGGCTCAGGACCGTTCCTTATGGCTGTCTATGGGGGAGGCTTATGTACAGCAGTGGACGGATAGTGGCTGAAATGGTGATATAGACAATATAATAGGTTTTATCACATTTGACATCTGTTTCTGTCTGTGGCAGAACGCGGCCAAGCTGAAGTACCACATAGTGGCGATGCACACGTCGGAGACGCCGTACGAGTGTCCGCAGTGCGGCGCCGCCTTCGGCTGGTACTCCAGCCTCTACCGCCACCTGCGCGAGGTGCACTACAAGGTGGGCGCTGGCTGCTGGCTGCTGGCTGCTGGCAATGGAAAGGGTTTATTAGCAGCGGGACTGGAAGCCCCATTGCTAACAATATACCTCCACGCGGTTCCCCCTGAAAACCCATCTGGATTTATGGGTTCATCACCAAGGTTAACTGACCTGCTTTATCATCCATAAAAAAAAACGGAACGATTGCTCCGCCCGCGCGTATGGTATACGCTGGTGGGGCACCAGCTAGGGGTGGAGGGGATGGGTGACGATGAACAGGCAGATCTATTTTTTTTTATGGGTGAAAATGGTACGGTAACCCCGCCTGCGCTAACGGGATACGCTGGCGGAGCACCAGTGAAGGGTGATAGATGAGAATGAAAACAGGCCAGTTAGCCCATCATGAGGAATTCATCAGGAATTAACCATGATAGTTTGCAGGGAGAACCGCGAGGAGGTCTACCTGGTTGGGTATATTGTTAGCAATGGGATTCTTAGTCTCCATTACTAACAATTCCTTTCCCCCCGCAAAGGCAGATCGGTTAGCCCGTCGTGATGAATACTCATGGAATTCAGTATGACGGTTTCCAGGGGGGACCACGGGGAGATCGACCTGTCAGGGTATATTGTTAGCAGTGGTAGTGGTAATCCGCATTACTAACAATCCAACTCCCCCCCCCACTCCTCCCGAATGACAATATTTTGGATCGACAGATGAAAGCGCAGCCGAAGAAGTCGAAACGCGTGAAGCGTGGCGGCGAGCTGGTGCAGCCGGCGGCCGCGCCCGCCCACTGACCGCCACACGCAGCCACTCGCCAGCTACCCACCAACTGCCCGTCTCGTCACAGTTTTATTTTACACTACTTGTGTACCGTGCTTTTTTTAGTATATGATAATGGTATGGTAACCCCGCCTGCACTATCGGTATACGCTGGCGGGGCACCAGTGAGGTGTGATAGGTGACAATGACAAGGCAGGTCAGTTAGCCCATCATGATGAATTCAACAGGAATTAACCATGATAGTTTCCAGGGAGAACCGCGAGGAGGTCGACCTGGTTGGGTGTATTATTACGATGGGCTAATTGATCTGCCTGTCCATCCTCACCTATCATCCCTCACTGGTGCCCCGCCAGTGTATACCGTTAGCACAGGCGGGGTTACCATACCATTATCATGCATTAAAAGAAATCCAAACGCGTCAAAAATGTAATCTAGATATGACAGTACTTAGCGCCTCTTGAACATTTGCATACAGACACGTGCTGACGACAAACCAGAGGGAAATATTGTATAAAAGTCGATTGCTTGGGTACCTCTGTCCCATTCGTGTTTCAACCGTGAAGCAGTTGTGTTTGCATGGCTGTGTTTCGGTTTGAAGGGTGTGACATGGCGTGAATTTACTGGATACAGAGGAATTACACCTGAGTCCTCAGGAATGGCAACGCATGGGGGGTATCATGGGTGAAACAGTATACTCTGTTATGTCCACGGTACTGCTCGTGTCTATAGGCGACGGTTACCACTTTCCATTAGGTGGGCCGTCAGCTTGTTTGCCATTCTAAGTTGTATAAAAAAAAAAACATTTTGACAACGTCATTTCTCTAAAGTCATTTATTTATTTATACTTGTCTCGTTTACAAAACTGGCCCCATATGAAGTATTGCTGTCACTTATGGGCGGGAGCACCTAGATACCAGCTTGAACCCTTCGACTCAGTGCAACGACGAGCTATGAGAATTGTCGATGATCCCAGGTTCGCAAGCGGTATCGAACCCGTAATTTGCACATATGATGGGAAAGTCCTTGTCACCCCATTGTCAAACTTGTAATACCATCGATGACGTGCATCATATTGTATTAGAGTGTCGTATTAACACGAAGGAACTCTCATACGCCACTTTAACTTCAATAAATTGAATGTTGGTCTTATTCAATCTATGTTAGCTGAACTTAAACCAGACATTTTTGATCATCTCTGTAAATTATTGATGCCCATTAATTCTTCTCTCCGCGTCTAGGGAAAGTAGATAAAGTTTTGTTTGAGAAATCAGTTCAGGGTACAATAGGACTGATATACCTGAAGAAGGTAAAAGTCCTTAAAATAATATTAAAAAAAAGTCTTAGGAGAGATTTTGCGTCTTACCGCTTACCACGCTCCCTCAGTCGCCTCTTACGACACCCACGGGAAAGGAACGGGTGGCGTATTCTATGCTGAGACCATGCAGCGGTTAATATTAGAGATAGGCTTAGAGGAATGACGTATCAGAATCGGTCACACTGGTGGAATGCGTATGAACATTTTTTTTTCGGTTTTCTCTAAAAAAAAAAATTAGAATTGGTAGTACTATAATTAGCTGTAAATTGTGATTCGACTGAAGTGTTGAAATATGTAACAGAACGGATCCGAAATGGAGATCCGATTTTGTGAATTAGTGAATTAAATAGATTTTTTTATAAATAAAAGGCAATCAATTTTATCATATATTTGTTTTATTTACATTATATGTACATAAGGTTGCTATAACCGTACTTCATTTTAATAATTTACTATTCAGTTACAGTTAAACTTCAGTTTGCCACAAAGAAAGAAAGAAATAATTTCATTCAAGTAAACTTGGATTTAAGTATTATTAATAGTACATTACTGCAGCGGCCAGCAACTGAGGCATTGATGGACGAACGTGCAAATGTGGGCCGAGGCGTAGCCGAGGCACACATACGTGAGTCACCATACGGGGTTACCATTCTATTATGGTTATTTCAACACATGGGGGGTATCATGGGCGAAACAGTATACTCTGTTATGTCCATGGTACTGCTCATGTCTATAGGCGACGGTTACCACTTAAAAAAATACCTCTATAATTTGCCACCATTTCTCTTTTGTCATATACCACTTTAATCAAACCCATTTCACTTTCGTCATAAGCGAGTTTTAAAATCCTTTAACTGTCCACTGCTGAACATAACCCTCCCCTATGGGAGGTTTAGCAAGTAGTTGCCACGTTTGGCAGGCGAATTAGCAACTGTAAGGCTTTGGTGATGTTTTAAGAGTGACGTTGCTGCCCATCCCTCGCCCTCCCTTAGTCGCTTCTTGCGACACGCGAAAGGAAGGGGTGGCCCATTCCATGCGGGGAGTACGCGGCGACAAACTAATACATACATACATACATATCTGTCACGCCTGACTCCCATTAGGATAGGCAGAAATAATGGAACGCCAAATGCTTCGATTCAAACGAACCTCTTTCGCTTCCTCCACATTCATCAATCTTTTCATACACGCTCGCCGGTTACGGGTACTTTTAATTTGGCCCTTCTTCAGCACGTCGCCTATTTGGTCGACATACGTCCGTCTAGGGCGGCCCCTACCGACATCTCCATTCATTCTTGCTCGATAAATCTCTTTCGTAATTCTTCTTTCATCCATCCTCTCCAAATGGCCAAACCAACGCAACATTCCCTTTTCGATTTTTGTCACTACATCGTCTTTCGGTGCACACTTCTCTCTAATCACACTGTTTCTTACTCTATGTTTTAATATATAATAAACAAACTATAATATTGGAGTTAAATTACAAATGACTACTGCATTTCAACCTTTTCCGCCTCCCCGCTATCGTACATCTCTCTCACAACCTTCAACAGCTCCCCTAAATTCAACCCCGTCTTCGCCGACACACCTATCACTTGCACGTTCCGTTTCATCCTCTCAAAACTCTGTCTACCCTCTTTTAAATCTATTTTGTTAACAACAATACAAGATGGCCGCTCTGTTAGTTTTTTGTTGTACTGTCTTATTTCGTTGGTCAGCGTCCTATACTGTAACTGGGGGTCACTGGTGCCGTCCAGCAGGTAGATCAGCCCGCGGCAGCGTTCCACGTGTTGCAGGAACTGGATGCCTGGTCGTGAACGGATGAAATGGTAACTAGTCATTCGACCCGGCTTCGCAATGTTTTAGATCAGCTTTTCCCAAAGTGGGCGATAACGCCCAATTGTGGGCGCTGCAGGCCTAAAGGGGGGTGGTAAGAGATCCAGGAAAAAAAATGGGGGTGTTGTTTAGAGGCTTGGGGGGTGATTTGTTAATATTAAAGTAATAGTGGTTTTTAAGTAGGCGAATAAATGGGGGCGCTAAAAAATAATTTATTCTCAAAGTGGGCAGTAGACAAGATAAGTTTGGGAACCCCTGGGCAAGATTATCCATGATAACATGGCACTTCATCCTTTCATCATATCAGCCTTCAACTGTCCACTGCTGAACACAGGCTTCCAAGAGGGGAAAGGGATTGTTAGTAATGGGGTCTAACTGACCCATTGCCAGCAATACACCCTATTAGGTCGACTTATACGTGGATCCCCCTGGAAACAATCGTGGATAATTCTAGTGGATTTCATCACGATGGGCTAACTGACCTACTTTCATCCGTACCTATCATCTCTCACTGGTGCCCCGCCATTGTATACCGATAGCGCAGACGGGGCTAACATTCCATTCTCACCCATTAAAAAAAAACATAGGCTTCCCACTATTGGGGGAGTTTTGCCAGTAGTTGCCACGCTGGGCATACAATTGGCAACCGCAATTAAACTTTAGACGTTTTAAGAGAGACGCTGCTGCCCATCCCTCGCCCTCTCGTAGAACTGATGTGCGAAGCAGCAGGAAATAGATTTCACCAGAAAGAGACTGTCTGACTGAGACACTTCTATCCCATTCGTGTTTCTACCGTGAAGCAGTTGTGTTTGCATGGCTGTGTTTCGGTTTGAAAAGTGGGATATGGCGTGAATTTACAGGGTACAGAGAAATAACACCTGAGTCCTCAGGAATGGCAACGCATGGGGGGAATCATGAGCGAAACAGTATACTCTGTTATGTCCATGGTACTGCTCATGTCTATAGGCGACGGTTACCACTTTCCATCAGGTGGGTCGTCTTGTTTGCCATTTTAAGTTGTATAAAAGTAAAGATAGTAAAATAAAATTTTTTTTAATGGGTGAAAATGGTATGGTAACCCCGCCTGCGCTAACGGGATACGCTGGCGGAGCACCAGTGAAGAGTGATCGATGAGAATGAAAACAGGCCAGTTAGCCCATCATGATGAATTCATCAGGAATTAACCATGATAGTTTCCAGGGGGAACCGCGAGGAGGTCGACCTGGTTGGGTATATTGCTAGCAATGGGATTCTCAATCTCCATTACTAACAATCCCTTTCCCCCCCTAAATTTAGTATTGAAAGTGACATATTTGCAATGGTTCTGCTGGTATAACATAGTGGAACTCACCCAAGCCATAGTTTTTGTGGGAGCCGGGGATCAAGCCGGGCAAGTCTGCTATAGCCACTTGTTCATAGTCGTCGTACGGCACCATGCCTGCAATAGGACATCTTTACTTTATTTATTTATTTATTTAACTCTTTATTGCACCATAAATAAAAATATACAATGACAAGTGAATAATTCGAGTGAAATACAGTAACATAAATACAGATTGAAATATACACATAAAGGTACAAGAGGCGGTGTTATCGCTAGGGCGATCTCTTACAGACAACCTTTGGTTAAAGGAGAACAGATAGAACTTACTTTAGTAACCTAACTATTAAAAATTTAACTGGTACTTAAGAAAAAATACTTTGAAGAAACAGATACAGAATAGTACATTACTGCAGCGGCCAGCAACTGAGGCATTGATGGACGAACGTGCAAATGTGGGCCGAGACGTAGCCGAAGCACACATACGTGAGTCCATCAATGCCTAGTTGTGGCCAAGGCTTGTATAGTACTTTTCTCAAACAATGCGCGGAAATCAAAAACACAATTTTACTTTTTTTTTTAAGTTCAATGACGAATAACGAACAATAATAATTTTTCACGCATCATAATGTTCCTTTGTTTTTTTTTTCAATAAACAGCTTTTTATTTGCAAGCCAGTTCGAAATTTAAATAAAACCTTGTATTAGTTACCTCCTTGGTAGCCATGTTTTGAAGTAAAAGATCATTCTATTTTTAAATTACAGGACAGATATGAGTTTACATAGTAATTTATCTGGCCGCAAAACACGACAGATATGGATTTTCATACAACTTTTGCCGGCCGCTGCCCGCATGTATCTGGCCAGTACGGCAATTTTGATTTATCTCGAAGAAGATTGTCAAAATAATGCTCACATTTCCAAGCATGTTTGAGAAAATAGTAATTTTTTATTTATTTATTTATAATTAAAGATTGTGCTGCAAAAAAGACTTCAGTTGTGGCCGAATCAGTTATTACGATATAAAAACTACTGTACGCATTGAAACGTCTACGGGACCAATCTATAAATATATAATTTCAGATAAAAAAAATTCGAAATAGGTTTAAAACTGAGTTTTTTTTTTTATTTTACTGGCCTAGATGTTTACTCATATACACAACGGCCCAAATGAGAGGCTTAGCGCGGTAAATAGAGTCCAATTTACATTACATTACATTTGTTGGATAAAAAGAAGGGTAAAGGACAAACCTGGTTCACGTAGTCCCCGCGTGTAGGTCTTTGTACGCGTTCTCGTTCTCTCTTCTAAATATCCAACACTTGTGTTGATTTTGCTTAAGTACCACTGTATGTTGCGCGGAGATTGCGGCTGATTGATTAATTCGCAACTAGCGAAGATTTTCGTGATCTTGGCGGAACTTGATCAGCTCGACGCGCAGTTGGATTATAGACTGATTTTGACCGTCTACCCCCCAATGTGATCCCAGATTTCATAGGAAATATGGATAGGCAAGGAGGGTAGAAGGATATTGCGTTCGGAAATGTTTAAAGCATATACAAATGATAAGATTATATTTACCAACATTACTAGACGTTATTTTGCGGGAGCCTACATTCCTGATTTGTAGGTTAGAATTGTTTGAAATCCACCACCATTAGTATGTGTGCGACTGCCAACACTCGAAGACTGACCGCCACTGTTACTACCAGAAGTTCCACAACCTTCCATATTAACCATCAATCTCCGACCGCCATTCCGTCCACGCACTTTTTGCGACACGTATATAAAATACGTGGGTATATAATTCTAAACGAGGCATCTTTTGAAAGGCTATAGTAACTACTAAAATCTACTTTCTATCATTGTACGGCTCGCCATCGACAGGGAGTTCACCCTCATACCTTAATGGTGGCGTACAACGCGGTCTCAGAGATGTTTTCTCCCACGAACACTCAGGTTATGGAATGAGCTCCCTGCCGAGGTTTTCCCAAGAGACTACAGCATGGGGTTCTTCAAAAGGGGGGTAAAGAGGTTTCTTCAGGGTCGGCAACGCGCGCGTAATACTTCTGGTATTGCAGGCGTTCACAGGCTACGGTAACCGCTTACCATCAGGTGGGCCGTATGCTTGTTTGCCACCTTAATGGTATAAAAAAAAATCCTTACCAATATGCGGCCTGAGCGTGGTGAAGGGGTAGGGTGCGACGCTGGGCCGGGCGCGGGTCAACGCCCGCAGCAGCGAGCTCTTGCCCGCGTTGGGGAAGCCCAGCAGCCCCACGTGCGCCATCGACCGCACCTCCAGCTGGTACGTCTTCCACTCCCCGGCCGCGCCTATTTCCGCTATGTCCGGGGCCTGTGTGCGGTGACAAATCAGCAGAAATTAAGGTACTGTAGAACAGGCCACCACTTCCTTTCCCGTGGGTGTCGTAAGTCGTCTTACTGTCTGACTTGACCCACTGAAACTGCGTAGAGATGTTGCATCTCTGTGCATCTTCTACCGAGTTTATCATGGGGAGTGCTCTGAGGAATTGGTAGGTAATTGAGGAGGCGGTAGTCACTTACCATCAGGTGAGCCGCATGCTCGTTTGCCCCTGTGTTGTAAAAAAAAAAGAGGCGACTAAGGAGGGGGAGGGATGGGCAGCAGCGGCCCTCTTAAACCATCACCAAAGCTTAACTGCGGTTGCCAATCCACTTGCCAAGCGTGGCAACTACTGGCAAAACTCCACATATGGGAAAGGTTTATGTTCAGCAGTTGACAGTTAATGGCTGATATGGTCTGCCCTATTAGGTCGACCTCCACGTGGTTCCCCCTGGAAACCATCGTGAACAATTCTTATTGAATTCGTCACGATGGGCTAACTGACCAGCTTCATCCTCACCTATCATCCTTCACTGGTGCCCCGCTGGTGTATACCGATAGCGCGGGTGGGGCTACTAACTATTACTACTAACATTCCATTATTACACATTAAAATAGGATTGTACCTAATATATATATATATATATATATATATATATATATATATATATATATATATATATCTGTAAATGAGAGATATTTAAGGATATTTGATAGAGCCGTGGTACGAGCCTGCTGCGTGTCCGTGAGGAAGAACTTGTTCCCGCGGCCGCCGGCGCCCCCGCGCGCCGCCACGAACATCACGCCCTCCCTCGCCAGGTCCGCCAGCACGCGGCCCGTCTCGTCCTTCACTAGGGTGCCTGCCACATTTACATTTTATCTATATCTTAAAGGTTAAAGTTAAAGGAGGATTATACCCAAAACGGGGCTCCTATACTGGAATAAGTACATACCTAGTGGAACAGGCACTATGATGTGTGGAGCGTTCTTCCCGTTGCAGTCCTTGTTGTACCCCTTCTCGCCGTGCTTCGCCGTCACCACCGTCTTGCAGTGGTTCAGACTCTTCACTGTGTGTGTTGCCTGTTTCATTTATTTATTTATTTAATTATTTTTAAAAGGTACATCAACAGTGTAAATACAGAGATTAATTGTAATTGATATACACAGGGCTTGCATCTTGCATTCACACCAATTACAGATGTGCACAACATTCTCTTATGTCATCGATTACATATTAACAAAACTGACACGAACAAAACAATAAAAAAATACATACATACAGGTAACAAACATAAGAACACATAAAATATACATTTATTGGTTTTTTTTTTAATGGGTGATAATGGAATGGTAACCCCACCCGCGCTATCGGTTTACACCGGCGGGGCACCAGTGAAGGATGATAGGTGAGGATGAAATAGGTCATCATAGTTAGTCCATCGTGACGAATTTAACAAGAATTGTTCACGATAGTTTCCAGGGGGAACCACGTGGAGGTCGACCTAATAGGGCATATTGTTAGCATTGGGGCTGCCAAATTTCATTGCTAACAATCCCTTTCCCCCCTGCCCGTTGGTTTAAAGACTAATTAAATTGTACACACTACACAAAGAGATTTATTTATTTTTATTTATTTACACTTTATTGCACCAAGTAAAAAGAGAAATAACAAATACAATAAATATTAATAAGAAGTGATACAAAAGGCGGCCTTATCGCCAAGCAATCTCTTTCAGACAACCTTTGGGTGGAGGACATTGAGAAAAAGACAAAGGGTAGGTGGCGCACCATGATTCCTGTAGAGAATATTTGAAAAGCTCACAATTTTAACCGCTCCAAGTCTCTATATACTTTTTTCAATGGATTATAACGGAATGGTAACCCCGCCTACGCTAACGGTATACACTGGCGGGGCACCAGTGAGGGACAATAAGTCAAAATGAAAAGGTAGGTCAGTTAACCCATCATGATGTGGGGGAAAGGGATTGTTAGCAATGGAGTTTGACAGCCCCATTGCTAGCAATATTTATTTATTTTATTTATTCATTAGTACATATATGTGTACATGGCGGACTTAATGCTAAAAGCATTCTCTCCCAGTCAACCATAGGGAAGTGTCAGAATACTCGAATGCGGTACTACTAATTATTGATATACATACATACTAAAATTACATATATAAACGAATAAATATATATGAATAACAAATATACTTACACATATATTATATTATACACGAAATTGAGAATAATATAAAGTACTTACTGCTCGGATAAAAATAAAAAGTGAGCGCGAACGCTTTTTTTGAAAGACGGTTTAGTCGGTAGTCTCTTAATGGCATCAGGAAGCGCGTTCCAGAGTCGTGAAGAATGTAGGAGAAAAGAGTTTGAAGCGTAACCAGTACGGTGAGAGGGGAAAGATAATTGGAGAGTATTATTGGAACGAAGGTTACATTCGTGAGTTAAAAAAGATAATGGAATTTACTCCTTAAGTAGTTAGGAGACTGGGGGTTTCGAAGAAGAGGGTAGAGGGTACAAAGAGTTCTAACGTTTCTGCGTTGACGAATGGAAAGCCATTTAAGCTGAGACCGATATAAAGAAATGTGATCGAATTTGCGGAGGTTGAAGATAAAGCGTATGGCTTGGTTGAGGAGACGGTCCAGCTTATCGAGAAGATCTTCATTAAGATCTGGATAACACACATCAGCATAATCAATAATCGGAATAATAAGTGCGTAAACAAGATTAATTTTGTAGATTAATATTAGGTCGACCTCCACGTGGTTCCCCCTGGAAACCATCGTGAACAATTCTTGTTGAATTCGTCACGATGGGCTAACTGACCTGCTTCATCCTCACCTATCATCCCTCACTGGTATACCGATAGCACGGGTGGGGTTACCATTCCATTACTATTCATTAAAAAAACCCATCATAATGAATACACCTGACATTCCTCACAATTGTTTTCCAGGGGGGACCATGTGGAGTTCAACCTGACAGGGTATATTGCTAGCAATGGGGCTGGTAGTCCACATTGCTAACAATCCCTTTACCCCTAGATTCTATATATAAGATGTGCACATTAATTTTGTAAAGACTCTTCTTAAAATTGAAACAGAACATGATAGAATAAATCGGAAGGTGGAAGAATATTATAGACCACATTTCAAGCAAATAAATTATAATATATATATTTTTTATTTTAAATTTAGTTTTTTTTTTATACAACTTAGAATGGCAAACAAGCTGACGGCCCACCTGATGGAAAGTGGTAACCGTTGCCTATAGACATGGGCAGTACCGTGGACATAACAGAGTATACTGTTTCGCCCATGATACCCCCCATGCGTTGCCATTCCTGAGGACTCAGGTGTTATTCCTCTGTACCCTGTAAATTCATGCCTCGGCCTGAATCTGGATTTACAGGTAAGCACGGTTCTAAGCCAAGTGCTTAACTGTGTGTTATCTGTAATCACTATATATACAAATATAATCTGTTAACTGTCCACTGTTGGACATAGGTCTCTCCCATAGCATGGATTTAAATCTGCCATAAGGAATAGTCCTGAACCACCTGCATCCATTGACTTCCTGCAATGCATTTGAAGCTGTCGGTCAGTGGACACCCTTAGGGTAGCTACATTTAATGGAGGGGTCAGCCTACACTTCATTTGCCTGTCAGCACTCGAGTACCATTTTTCCCCACTGCTTGTAAATTCTTGAAACTATGTGACTAGCACATTGTCACTAAGCTTGCTTATTCTTCAGGTTGAGCAAGCCGAAGTGGTATTATTGAAAATAGACCATATCCTAGATTAATACATACACTACTATTACTAATTCTCACAGACAAAATCACGGTATATAGCTAGTAACATAATGAATACTACCTGAAATATAACATGGCCCCCGTGTCCCCCATCGCCGCCGTCGGGCCCAGCGTGTTCCTTACACCACGCACTAAGGAATGATATGCATCCATTACCCCCATTTCCCGCCACAGTTCTCACTCTAAACGAATCTACATAAAACTGCACTGTATTTCTTGTAGATTTTGCTTTCAAACTTCTTAACGGTTTCGGTACGTATTCTTGAGAGTAATTGCGCGTTGTTTGTGTTATAGTGATACGTAGCGCTTTTAATAAGTTTAGTACTTGCATTTTTAATGTATATAAGTTTAATTAATTTAGTTTTAATATGAAAATATGTTTTTTTTAGGTTAGGTTTGTGTTATGAAATGGAAATGTTAATTTTTTTTTTTTTTTTTAGTACGTTTGTTCCGTTTGGAACAGGCTAAGGTCGGAGACCATGCTGCCTAGTCTTCAAAAAGATAATTTGTCTGGAATTGGAAATGTTAAGTTAAATGTCAATGTCAGTGTCAAACGTATATTCCTAGTGCTGACAACTCAATGGTTTTTTAAATATCGTTTAAATATTACACTAAGTGTCACACTCATATAGCTATATCAGGGAACAAATTCTTTGAATATAAGTATTTCCGCTATATACACTTTGCACTATCATAGGTATCAGAATTTTTTTTTAATGAGTGAAAATAGTATGGTAACCCCGCCTGCGCTAACGGGATTCGCTGGCGGAGCACCAGTGAAGGGTGATAGATGAGAATGAAAACAGGGCAGTTAGCCCATCATGATGAATTCATCAGGAATTGACCATGATAGTTTCCAGGGGGAACCGCGAGAAGGTCGACCTGGTTGGGAATATTGCTAACAATGGGATTCTCAGTCTCCATTAGTAACAAACCCTTGCCCCCTCATTAGATAAGGATTAATGCTGTATTGCTTAAAAGCGCTTCATAAATAAGCCATTATTTTTCGTAAAAAGGATATAAAAGATTAAAAAAAAAAAAAATCCTTATCCAATTAAGTATCTTAAATACATTATGCATTTAATAGAGATCCATATGGCCGTATAAAATATTCATTTTAATTACATGCTTTCGAAGATATTACAGATTTAAAATGCAGGGACATAGCGGTTGCGGCGGTACCGGCCGGGAGGCCGGCGGCGGTATTTAGTATCAGCATTGCACCCGTTCGCAGCCGGGGCGGGTCGCTAGTATAATATTATGCTAGTAATGAAAGATAATCAAAAATAAAATCTATTTATTTAAAAAAATAGTGTATTCAATATGAAAATAATTTAATTAGTCTATAGTTATTTTTTTGGGCATGTGATATTGTTGTGCTAGGTGGGACTTCGAGGGCGGCCTTGAAGGTACGAGCCCAGGGGTAGCAGCGGGGGCATTAGTGGTACCGGGGGCTCTAGCGTCGCTGGGGCCTCCACTAGCGGTGCTGCGGGGACTGTGGACGAGGCCTGTCGTCCGCGACCACTCTGTAAAAAGATACTTATGTAGGGGTATTAAGTTTTATTTTAATGGGTGAGAATGAGATGGATTTCAATTTAATTCTTGTCGAAATCGCCAGTGTATGCATATAGTGCTGGTTACCATTCCATTTTCACAGATTATGTAAGGAAAAATCCATTACAGCTGATATTATACGATTGGTCAATAGCCAATTATTTTGAATTTCATCTTTCGGAATAAAGATTATTTTGAATTTCAAGCAAACCTTGACTTTGAGGTGAACTAGTTTGTTGTGGTTATACAGGGCCGCCTCGTAGCCGAAGGTGGAGGGGCACTGGGCGCACTTGAACGGCCGCTCGCCCGTGTGGCTGCGCATGTGGCCTTCTAGAGTCTTTTTTGTCTGGAATAAAGAGATACAGAAGTTGAATGTAAACAAAAAAATCTAAACATGAATACAAGTAGCACCGTGGACACTGCAGAGTACAGCGTCCACGGTGCTAATGGTACTGGTGTGCGGTCCCCGGGCGGCCGCCGGTGCTGTGCCTGTACTCACCGTGTACGCCTTGCCGCACGCGTGGCACACGTGGTTGCGAGGCGGCCGCCGGTGCTGTGCCTGTACTCACCGTGTACGCCTTGCCGCACGCGTGGCACACGTGGTTGCGAGGCGGCCGCCGGTGCTGTGCCTGTACTCACCGTGTACGCCTTGCCGCACGCGTGGCACACGTGGTTGCGAGGCGGCCGCCGGTGCTGTGCCTGTACTCACCGTGTACGCCTTGCCGCACGCGTGGCACACGTGGTTGCGAGGCGGCCGCCGGTGCTGTGCCTGTACTCACCGTGTACGCCTTGCCGCACGCGTGGCACACGTGGTTGCGAGGCGGCCGCCGGTGCTGTGCCTGTACTCACCGTGTACGCCTTGCCGCACGCGTGGCACACGTGGTTGCGAGGCGGCCGCCGGTGCTGTGCCTGTACTCACCGTGTACGCCTTGCCGCACGCGTGGCACACGTGGTTGCGAGGCGGCCGCCGGTGCTGTGCCTGTACTCACCGTGTACGCCTTGCCGCACGCGTGGCACACGTGGTTGCGAGGCGGCCGCCGGTGCTGTGCCTGTACTCACCGTGTACGCCTTGCCGCACGCGTGGCACACGTGGTTGCGAGGCGGCCGCCGGTGCTGTGCCTGTACTCACCGTGTACGCCTTGCCGCACGCGTGGCACACGTGGTTGCGAGGCGGCCGCCGGTGCTGTGCCTGTACTCACCGTGTACGCCTTGCCGCACGCGTGGCACACGTGGTTGCGAGGCGGCCGCCGGTGCTGTGCCTGTACTCACCGTGTACGCCTTGCCGCACGCGTGGCACACGTGGTTGCGAGGCGGCCGCCGGTGCTGTGCCTGTACTCACCGTGTACGCCTTGCCGCACGCGTGGCACACGTGGTTGCGAGGCGGCCGCCGGTGCTGTGCCTGTACTCACCGTGTACGCCTTGCCGCACGCGTGGCACACGTGGTTGCGAGGCGGCCGCCGGTGCTGTGCCTGTACTCACCGTGTACGCCTTGCCGCACGCGTGGCACACGTGGTTGCGAGGCGGCCGCCGGTGCTGTGCCTGTACTCACCGTGTACGCCTTGCCGCACGCGTGGCACACGTGGTTGCGAGGCGGCCGCCGGTGCTGTGCCTGTACTCACCGTGTACGCCTTGCCGCACGCGTGGCACACGTGGTTGCGAGGCGGCCGCCGGTGCTGTGCCTGTACTCACCGTGTACGCCTTGCCGCACGCGTGGCACACGTGGTTGCGAGGCGGCCGCCGGTGCTGTGCCTGTACTCACCGTGTACGCCTTGCCGCACGCGTGGCACACGTGGTTGCGAGGCGGCCGCCGGTGCTGTGCCTGTACTCACCGTGTACGCCTTGCCGCACGCGTGGCACACGTGGTTGCGAGGCGGCCGCCGGTGCTGTGCCTGTACTCACCGTGTACGCCTTGCCGCACGCGTGGCACACGTGGTGCGAGGCGGCCGCCGGTGCTGTGCCTGTACTCACCGTGTACGCCTTGCCGCACGCGTGGCACACGTGGTTGCGAGGCGGCCGCCGGTGCTGTGCCTGTACTCACCGTGTACGCCTTGCCGCACGCGTGGCACACGTGGTTGCGAGGCGGCCGCCGGTGCTGTGCCTGTACTCACCGTGTACGCCTTGCCGCACGCGTGGCACACGTGGTTGCGAGGCGGCCGCCGGTGCTGTGCCTGTACTCACCGTGTACGCCTTGCCGCACGCGTGGCACACGTGGTTGCGAGGCGGCCGCCGGTGCTGTGCCTGTACTCACCGTGTACGCCTTGCCGCACGCGTGGCACACGTGGTTGCGAGGCGGCCGCCGGTGCTGTGCCTGTACTCACCGTGTACGCCTTGCCGCACGCGTGGCACACGTGGTTGCGAGGCGGCCGCCGGTGCTGTGCCTGTACTCACCGTGTACGCCTTGCCGCACGCGTGGCACACGTGGTTGCGAGGCGGCCGCCGGTGCTGTGCCTGTACTCACCGTGTACGCCTTGCCGCACGCGTGGCACACGTGGTTGCGAGGCGGCCGCCGGTGCTGTGCCTGTACTCACCGTGTACGCCTTGCCGCACGCGTGGCACACGTGGTTGCGAGGCGGCCGCCGGTGCTGTGCCTGTACTCACCGTGTACGCCTTGCCGCACGCGTGGCACACGTGGTTGCGAGGCGGCCGCCGGTGCTGTGCCTGTACTCACCGTGTACGCCTTGCCGCACGCGTGGCACACGTGGTTGCGAGGCGGCCGCCGGTGCTGTGCCTGTACTCACCGTGTACGCCTTGCCGCACGCGTGGCACACGTGGTTGCGAGGCGGCCGCCGGTGCTGTGCCTGTACTCACCGTGTACGCCTTGCCGCACGCGTGGCACACGTGGTTGCGAGGCGGCCGCCGGTGCTGTGCCTGTACTCACCGTGTACGCCTTGCCGCACGCGTGGCACACGTGGTTGCGAGGCGGCCGCCGGTGCTGTGCCTGTACTCACCGTGTACGCCTTGCCGCACGCGTGGCACACGTGGTTGCGAGGCGGCCGCCGGTGCTGTGCCTGTACTCACCGTGTACGCCTTGCCGCACGCGTGGCACACGTGGTTGCGAGGCGGCCGCCGGTGCTGTGCCTGTACTCACCGTGTACGCCTTGCCGCACGCGTGGCACACGTGGTTGCGAGGCGGCCGCCGGTGCTGTGCCTGTACTCACCGTGTACGCCTTGCCGCACGCGTGGCACACGTGGTTGCGAGGCGGCCGCCGGTGCTGTGCCTGTACTCACCGTGTACGCCTTGCCGCACGCGTGGCACACGTGGTTGCGAGGCGGCCGCCGGTGCTGTGCCTGTACTCACCGTGTACGCCTTGCCGCACGCGTGGCACACGTGGTTGCGAGGCGGCCGCGCGCCGCGGTGCGCGCCGCGGCTGTGCGCGCGCAGCGCCGCGCGCGAGGCGCACGCCTGCAACGCAGTCGGCGGCTGTAGCTCGCTTGTGATTCGACTATAGTGGGAGTTGAGATGCAGTTCAACTCCCACTATAGTCCACATTAAAAATAATATTATAAATAGAAGAATAGAATAAAAATAGTCTTTAAGCAAATAGACTTATTTACAATCTGTTACAAATTGTTAATATTTTATGATTTTACTACTGAATTCGAGATGATGCTATCTGCTGAGAAAAATCCATGAGAAACTCAACAGTTACTCTTTTCAAATGGTCATGTACAAAATAATTTTACATTTGGATGAGTATTGTGATTATAATTAGCATTGAATTCTATTTATATGTTTTTTTTTATACAACTTAGAATGGCAAACAAGCTGACGGCCCACCTGATGGAAAGTGGTAACCGTCGCCTATAGACATGAGCAGTGCCATGGACATTACAGAGTATAATGTTTCGCCCATGATACTCCCCATGCGTTGCCATTCCTGAGGATTAAGGTGTTATTCCTCTGTACCCTGTAAATTCACGCCATATCCCACCCTTCAAACCGAAACACAGCCATGCAAACACAACTGCTTCACGGTAGAAACACGAATGGGACAGAGGTACCCAAGCAATCGACTTTTGTACAAAGTCTCCCTCTGGTAAATATGTATTTTTAAACGAAAATAAACAAGCAAATATAATATAACCAGACCCGTCCTCACGAACAGCACTTATTTACAAGTGTGATAGATGAGCCAGTCGTGACGTAGAATTTTAACTCGAATTATAGCATTTATATACATATATACTTTTCTTTTTAATCGATACAGGCATGACCTTCAGATAGACAACGTTATAAGCTATTTAATTAGTAGTAGTGCGAGTTGGGATTCACAAAGTTCAACTCGCACTATAGCATATTATTTTTTGTAAATAAATACAAAATCACACCTTAGCACGAGACAAACCACAGACTTAGTTTTCAAATGCAAAACAACATAATTCAAGACTAGTGGTTCATAAAGTTCAACTCGCACTATAGCCTACAACAATACTCACAAACCCGCAGCCGGGCACGGGGCAGCGCACGGGCGTGGCCTTCAGATGGACGGCGGCGCGGTGCTCCTGCAGCCGCGCCGCCTTCGCGAACCGCTTGCCGCAGGCGCCGCACTCGTGCTTGAGCCGCGCCGGGTCGATGTGCCGCAGGTTGTAGCGCATGTGCTGATAGTACGACATGCGGTTCTTGAAGTTCATGTCGCACTATGAAAGAATGAAGAGATGTTTTTTTTAATACTTAAAAAGGTGACTTGTTTTTGTTAAGTTTCGTAAGCACATATTAAATTTTAAAGTAATAACTACAGGTCAGGCTGGCGCAGTCAGGCTCGCGCTCGTATCACAGCCGCTCGTGATTAAGGATCACGAAATGATTCCGAAACTAGTCGAACTTTCTCAATACAATTCTCTAATTACACGTAGGTTAAATTGGTAGTTATTACATCAAAAATATGACAGTTACCAATAGTACTAGTGAGCGATGACAAGTGAGGATGAAGTGAGGTCGATCAGTTTCCTTTTTGTCATTAGTGAATGCAGAGCGCACCTGGTGGCAGTAGAGGTGCGCGGGCGCGTCGTGCGTGACGAGGTGCAGCTGCATGGCCTTCTTGAACAGGAAGCGCTTGCCGCAGCGCGGGCACGCGTGCTCCTTCTCGCCGCGGTGGATGCTGCGCCACGTACACGCTCATAATACAACTGATTTGTTTTAATATACATACATTTGTTGAAAAAAGGTCTTATTTTGCGCAAGTCCATATGTGTTCATTTACAGTTTAAACAGTGAAACAGTGACGTAAAATTCTATTTTAAACGCGATCAAAATTCGCTCTCCTGTTCAAACCCGTATGTAACAGATACTTAATAGCTGCTGTGTAGTGGGTGTGGCGAATCAATCGCAACTCGAAGTGTTGATCCCAACTCGAAGTTAAGTGTTAATCGCAACTAAAAGTGTTGATCGCAACTCAAAGTTAAGTGTAGATCGCAACTCGAAGTTAAGTGTTGATCGTTCGACGCTCAAACTACGACTGACTTAGTAGCTTTTTTTTCGAGTTGATATTGCTGTTGGCTCCAGATGGTTTTGACAGCTTCATCGGGCATGCCGAGCAGGAGCGAGCGCAGATGGCACTCCAAGCTAGAAGGGAGCGACAGTGTCGACTCTTATCGATGCGGATAGAGCGGTTCGGACCTCGGCTCAGGCCATCGCGCTTCAATTCCCGTCGCGAGTTGGTTGGTTGTAACGAAAGAGAGAAAGAGACGCGCCCAGGCGTAAACCTGATCGTGTGCGGTGTGTCAGGGGTTTTCATTCCAACCGGCGAGGACGTTGTGCGGTGTGATCGTTTTGTTGCGCGAGACGATGGTTCCGCGGTAGAGGGGCTGAGGGGGGGGGGGTCATTGCCGGCCATGTTGCTGTATTTATACCCGGACAGAAGAACAGGGGGCTAGAAATATCTTTGGTACATAGAGAATTATAATTGGATATGTACACACTTATTGCCATAAGTGGACATACTTACAAGAGATGCGTCCGTAGCGAGGCGCGGTCTCTGAATGTTTTCCCGCACAGTTCGCACTTCTGGCGTTCCGCGTGATTCTTAATGTGGTTCCGGAGTTTACCTAATGATCTGTAGAGATAAATGCTCTTCTTAATATTGACATTATAAAAAATAACGTGTGTGTGAGTGCATGCATGTGTATATGTGTGTCCGTGCGCACGTGTATGTACGTGCGTGGTGCGGTATTCACAGGCGACGCACATATGTGTGGATGCGGGCATTGCGTGTGTGTGTATGTGTCTCTCTCTCTCTATGTCTCCTTTTGTGTGTGTCTCTGTCTCCTTCTGTATGTGTCTCTCTCTGTATGTATGTCTCTAAATTTCTCTGTGTGTGCGTGTGTTTGTGTATGTGTTAGCGTGTGCGTGTGTGTGCCCGTACGTACGTGGCGCGGTGTCCGCAGGCGGCGCACGTGTGCGTGGGCGCAGGCGCGCCGTGGACGCGCGCGTGGTGGTCGGCCGCCACCGCCGCGCGCGACCACGTACCGCCGCACGACACGCAGCGCCATCTGTACCGCAGGACACGTAACTTTATATCGCCGGAGAACAAATTTTAAAGGATAATGCATTCATTTTTACAGGCTTTACTATCTCCTATTCCTCACGCACTGCATGTTTACGCTATATTATATGCTTTAACTTGTCTAAATCTATTTAGCTCAATTAATCATAATTTATTCCTAATGGCCAGGATCTCAGTTTCTTATAGTCTATGATCTAGTAAAAAAATGTAACTAGGATTGTCGTTGATTCTCGCTCTCTTCCATTTGACACTCGGACAAGAAAGCGTGTCTCTGCGATTATATTTCAACTAATTAGCAACCCACATTTTCATCAGCCTGGTGAATTTACAGGGTACAGAGGAATAACACCTGAGTCCTCAGGAATGGCAATGCATGGGGGGTATCATGAGCGAAACAGTATACTCTGATATGTCCCTATAGACACGAGCAGTAGCTCGTGTCTATAGGGGACGGTTACCACTTTCCAACAGGTGGGCCGTCAGTTTGTTGGCCATTCTAAGTTGTATATAAAAAAAAAGCATCCACTCCCCCAGTCGCTTCACAATTACCGTCCATCCTCCACTGTCCTTAAGAGGTTTAGAGTACTGTTATTGTTAGTAGTCGTATTAGTAATGTATTGTAATAAAGCCGGTCGATACTAAATATTCTCGGCTATGTCAATCTCCACGCGGTACATCTGTGGCGTTTGTAAATATTGTAAATATTCATCTCATAGCCACTTGTCAGCATCATTACTTTCTTTTCCATCAAGTAGGTTAATTTAATTGTACTCTAACCTCTTTCTATCTTTCGCACTGGACATACAGACATGACAGCGACGTTTACTTCTCACATTCATTTCTGCTGTCATTCTCTCATTATATGAAAATCAATAATATAATCAAGTTGGTTGTTACATATTTCCTCCAAATAACTACATCGGTGACCCCGACGTGATTTGAACACGCAACCTTCTGATGACACATCACATCACATCACACATTACATCTACACATTCTCGAAATCATCGGTGTTAATTTCTGGTGAATTTATCATGAGAGGCTGCCGATCTGACTTCGTCCTCGCCGATTATCTCACACTATACCTGGCCAGCTTTTTTTAACAGCACAGATTGGGGTTGCCATTCAATTTTTATTCTGTAAAAAAGTTCCAATTCTCAATCAGCCTTCAGTTTCCCCTGCGTGCCAATATTCCCCCCAGTCCCCATCTGTCAGTCAGCCGTGCGTGCGTATGTCCCGTACCTGAGGCGGTGGCGGCGGCGGTGCGCGGCGAGCGCGTGCGCGTGGCGGCAGCGCACGCCGCACACGCCGCACGCCAGCTCGCCCGCCGCCTGCGCACGCGCACATGCACACTATTAACTTTTCTCCTATTCGTTTGAAAGACGCTTTATTATTAAAAAAAAAAAAAAAAAAAACGATAAATTACGTCTCTCGATGAAATAAAACAGTAGTAATGTCCACGCAACGATTAATTGAAATCTGGAGATATTTTAAAATTATTCTTGTATCAAAAACTAACTTAACAGCTTGAGTTAACTAACTTTTGTCCTGGCCGTACAGTACAATAAGTACATTCCGATTACGCCAACGTTAAAGATTTAATCGTATTTATTTTAGAAATTAAAAAGTAAAAAGAAATATATATGATAATGAATTACACATGTAGAAAACGAGTTAAAACAACAAAACCCAACATAGATACAACATATAACTCATACGGAACCGAAAACTCAGATGTTGATTACGTAACAACCAAAAACTCAGTCGGCAATTTTGAATGCACCCAAAACTCAGTTTAGTCAATGAATTTTATAAAGTATGAATAATAAGTTTGTTATAAAAATTAATTATTTATTGATGAAAACTACTATTATTCTATGGATGACAACGGTAAATAAAATCCGAGTCGATCGAGTTCAGCTCTCGAAGAGGATTCAGAAATTGAAATGACCTTATTTAGATGTAGCTTTATTAGGTTTCTTATATGAAAAATAGATACCTAGGTATTGATATCGTAATTCGGAATTACTTATTTCAGACCATCAAAGTACTTAAAAATTCGTCCAAATAAGTTAGTTTCTGATTTTTTTTTATAATTATTCAAAAAGTTTGTCAGAACAGAACTAAAATAAGAAAGCAAATAAATGAAATATACCGCACTTTTAGATAGTGCATATCAAGATAATTCATATACCAGATTTGAAGTTAGATCTTCAGGAATACAACTGTGAAAACCGCATCCAATTTAGTGTAGCAGTTTTTGCGTGATGCCAGAATAAAAATATAGATAGACAAACTTCCTAAAAAAAATATTGTTCCGGCATTTGTTGGTTCTATAACCTACCATACTATTTTTTCTTAATACGACTCCCCATCTACAAACATTGTCTAGGTAGAATTTTATTATATTAGTAAGAGAGTTGACAATTGCTGGTGATTTTAAGACGGTTCGTTAAAACAATCTATGGAAGTGGTCTCTATTTAGCATTCCTTGCTGCACATAGTGGATAATCAAAGAATAACATGATGAGTTCATACCGGGTCGTGTTTCTTCATGTGGTTCTCCAACTTGAACCTGTAATTGAAGCCGAGCACGCAGTCGTAGCAGCGGTACTCGTGTCGCGTGAACACCACCGATGTCAGAGCCTGCTGACGTTCAGCTTCCACCTATATATGGATGGGCAGTTATATTGATCTATTATAAAGTAATTTATTTATGTAGAACTAGCTATATACCGAGTTCGTTCACGTTAGTTGAAATATACTGGTCTACACGTAACTGGTCACTGTCTGTATATGGAAGATATATAAGGAAAATTATTATGGGGGCCCTCCCCCATAATAATAAGTTTGGACTTTATGAATGCAATACAACCCAAAACAATGAATTTTAGAATTTTTGTTTGTACGTTTGTGCATGCAAATCTTAGAAACAGCTTAACCATTTTGATTCTCACTAAAGCGTTGCGGTTTGCTCCGCCTAACATTTTGGTGTTTGTTTTATTTCAATCGATATAAATAAAAAGTAACACATTTAATTAAATTTCAGTGTTCAGTACTTTTTGTGTGAAAGAGTAAGAAACATCCACCTATCTCCACAATTTTTGCATTTATAATAGTAGTAACATGAAATTTACTGAACCAAATGAATCTGAGAGATGGCAAGAGACCTTTCATCACGTTGTATTCTACCGATGGCTACGGATTTGATTCCCGTACAATGCAGAGATATTTCTCTTATTGATAAACATGCTGAGGGCCCACTAGTTAGAAAGCGGTAAAGGTCGTCTATAGACTTGAATACCATGGACACCACAGAGTACATTGTCTGCTGATGTCTTTCACACATCGTCATTCTCGAGAACTACAGTGTTATTTTTTTTTTATACAACTTAGAATGGCAAACAAACTGACGTTCTACCTGATGGAAAGTGGTAACCGTCGCCTATAGACATGAGCAGTACCATGGACATAACAGAGTATACTGTTTCACTGTTTCGTCCATGATACCCCCCATGCGTTGCCATTCCTGAAGACTCAGGTGTTATTCCTCTGTACCCAGTAAATTCACGCCATATTCCACCCTTCAAACCGAAACACAGCCATGCAAACACAACTGCTTCAACCGTGAAGCAGTTGTGTTTGCATGGCACGAACAACACAAATGGGACAGAGGTAAGTCATTGTGCCTAGTAATTTCACTGTCATGTTATTTATATATTAAGTATTGTGACGTTGCGTGTGAGCGTGTGTATGACCTCCTCCCAGGTGAGCAGCACCATCTCGAGCTGTCCGCTGGGCACGTTGAGCTGCCGCAGCTTGTTGTCGACCCGCGCGTTGCTCACCACGCCCGCCGGCTTTTCGCGCTTCGGACGCGGATGCTTGCGTCTGTCCACTTTCTCGTCTTGATCTGAAAGAAAAAAAAGCTGTAGACATTTTATAGAGCAAAAATCCAATTATTTAAATTTAGATAATAGGTCTTATTTTGTATTAATGACTATTATAGTACAAATATTAACCTGTTTCCTTCTTTTTTCTTCTACCCCTCGGTTTGTATTTTTTATCTTCTGTCTTCTTTTTTAAGGGCTCGTCGTCCGATTCATTGAACTCATCCTCATTAGTTTTCCGCCTGGTTTTTCTCGTTTTTTTAGGTTTATGTTTTGGTTCTCCATATTCAAAAGAGTCCGACTTTAATATCATCTAAAAAGATAAATAAATATTGAAGCTAATAACAAATATATATGACATTATGTGATGTATTTTATTTTGCTTATTTTGTTATTATTATTTATTTATTAATTATACAGTAACTGATGATGAAAAAACTACAGTGAGTTATTCTCAATCTGGCTCTCTGAATAAAAAGAAAATAAATCTATACACAAATACCTTTTCATTATTATATGAGCAAGAAGAAGTAATATGTTGCTATCTTGCTCTCATTTTATGCATATGGTAGGGATAATGTATCTAGAAAACGATTTTATTGTGTAATCCAGTGTTTAGAAATCCTAAATTATAAATAGGTTGAAAAAACACAGACTGAATAGAAGAGACATTCATATGTATGTGAATGCCACTGTATTGTCTGAACAGTAGCCGGTGGTATTTTATCAAACTATTTATAATTTGCGACAATTTATATATCATCATATTCATCATTGCAGTCATTATCTATCGACTGATAGTCACTTAGTTACCTGCTACTGATTTATTGTGAATTTATTTGAGTTTGTCATCCCATCTAGTGAGAGGTTGTCCTACACTAAACTTTATATATAGATAAATTTGACATTTAAGTGGGTACGGAGGGGGAGGCCGTTTGCACTCTGCGACAATACAGAGAAATGCAATGTTATTCAAGTTTAAAATTTTTTGGTATACTTTTTCGCTTACAATTTGAGCAAACATATATTATTCTTACCTCTGTAACTTTCTCATCATTATTTTCTATAACATCCTCATAGTTCTCATCCACGAAGAACCCATTCATATCAACGAACTCATCATCCTGTCTTTCCACCTTTAGAAATGTCAACGGTTGCACTGAGTTTTGAATGCATTCAATATTGCCCACTGAGTTTTTAGTTTTTAAATCAATATCTGAGTTTTGGGTTCTGTTTGGATTATTTGTTGTGTCTGAGTTGTATATATGGTTCTGTTGTTTTGATTCATTTTCTGTCTCTGTGACATCATATATAATGTTATTATTTTTTACAGATAATCTTGTAAGTGGAAGCAGTACCATTTCTTGTAGCTGAAAGTTGAAATAAGAGAATATTATTTATTTATTTATTTAATATTTGTACACACTAATAATACATAAACGTATGACAGAGGTAAGTAAATGTACAAAGGGGAGCTTAACTCTGCAAGAGTTCTCTTCTAGCAACACCCAAAGTGGAAAGGAGCATCAATGTCAACGAGTAGAGTGGTGTACAATATTGGGACAATTTACAAATAAAAAAGAACTAGACAGACTTCAGTTTATACATTAATTATATAATATTTAATTGTATATATACATACATATTAATTGATTAGGAAGTTAATATATTTTTAGAATTATCAGACATTGCAGTGCCTAACATAAGCTCATCGAGGTTACTGGTAACCCGAGAGCTGGTAGCTACTTTGCCCAAAAGATTAGTTTAACAGTCCAAAGAGGTAATGTTGCCAGTATCTTGGGTACGCTGCCTTGGCGTAGTGCATTGGGAAATTATATAATTTAAAAAAAAATTAGGAAGTAATATGGACAAGTTTATATTATGAATTTCAACATAACTTCTGGCCAAGGCATTGGGGAAGGCTAAGAGTGATGATGAATTCCACAATGCCTTCAATCCTTCTCTTTTCATATCCATTAATTTTCAATCACCTTCTTAATATCATTGGTTCCAAGGGGTCCAAGGAAGGTACATCTAAATGGAAGATACCTCATGCTCCATCATCTGGTATTTGGCATCCACTCTCTATTACTAATTTAAATAGTAAAAAATATAAAGGTCTTTCCCTTTAAGAGATTTCTATAAAAGGAACTTAGGGCTCTATTACTAGTAAAATTCTCAGAGTCACTGTAGCCATGTTTCAAAGTATAAGGAACAATCCATTATGGTAATAAAATTATTAGGTATTGAATTATAACAACTTAGTTGTCAGGAATGCATGAGGTGTAATACAGTGCATTCTGACATGTCCATGGTGCTGTTTACATCTATGCAAGATGCAAGTTTATAGATGCAAGTTTTTTTTGAATTGGTGAAAATGGTATTGTAACCCCGCCTACGCTATTGGTATACACTGACGGGATACCAGTGAGATGTGATAGGTGAGGATGAAAAGGCAGGTCAGTTAGCCCATCCTGATAAATTCAACGATAAATTAGTCATGGTAGTTTCCAGGGGGAACCCAGTGGATCTTGACTTGATGGGGTTTTATTGATAGCAATGGGAACTTACCCCCCTATTACTAACACTTTCCACCAGGTGGCCCATTAGCTTGTTTGCCATTTTATGTAGTATTAAAAGAAGTCTCACCATATATCTTATGATGTGGTTTCTGGCCGTTTGCACTTGTCTTCTGAAGTTGAGCATCCTCCTCATATTAGCCATGCATTCCCAGCACAAGAGTACACCATGGTTAATATGGTCCTTGAAACATAACAGATATTTACATAAATCATCATGTTTTAATTTTGGATGTATGATATTAATAACTGAGTGCGATTTAGTTGAGGAAAAAAAAAACAAGTTTGTTAGAAAAAATAATAAATTTTACATGGTTGTTACAAAGTTTAGGAAATTATCCTAAATTTTGTAGAGTAGCTTATTTTTTTTTTTTGGGAAGAGATTGATAACCAGTAGTAAGACATTATTAGGTTAATATAAATCAAAACAGAAGTTTCCAAACTAATATTATAAATGTGAAAGTTTGGTCAGTGGATACCCTTAATTTTTACAGACGTTTGTTACTTGATCATGTTTAAATGCCAGGGCTGGACTGGGTTTTCCTGGCTGAATATTAAGAAAACTTGGAATATATTTAAACTAAATCCTAAACTAACAATTAAAACAAATTTTAAAAGGCGGGCAAAACAATATTTAAAACAAGAGTTATAAACTGTAAATCAACAAAGTACATAATCTATGGCTTTCATAAGGAACTATAAATTATTTTTTATTAATCTGGGATCTGGGTTCTATTTTCAAATAGGAAAAAAATATTTAAAAACTTACCATCTGATCTACTAGGTACGTGTAAAAACTTCGAGTTTCATCATCACAGATTGGTGTCAATTTACGATCTATACTTAAACAGCCTTCACATATCGATCGGCTATTATTTGTACTTAATTCTAGATTCATTTTCTATTTAAGTATTTACAAAGTATTAGACTGTTATTTTATAAATATTTTTATACTAAAGGAAAGCGATTAAACAAATAGTAAAAAAGTTTTTTTAGTGGTGTTGTCAGCATAGTATCAAGTTTTTTGACTAAATGGTTAACGACTAAGTTGTTATAATAGCTATCAGGAATTCAGGAACATGTTTTTCATACAACAGTATTATTCGAATAAAATGCAATACTTAAGACAGATGTACATTTGTTTATATCACAAAAATTATAAATAGATATAAACTATTACAAATAAGACTTATCAGAAAGATGATTACTGACTCCATGAGGCCATTGATTTTTTCCTCAAAAGCTTTAGAAGCTAGCATGATTGAGTGTTATTTCTTTGACATTTTTTCAAATAAATGCTTTCTAGATTTAAAACTGACTTAATGTTAATGGGGGTTAGATAAGAAAAAAAAGCTAGATCAGCCCCAAAAAAATTAAGAGGGCAACACTACTTTCTCAACTGTCAATTAATTTTTTTTCAGTTACTAATTCTTTTTTCAACTTATCATACTTAAGACCAATATTAAAAAAGCCATATTGTTATTATATGCACTAAAAATCGATAATGTTGTAATAAATAAATGGATAATGTTCAACAAAATATGCGCTTTGGATATGGATTTCGACCAGAAAGAGACTGCATAAAAGTTGTCTGCTTAGGTTCCTATGTCTTCTCTATTCATGTTTCTGTATTGAAGCAGATGTGCAGAATGGCTGTGCTTCAGTTTAAAGGCCGAAATATATAATAAAATTATAAAATGCCGAAACATAAAACAATTGTCTTCATATATTATATCATAGTTTGGTAAATTATAAGGCATGCTGGTCATGTCTGTAGATTGCCAGTTATATGTGCGGCATTGCCCGCAACTGGGATGGCTCCACCATATCTCCATGCAGTCGATCGTTTGATGAGATAAGTTTTTTTTTTTAACTATTTCTTTATTAGCAATATACCCTATTAGGTCGACCTCCACGCAGTTCCTCCTGGAAACCATCTTGATTAATTTTAACTAAATTCGACACGATGGGCTACCTGCCCTGTTTTCATTCTCACCTATCATCTCTCACTGGTGTTTCGCTAGCATATACCGATGGCGCAGGCGCGACTGCTATTCCATTTTCACCCATTAAAAAAAAATTGGAGTAATCATTCCCGTAATGTGTTTCATTGATCTTAAAACCTCGTATCCTTAAATCATAGCGTAAAAAAGCGAGGCATTAAGAATGTTAGTAATGAGTATTACTAATCCCAATGCTAGCAATATATCCAGTTAGGTTGACCTCCACGTGGTTTCCTTGGAAACCCTCATGCCGATTTACAGGTGTATTCATCACGATAGGCTAACTGACTTGCCTTTTCATTCTCACCTATCATCCCTCACTGGTGATCCATCAGCGTATACTGTTAGTGCAGACGGGGTTTTTTATGGGTGATAATGAAATAGTAACCCCGCCCGCGCTATCGGTATACACCGGCGGGGCACCAGTGAAGGATGATAGGTGAGGATGAATGCAGGTCAGTTAGCCCACCATGATGAATTCGATAAGAATTAATCATGATGGTTTCCAGGGGGAACCGCGTGGAGGTCGATGCAGGCGGGGTTACCATTCTGTTACCATCCATTACAAAAAAAAAATCGTTAATAGTGGAACGTTGTTATTTCGGTCGATTGCGTTTATAGACCATGTCTCTGACTTCAGGATTAGGAGTCTTCAGAACTATGTTTTAATAAAATAAAAATATGATTCTGTCAGGAATGCCGTCAGCTAGTTTGCCATTTTAACTATCATGAAATAAGATTGCCTCAAATTATTTAGTTTTTAAAACCCTTGGTTCTTTGGATACAGTATCCAATATTTTATGCATGGATTATAGAAGTAAAATTAACAATAAAATAGTTCAAGATAACATATCCCATTCGTGTTTCAACCGTGAAGCAGTTGTGTTTGCATGGCTGTGTTTCGGTTTGAAGGGTGCGATATGGCGTGAATTTACTGGGTACAGAGGAATAACACCTGAGTCCTCAGGAATGGCAACGCATGAGGGGTGTCATGGGCGAAACAGTATACTCTATTATGTGCATGGTACTGCTCATGTCTACGAGGTCTGTCCGGAAAGTTCGTATAAAAGTGTTCTGGAATGCGAGAAAGAGGAGTGGGGAGGCCAGGTAAGCGCAGGACCCCTTCCTTATGTCCCTAACAATGCTTCAGTTCTGGTCTGACCGCCGTGCGGTGCGAACTGGCTTGTCACGCCATCTGTGAAGTTACCTCTTAACGAAACCCCGTCGGCATGGAGCCCGCTTCCGTTGAAGAGCAGCGCGTCGTAATCAAGTTTCTCTCGAAACTCGGCAAGAATGGCCGTGAAATTTTTGCCGATCTAATTCGATAAGACATCCGGGGAACCACGAACAAAAAAATCAAGAAAATCCCGCTCAAATGTCAAGACAATGTTGATTGTTTTTTTCGATGTTCGGGGGATTGTCCATCAAGAATTCGTCCCTCCAGGCCAGACAGTTGATGGAAAATTCTACGTCGATGTGCTCAGACGCCTCAAAGCTCGTGTGGCACGAGTTCGTCCAGAATTGGCGCGAGAGGGGCGTTGGATTCTTCACCACGACAATGCCCCTGCCCACACCTCTCTTGTTGTCCGTGAGTTTTTGAGTAAAAATTCCATTACGGTGACCGAACACCCCCCCTATTCGCCGGATTTGGCCCCGTGTGACTTCTTCTTGTTCCCAAAAACCAAATTGGTACTTCGGGGGCGGCATTTGGGGGACATAAATGAGATAAAAAAAGCTACGACAGGGCAGCTGAGAAACCTACAACCAGAGGACTTTCAAGGAGCCTTCTCACAGTGGAAACGGCGTTGGCACAAGTGCATTATGTCACAGGGGGAGTACTTTGAAGGGGATAAAATTGATTTACCTGAATAATTGTAAAATAAAATTTTTAAAAAACTTTTATACGTACTTTCCGGACAAACCTCGTATAGGCGACGGTTACCACTTTCCATCAGGTGGGCCGTCAGCTTGTTTGACATTCTAAGTTGTATAAAAAAAAAAAACTTTAAATTGGACCTTCAGAAACATCTTTGGTGTAGTCTTTTTCGCTTGATACCGAAACAAACATACATACATTCAGGCAAAATTTATAAAATTGTTATTTTACCTTCTATTGATTTAATTGTTAAGGTGAAAACTAAGCATTAATGGAGGGAAAGGGAGTGTTAGTAATGCGGTCTAACTGATCCTTTGCCAGCAATACTCCCTATCAGGTCGACCTCCACGCGGTTCTCCCTGGAAACAATTGTAGTTAATTCTAGTGCAATTCATCACGATGGGCTAACTGACGTGTCTTTTGATCCTCACCTGTCATCCCTCACTGGTGCCCCGCCGGTGTATACCGATAGCGCGGGTGGGGTTACCATTCCATTATCACTCGTTAAAAAAAAAACTAGGTATTAATAAACTCTTTAGTGAAATTTGAAAATAGAAAAGAAAAATATGATTGCCTAGTAACCTTAATATTTGACGTGTTCTGTAAATTGACTTTTGTCTGAAAAACTGTATTTACAAATTAAACAATATTTTAATATAATGGTACAATACAGTTTCGTGTATTTAGCGTGTGCTGTGTTTATTATAAATAAACTGTCAAGTTACTTGGACTAAGAACTAAATCTATTGCGTACAATACTACTTAGTGCTACTACTGCTTTCACGCTGGTCATCTTTCCATGTATATCTACTCCTAACAAGGTACGTATTCCGCTGCAACTCTAACATTAATAAGTGCAAGAGACTCTCATATAAATTGTCCTTAATTATCTCCCTTGTCTACGACATCGTGAAATCTAGAACTTTGCAAAGATAGACGCGGTAGATTATGAGGTCACTCATGCACTTTACAGCGTTTAAAATTAATAATAAAAAAGATATAAAATTAAAACAACTTAATTTTCTATGTCTCCAATCAACAAAGACAGTAGTCATGGAAATTAGAATAAAATCAAGATAAGTTACATCACTACCATAGACTAAGTAACAGTATCCATGATCTTTATTCTTTATTGTACACAGAAGGTTATTGAAATGTAAAAACAAACATAATAGTGCATAATAGTTCTCAGAAAGAACTATCTATTACACTCGTCTCGTTTTAGGTAAATAAGAAAGTTTTTTTGTAGATACTACAAAACATAACTAATCATTCATTACATTTTTTAAAAGTCAGCACTGTCTTTATATTGAGAAGTCGATAAAAATAAGTGGAATCTATGCAACCATCTATAAGTATCACAATAGAATAAGTGTATTTTTTTTTATACAATTTAGAATGGTAACCAAGCTGACGGCCCACCTGATGGAAAGTGGTTACCGTCGCCTATAGACATGAGCAGTACCATGGATATAACAGAGTATACTGTTTCGCCCATGATACCCCCCATGCGTTGCCATTCCTGAGGACTCAGGTGTTATTCCTCTGTACCTTGTAAATTCACACCATATCCCACCCTTCAAACCGAAACACAGCCATGCAAACACAGCTGCTTCACGGTTGAAACACGAATGAGACAGAGGTACCCAAGCAATCGACTTTTGTAGAAAGTCTCCCTCTTCCTATTATATATTATATTCGTAGTATTTTTTTTTATTTATTTATTTAACACTTTATTGCACCAACATAATAGGATTTGTTGAACAATTTTCATAAAGTATAGTGTAGTACAAAAGGCGGCCTTATCGCTAAGCAATCTCTTCCAGACAACCTTTGGATAGAAAGAATTAAAGAATAAGTGAATATTCATAGTATTATGCAATTATAATACGTCCTTTGTCTAAAATATAAATGTCGACTTTCCACTTTGGGTTTGCTGGAAGAAAACTCTATTAGAGTTAAGCACGCCTTTGTACATTTGATTACCTCCGTCATATTCTTATAATTAGTGTAATAAAGAATTAAAAAAAAAATAAGTACCGAGCTATCTATTTTACAGTGTAAAATTTTCAAATATACTACATTTTTTTTGTAACATGAGGAGCAAATTAGCATACGGCTCACCTAATGGTAAATGACGATGGTAAATGATGAATGTGGTGCCGGCCATTAGGCCGAAAAAAAAACCAACTGATAATAGTTTTTTTTATATTACTTAGAATGGCAACAAGCTGACAGCCCACTTGATGGAATGTGGTAACTGTCGCCTATAGACATGTACTCCTCATGTCTATAGGCGACGACGATCTGTTAAATACACAAGCATGTTCTGTATAAAGATTTTTATTTAAATAACGTAACAAATTGTTAACTGATTTAGTAAATTCTCATTTTTTTTATCTGAAAGGATATTCAGATCAGTTCAGATTTTTTTTACACTACTTAGCAAACAAACAAGCTGACGGCCCACCTGATGGAAAGTGGCAACCGTCGCCTATAGACATGAGCAGTACTATGGACATAACAGAGTATACTGTTTCGCCCATGATATCCCCCATGCGTTGCCATTCCCGAGGACTCAGGTGTTATTCCTCTGTACAAATTAAATAATTATATGTAATATTATTAAAGGTATATTTTTCATTTTCACACTCTCCATGCTGTTCAATAAAACAACTAAAAATTATAAATAACTGTACATTTTATTTACTACATGCATCAACTATCTAACGCAATTGTACCAACAGTACATACAAATAAAAATCCACACGAATCGACAATAAATAATAATCAGATACACCCAAATACTGAATATACTTAATCTATGGTTAAATTAAAATATAAATAAAAAAATTATTATACTTATTGAAAAACTCTATACATCCTCGAACGAAAAAGGCGCGAAATTACCACGATTTTACTTTTTTTTTTTTTAAATCAGTGTAATATTTTATAAAAAAATAAAACCATGGTTTATAATTGAACTTGATCCCTAATAAAACATTTGACTAAATGCTAAGTAATTATCTAATCTTACATATTTCTACTATATAGTACCTAATTTTAAATTATCTAGATTTTAGAATAAACTGGCATAATAGAACAGCAATAAATTATAGTCTTAGTAACTTAAAAATAATAATGTGTAATTTTCATTATATGATTTATTTAAAAAAAAAATAACAATAAAAAGTACAACTTTTTTCGCCCGAGGATCGAAACTAAAAGCTTAAAATAAAAAAAAAAATATATAAATTAATTCGAAACGCATCCAGTTGAATCCAATGTGATTCATATGAATACATCTCAAATTTAATTGTTAATTTTGTTTTTTTTTCGGTATATTTATTTTAAAAAGATGTCAATAAAGAATTCAGACATCTTTTACTTGTACATGGCTATTTGTACCAAAATGGCGCCAGTGAGCGTCGCTTAGAGCTTACGCCATATTTTTTTATTTGTAACTTTTTAAATAGTCATAGACGCAGTTTTATCCTATATATTGCATAAGTGAAATTTTAGAAAACATTCCGCTTAAAAATTTACGACATAGACAGAGGAAAATAATTTGACTTTTTTATTTATAGTCTTATTCAAGTTGTTTCCCGCGAATTGTATATCCTTAGAAATTTTTCAATAAGAAGTCTCCTGAATCATTTACCAAGTCTACAAATCGTTCTCTGTGACTTATTATTGAAATCTCATAATCGCTCACTGGTAAAATAGACTAGAATCTATCAAAGATATTACACTCTCACGATTTTACAGTTTTCTCTCCAAATTCAGCTTTTTTATCGCTAGACTCATCGACATTTTCACTTATACTAGTAGCTACCGATATTTCTGTAACTGGTTCATTATTTGTGACATCTTTAGAGTCATTACCGAAGAAAATAGCGACATCGTTGTCATCGATTTCTTCTACTGGCTTGATAGTTTCTAATTTTGGTGCTGGAACAACTACGGGATGTTGAATAGAAGATTCAGCTCTCAACTCACAATCAGATATGTCGCCCCTGTGTTTATGTATAATCTCGCTGTTCAAAATACTCTTAATATCCTTGTTTGTACTTTGAATTTCTTGGTCTACGCTATTCTTTTTTTCTTTAGTTCTATCTATGGGCTCATAGCCAGCTGGCAGCGTTAGACCTCCAACGTCTATGTTCGCAAAATCAAACGAACTGGGCTGGAAGTTGCCTTGAGGAACAGGTTGCACTTTTATGTTCGACTGAGTCTGTCCCGATGGCTGCTCTATAGCTTGTAGTATACTCTGTAAAAGACCTTCGGAAAGCAATTGCTCATGAGGTATCGAAGGCGGACCAGTCTTACCTCTCAATCCATCGTCAGCTGACTGTATTTGTAGAGAATAACTGCCATGTTTTCCTTTTACTGGAATTTCCTGACTAAATTGACTAATTTGACCATTAACACTATTTATATTTTTATTAGTTGATACTATCTTTTGTTGCAATAGCTTGGCTTCCTCGCTCAAGTTTTTAATCTTCTCCGATGTCTGTTGTATTTGTTCTGAAACAAATTGTAATCTGTTGTCTTTATAGTTGTGCTTTCCTAATGCCTTTGCCTTTTGGAAACTGTTTTTCTCATTTTTTTCTTTTTTAACATCATTACTAGGGACTATAGTTTGGACTAATGTATGCGAAGCTGTAGCTAAATCTTTACTATTATAAGAAACTGATTCGCTGCCTGGAACAGGAGTGTTAAATGCATTTTGTGGCGATATCAGAGTTTGCTGACTTTTAGAAAGTGTTGATCCTAAGGAACTTAAGCTAGCTACGTAGCTGGACGCTAGCTCTGAAGGAATTCTTTCTCCTAACTTTGCTGCTTTTATGATTGCTTCATGGTACGGACAGTGTTTCAAAATAGCTGCTGCATCCAGATTAGACAAATTAGCAAGTATCATCCCATCGAGAGTTGCTGTTACAGAGTTTGTGTTAGAATCAGAGGTGCTATGATCGGATACAGTTAATAAAGGTGCAGTGTAAGAGTCTATTGGTGACCCATATAAATTATTCGGAGTTTGTTGCAGATTTTGGAAATTTATGGGGTTTTCTGCATGTGGCAAGCTGTATAGATTGGACGGTTCAATAGATAGGGAGAGACTTGAAACTCCATGGTTTCCAGTATGCTGGTGTGTGTCTTTTACATCCCTGATTGGAGGTGGAATATAAGTCGGTCCTTGTTTCAAATGGTCGATACCATGAGTGTCTTTATGGTGTGTGATTTGTCCAATTTGTTGAATTAGGCCTTCTGGGACTGATTCTCTGAATTTGATTGGATGTCTTGGGCTACTGCCACCTGTATGGATAGAGTGGCCGCCACCAGAGTATGTTCCGTATGGGATAGGTAAGTTAGCAGGTGCTGGTTTCGGAGGAGCTCCATACTGACTTCCTGGAGGTACACCGTAGATTCCTGATGGTGGTATAAGGCCTTTAGCTCCTTGTTGTCTGACTGATGGAGGGTAAGGGCCATTAGATAATGAATCTAAAGGTGGAGCTGAGTAGGTGTCAATTGGCTTATCAAGTCCCGTTGGCACAGAATTCTGTATAAATGTCACATCTTGAGGAGTATTGGTTTCTGTGTAATGCGCTTCAAATACTGTTTTCGATTGATCGATATGATTCGAGTCGCCACCAACTATAGCATTTAAATCGATATTAGCCAAAGCATCTTGGTGGACGCTTGAGTATCCTGTTGTAATTTGAGCATTACCACCAAATGCCGGAGGTTGGTCGAAATTTGGCAAACCTTGGTCGAAATTTAAGTGAAGATCTTGAGCTGGTGGTGGCGGAGGTGGGCCATATTGGTCACCTAGTTGGTTGCCAGCATTTATATCGCCAACGTGATGATCAACTTCTACTATTGGTTTTGATACACCAGGTATTGGCTTCCAGCCGTCATACAGCACATGTGGTGGAGTAGGTGGCGCAGGGATACCTGGATGTGGTGGTCGAGGGTTCGGGTCAGGTTGCGGAGGTCCGTAATGTCCCAAATTGCTATCGTGGACTACAACTTGGTCATTAGGACCTATAGGACCGAGCGTATGTCCTGGCGGGCCGTATGTGTCTGCTGGAATCGGGAAGTTTGGCTTAAGATCTCCTGGTAGGGACAGAGATGTTAATGGCGTTCCATATATAGGTGCGGGTAGATTTAATCCAAGATCTATTGAACTAACACTGCCGATGCTTGAAGTTATCGGAGGTAGTTCTGGGATGGGTAAATTCTGTACGTTAAGCAATGGGGGGCCATAAGTTGCTTTTGGAGGGCCGTAAATAGGTTTAGGTGGACCATAAACCGGTTTAGGAACTCCATATATGGGTTTTGGGTGTGTAAGCTTTGGTGGTTTGAAAGGAACACCATAGGTTGGTTTCGGTAGACTAAATTTTGCAGGGCCGTATGTTTTCTTTGGGGGGCCGTAGATTGGTTTTGGAGGACCATAGGTCTGTTTGGGAGGACCGTAGCTCTGTTTCGGCGGGCCGTATAGTTTGGGGGGTCCGTATATGGGTCTCGGCTTGGAGATTGGTGGTGGCGGTGGTCCTTCATAAGTCTGACTTGGAAAGACTACAGGTGAAGGCGGTCCATAAGCGCCCGGGGGCGTGTCCTGCAGTGGTACTCCGTAGATTGGTGCCGGCAGTGGGAGATCTGGAACTTGAGAGTTTAAATGTTATTAAAATCCATATATATGGTTATTTTTAAAGAAGGAATAACACCTGAGGAATGGCAATGTATGGGAGTTATCATGGACGAAACAGTATACTCTGTTATGTCCATGGTAATGCACACGTCTATAGGTGATGGTTACCACTTACCATCAGGTGGGCTGTCAACTTGTTTGCCATTCTCAGTTGCATAAAAAAGGCACATATTTATATTAAATTATTGTAAATTTTATGTTATTTTTATTTAATTATGACTAATGGTGTACTTTGTATACATTTCTAACATTATAAAGTAGTTCGTGTGGTCCCGGCATAGAATAGACCACCTATATACGTCGGGACCACACGGCCAACCATTTGCCGTATGAACTACGTTTATTATTATGTTCAATGTATAAAATACATACTAATGTTGCCTATATCCTGAGGTGGTCCGTACGCGTCCGCAGGCAGAGGCTCCCCGTACGAGTTCGATAATCCCGCTTCTCGCTTCTGTGCTTGTACTCCTGAAAAAAAAAAATTTTAATCAAAAAGATAGTTTTAAAAAGCAACTCTCTCAGATTGTACCTATAGAAATTTTATCAAAATCTGTTCAGTATAACGGAAGAAGTGGCCCATTCTATGCCAGGATTATACGGCAAAACATGGATAATAAACATACCCAAAGGTTGTCTGGAAGAAATTGCTTTAGCAATGAGACCGCCTTTTGTATTTCATAAGTGTATTTTATACGTATATATTTTTAAACGGCTTGATCGATTCCAATAATTGTTTTCATTGTAACAGGCGTGGTTTAAAAGAAAAACAAATGGGAAGTTTAGCTGAAAAATAGAGAACTTGAAATAGGTAATTTTGTATGGGAATCGTTACTTAGAAATATTTTCAATAGATGGCGTTATTTACGAAGTTCATCGAGTCAGCTAGTCTGAAATATATTAAATAATAAATAAATAAATTGCCTAATTAGATACACAATACCTACAAGGTTTACCACCTTCTTGATATAAAGGAAATCTAGTTATGAATTCTTAAAACATACTTTGGACCGTCAGCATGTTTACCTTTGTAAAATAAGAAAAAAAAATTGATGGTGTCAATTTACCTGAGTTGGTAGCTTCAGCCACCAAATCCTGCTCGCTGTCTTTGCTGACCAGTCCGGGGGGAGTGTCCTCAGCTAAAACTGCCGCCAGCAGCACGCACCACAGTACCACCACCTGGAAATAAGGACAAACATGTTTTGTCAAACGGTTTCAATAATTTAAAATGTCTTACACAATAATAAAGATTGTGCTTCACAATAGACAGCTTCAATTGTGTTAAAAATAGTTATTTTGATTCGAAAACAAAACATCTCCGTGAAGCAGTTGTGTTTGCATGGCTGTATTTCGGTTTGAAGGGTGGGATATGGCGTGAATTTACTGGGTACTGAGGAATAACATCTGAGTCCTCAGGGCAACGCATGGAGGGTATCATGGGCGAAACAGTATACTCTGTTATGTCCATGGTACTGCTCATGTCTATAGGCGACGGTTACTACTTTCCATCAGGTGGGCCGTCAGCTTGTTTGCCATTCTAAGTTGTATAAAAAAAAATCTGAACTGATCTGAATATTTTTTCAGATAAAAAAAAGAGAATTTACTAAATCAGTTAACAATTTATTACGTTATTTAAATAAAAATCTTTATACAGAACATGCTTGTGTATTTAACAGATCGATCCAAAAAAAAGTTTAATTATAAAATCAATAATCGATGTCGATAAGATCCTATTATCGATTAAATTGAATCGATATAGGGAAATGTAGCTAGTGCAACATGCTACACATGTTATCGATCGTGGACGTTCGATTACAATGCATCGATATTCCCACCAGATTGTAGATGCCCTCTTTTTTCATTCTTTTGTTATATTTTAACACAATAGAATTGATAATTTAATTGTAAGCAAAAAATGTCACACTTTTTACTATGGGAACTCGGAATATGTTACGGAAACGCTGCATATAGTTGGCTTTAAGTGGTTTATTTAAGTAGTTGGCCGTGTGGTCCCGGCATAGAATAGGCCACCCCTTTCTATCCAGCGGGTGTCTTAAGAAGCAACTAAGAAGGGCGAGGGATGGGCAGCAGCGTCCCTCTTAAAACATCTCTAAAGTCTGACTGCGGCTGCCAAATCGCCTGCCAAGCGTGACAACTACTAGGAAAACTTCCCATCGGGGAGGCTTATGTTCAGCAGTGGACAATTTAGGGCTGGCATGATGATGATGAAGTAGTTTATTTAGGGAAATCTTAATTAGAAGTACTTTAAACACAACCAGGGTGAAAAATAAGCTTAATTTTCCTGATGGTAACACTACAGTAGCTCATGAATGCTTGCAACACCCCTATATAAAGTACAAACGAATCTATTAATAGAATACTTTTTTCTTCTTTCACTGCAATTTTCTAAAACAATTAAAAAAAAAAAACCTAACTAACCTAATAAACAATATGAAACGTTTCCCGCCAAAAAATATGTCACTCTCTCTTATATTATGTCAGATAGACGACAGTTCGTTCACGGAATTATCTATTATTTTTTTATTTTCACTGTAATAAAAAAAAAATTTAAAAAGAAACCTACTAACCTTCTCCTTGCATTATGGTATAACAATAAGTTTCCCGCCAAAAATCATGTCATTCTTTCTCGCTAGCGAGAGGGAAAACAATTTACACTATTCCATTCTGTATAAATTTTAACTGGTAAGCAATTAAGCACGTAAATAAACACTTCCCTAATATTAATTCATGTTTCCTTTCATACTTCTTTCTGTTGTTTTAAAACCATATAATGGTATGTTATTAATATAAAGGCGGGAAGAGATCTTTCTCATATTCCATTGTTCATTGTAAGCAGAGATTGCTGTCATTAGAACATTTGTCTATAGCAAGCTAGATACCGGGCAGGGTTATCGCGAGGGATTTCATAAATATAGGGTGGTGTAAGGGTATAAATATACCGCTTTATCTTCCAGATAGTTTAGTTTTCATGACTATGACTGTTTTTATTGATCTTTTTTTATATGCAACTTAGAATGGCAAACAAGCTGACGGCCCACCTAATGGAAAGTGGTAACCGTCGCCTATAGACATGAGCAGTACCGTGGACATAACAGAGTATACTGTTTCGCCCATGATACCCTCCATGTGTTGCTATTCTTGAGGACTCAAGTGTTATTCCTCTATACCTTGTAAATTCACTGCCATATCCTACCCTTCAAACCGAAATACAACCATGTAAACATAACTGCTTTATGGTAGAAACACGAATGAGTTAGAGGTGCCCAAGCAAACGACTTTTTTACAAAGTCTCGGATCTGGTGATCTGAGTGTTTCCTATGGATTACCGATCTATTTTCATGAATTGTAAATATTGAGATTGCAAATTTTTTATTTAGTGGGTGTAGTAAGAGGCGGATAAGGAAATTGTCAATGTTGAAAGTAATTGGATTACAATATAATTTCTCTTATATACAGAGTAATAAATGTGCATTATGGTAACCCTATTCACGCGGGATTGTTAGTAATGGAGACTGAGAAACAAATTGCTAGCAATATACCCAGCCAGGTTGACCTCCTCGCGGTTCTCCCTGGAAACTATAATGGTTAATTCCTGATGAATTCATCATGACGGGCTAACTGGCCTGTTTTCATTCTCATCTATCACCCTTCACTGGTGCTCCGCCAGCGTATCCCGTTAGCGCAGGCGGGGTTACCATACTATTTCGTATGTGACACTCTATCTATGCAATTAAGTGTTCCATTATCAAATTATTAAAAAAAAAACGTTTACTTCGTAACTACAAATAGCCAGTCCGTGACATTGGAACAGTGATTTAGTATTAGAGAAATCATCACGCGACTCTGTGTCCCGCCATCTTGTCTCATTGTGAGCCCCTGCAGGTGAAAGTGCACATAAATGGGAAGTATTTGCATGCCCATTACTGTTAGTGATGTGCCCAATCGGACTTATTTGGCATATTTTTTTTTAAAAGCCAACAGTGATGCTGTTGGTGTTGTGGGTGATCATGGGCGGCGGTAGTCACTTACCATCAGGTGAGGCGCATGCTCGTTTACCCCCTGTGTTGTAAAAATATTCTCGATTGACTTGAAAAAGAAAATTTTGAATTTGGTTGTATTTTTTCTTTATGTTTGTCACCTCATAACTCCGTCAGTTGGGAACCGATTTGGAAAATTCTTTTTTTATCTGAAAGGATACACTTACAGAGTGGTTTTGTAGAAATTCAATCAATATCGATCAGTAGTTTAGTTTTTAAATCGATATAACTGGTTTTGCAGTCAGTGGTTTTGTGGAAAACGATGGTATTTTAAATGACACTTGATGACTGGGAAACAAGCTGACGGCCCGCCTGATAGAAAGTGCTAAATGTTGTCTATACATATGAATAACACTGTGAACGTTACAGAATGCAATGTGGTGCCCATGGTATTTCTCATGTGTTGCCATCACTGAGGACTAAGTTTTTTTTGTTGTACCATTGAGGTGGCAAACAAGCATTCGGCCCATCTAATGGTAAGCGGTCACCGTAGCCTATGAACGCCTGCAATACCAGGGGTATTACGCGCGCGTTGCCGACCCTGAAGAAACCTCTTTACCCCCCTTTTGAAGAACCCCATGCTATAGTCTCTTGGGAAAACCTCGGCAGGGAGCTCATTTCATAACCTGAGTGTTCGTGGGAGGAAACATGTCTGAAACCGCGTTGTACGCGACCATCTAGGCTGTAGGACATGAGGGTGAACTCCCTGTCGATGGCGAGCCGTACGATGGTAGAGAGTTTTATGTTATGGATCTGTAAAGATAGTAAATGTTCATTCATTCAATAGTTTTTCCTTTGATCATCATCTTCACCATCTCAGTCACTACCTGTCCACTGCTGGACATAGGTCTCCACCATAGACTGTCATAAGGAACGGTCCTGAGCCACCTGCATCCACTGACACCCTGCAACGCATTTGAGGTCGTCACTCCATTTGGTGGCGAGTCGTCCGACACTGCGTTTGTCCGTACGGAGTCGCCACCCAAGTACTTTTTTTTTCTTTTGGTAATTAAGGCAAAATTAATAAAACTATGGAACAACACATATAAAAAGTTATGGTACAGAGTCGATTAGTATTCGATTACTGCAAATACCCGAATGCTGTATTCGAGTATCCATTCGGACCCAGCAGTAGATTAATAAAAGATTTAAAAGAGCTTTGAAACAAATTTACTCGTATTTGTTCAAGTTCGAATTTTTATATTTCGAGTAATCGAATTCATACGGAATTCGATTACTCGAAATATATCGAGTATTGGAGTAAATAATTTGAGTCATTAATTCGAGTGAGTTTAAATGTGCACATCACTAATTACTGGGCACATAACCTGTGTCCGTACATACTCAATATGTCTACTTGTTTAACTGTACACAGTGATTTTAGAATGACTTCCAAACGAAATAAGTTCTTAATTTGTCCCATTTTTTTGGATTACATTACCCGATTACATGACCAATTCTGAACCGATTAGCACAATTATTTTCTATGAGCGACGTAAGAGGAGACTAAGGGGACTAATAGTTGAGGGATGGACAGCAGCGTCCCTGTTAAAACATCACCAAAGCCTAACTGCGGTTGCAAATCCGGCTGTCAAGCGTGGTAACCACTGGCAAAACTCCTCTTATGGGGAAGGCCTATGTCCAGCAGTGGACAATTAACGGTTGATGTAATAAAACAGTTCGAGCGTTTGCTTCATATTGATCTTCTTTACAGTCACATATTATGTGCTCATAGAAATGTCTTTGCAGAGTTTCGTTGGCATCTTGCGGAGAGTCCGTACTCCGAGTAGTGTGTGCGTGTGTGTATTCATTTTTTTTATACAACTTAGTATAGCAAACAAGCTGACGGCCCACCTGATGGAAAGTGGTAACCGTCGCCTATAGACATGAGCAGTACCATAGACATAACAACAAGAGTATACTGTTTCGTCCATGATCCTCCCCATGCGTTGCCATTCCTGAGGACTCAGGTGTTATTCCTCTGTACCCTGTAAATTCACACCATATCCCACCCTTCAAACCGAAACACAGCCATGCAAACACAAGTGCTTCACCCAAGCAATCTACTTTTGTACAAAGTGAATTAACTTTTTTGCGGAGCAAAATGTAAAAAAAAACTGCAATTTATGAATAACTGTCAATTGTTATACAGAGAAAGGATTTCCATCCGCCATTTTGTAACAACAAATGACAATTATAAGAAAAAATATGGCGCGAATTAAGATAACTTTCGACCCGGGCAATGTGTAACGCCGGAACTTTTACTTGCTTTCATAGATCACGAGTCACGACCGTCTTATAGATCATCGGCGCACGCGCATCTAATGCGGCGTTGTCTGTATTCAATAGAACATAAAATGTAAACAAACGAATAATCGGCCCGACCATAGACAATCGACTGATGTACAAGTCGGACATCAATCAATTGATGCAACGTTTCGTTTTGTTACTAATTAAATTTAGAGAGTGCTCCTCGTCGACTGATGACGAAACGAAACGCAGTTACGTTTTTATTAATTTCAATTGGATGCGTGATGAGAGGAATTGGCGCGTTTTTTTTTTAACTTAATTCTTTTAAGAAACATTTTTATTGTTCACTATCTTTGTAAGGTGGTATTGTGTGATTTATTTAAAATGAAAATGGACATGTGTTAATAGAAAATACTGTTGATTTTGTGTATTAAAGTTATACTTTTTTGTCCAAATCAGTACGATTTCATTTTCACTTTTAACCAATCGCAATTTTTTATGTCAATTTTCAGAATGTTTTGTGATGTAACTGTTTTTTTTTAATTTCGCATAAAGCGTTACTCGAATGGAGAAATAAAATAAAAATACTATAACGATTTAAATAATTCATTCACCTACAAAAAGCTACATTATCAGTGAATAATACAAAGTATAAAACAAAGTCGCTGTCGCTGTCTGTCCGTTCCTATGTATGCTTAAATCTCTAAAACTACGCAACGGATTTTGAAGCGGTTTTTATTAATAGACAGAGTGATTCGAGAGGAAGGTTTATATGTATAATACATGCATAATATTGTAGAGGAACATTGATAATTTTAGAGGTTTCTAATGTGATGTCGTAATGTAATGTGGAGGCCAGCGGCGGTATTTAGTATGAACATTGCACCCGTGCGAATCCGGGGCGGGTGGCTAGTATAATATATAATACATCTGATAGTATTTACTAGTTTGCATTCACACAGATTCACTATTTAATAAAATTAAACTTTTTAAGTAAAAGCAACAGCTAAGTTTGTTACCCGTTCTTCATGGCTGCAATTGCGTTCCGAATGGGGGGGTAATAAAAAAGAATGACAATTGAAAAATGTTTAAATTTAAGTCTAATAAATGTATCTATTATAATTCTTTTTTTTCTTCTTTAATCTCTTTAAAGATGACGTGTCTTATAAAAAAAAAACTACTTCATTTGTGACAGAACTAGATAAAATAACTAGTTCAAAATTAACACTTCTTTGCATATTTTTTTTTATTGGCGATATAAATCAAGGTGATATTATTCACCAGAGGGAGATTTTGTACAAAAGTCGATTGCTTGGGTACCTCTGTCCCATTCGTGTTTCAACCGTGAAGCAGTTGTATTTGCATGGCTGTGTTTCGGTTTGAAGGGTGGGATATGGCGTGAATTTACAGGGTAGAGAGCAATAACAAGTGAGTCCTCAGGAATGGCAACGCATGGGGGGTAGCATGGGCGAAACAGTACACTCTGTTATATCCATGATACTGCTCATGTCTATAGGCGACGGTTACCACTTACCATCAGGTGGGCCGTCAGCTTGTTTGCCGTTCTAAGTTGTATAAAAAAAAATTAAAAATTATTTTTTTTTACAACATACTATCTGTCTGTAACGAATCGAACCTTCTATTCCTATACGAGCATTTATCAATAGTTCACGAAAATTACAATGCCATTGACCTCCGCGGACGTGAATGTAATTTTTTAATGGGAAATGCGTGCCATAGCGCGATGGTGTGAGCAATAAACATCTCTATGTATTACCAAGATCATAATTATTAGATATGGACGTTGTGAAATCGCATGGTCGAATGGAAGTCAAGATCTCTCGACATTGTGAATAGTTTGTCAGAGAAATACTTTGTACATCGTTAAAGATCGAGTCGCACAAAAAAAAATGGCGTCCATTGTTACAAATTCATTTATTTTTAATTTAAAAACTATACTGTCCATATTATTGTACGTATGTAAACCTCTATATGTATTTAAAAAACGAACAGTTTCGTGTCACCGGTCAAACTGTTTATAACTACTCTACTCCATCCAAAGGTTGCCTGCAAGAGATCGCTCCTAGCGATAAAGGTCGCCCATTGTTCTCTCACTGTGATCATTTCTTGTAATTGTTTGTATCTATAATAAGTTTACTATTGTAATCTTATGGAGGGAACAATGAAGAGTATCTATCTATCTATTAAATTGATTTTGATAAAATTTTCACGGGACAAATCTGTAAGTAACATATATCCTTTGAGATGAAAAATTTTTCCAAATAGGTTTACAGTTGATGGAGTTATGAGGTGCCGTCATGTGGCTCTGCATAGAATAGGCCACCCCTTCCTTTCCTGCGGGTGTCGTAAGAGGCGACTAAAAGATGGGCAGCAGCGTCCCTCTTAAAAAATCACCAAAGCCTAACTGCGGTTGTCAATTCGCTTGCCAAGCCAATTATTGGTAAAACCTCCCAAGGGGAAACCTATGTTTAGCAGTGGACACTTAACGATTGATATACTGTTAAATATATATATATATATATATATATATATATATATATATATATATATATATATATATATATATATATATATATATATATACAACTTAGAATGTCAAACAAGTAACCGTCGCCTATAGACACAAGCAGTACCATGGACATAACAGAGTATACTGTTTCGCCTATGATACCCCCCATGCGTTGCCATTCCTGAGGACTCTAGTGTTATTCCTCTGTACCCTGTAAATTCACGCCATATCCCACCCCTCAAACTGAAACACAGCCAGGGGGTACCCCCTGACGATGATGGTATTGTTTATTTCTACCTGTAATTATTGTTGGTAACAAAGAATCTACCCATATGTTGAGTTACAATGAAAAGAACCGAATGATTTTTCGAAGTCGCTTGATAATACCAGTCGAGCCTGTTCCCAAGTACCTACATAACAAGACTGTAAATACTTTCACTGGAGTTATGAATAACGATTACTTTGCGGTTTGGTACAAATTATACTGTGCCGCCCATCGCGTCTCTCTCTCTGTGTTTATGTGCCGTTGCCCCTGGGGATTACGAAATTTGGGCGTGACTGCACCATAGTCTGTATTTTTTATTTATATACGATGATGTAATAGAAACCCCGCCCGCGCTATCGGTATACACCGGCGGGGCACCAGTGAGCGATGATAGGTGAGGGTGAAAAGGCAGGTCAGTCAGCTCATCGTGATGAATACACCTGGAGGGGGGAAAGGGATTGTTAGCAATGGAGTTTGACAGCCCCATTGCTAGCAATATACCCTATTAGGTGGACCTCCACGTAGTTCCCCCTGGAAACCATCGTGAACAATTCTTGTTGAATTTGTCACGATGGGCTAACCTACTTCATCCTCACCTATCATCCATCATTGGTGCCCCGCCGGTGTATACCGATAGCGCGGGTGGGGTTACTATTCCATTATCACCCACTAAAATAAAAATACACCTGGAATTCAGCACGATGGTTTCCAGCGGGGACCACATAGAGGTCGACCTGCCAGGGTATATTGCTAGCAATGGGACGGGTAGTACGCATTAATAACAACCCCTTTCCCTGCTACATTATATGTTTTATTATATTTTCCTTCGGAGAATGTCAAACAAGCTGACAGCTCATTTGATAGAGAGAGGTAACTGTCACCTATAGGAAGGGAAGGAATTGTTAGTGAGGGATCCAACAGTTCCTACCACTAGTTATATATGGTAACAGGTTGGCCTTCACCCAATTTCCCCTGGAAACCGTCGTGATGAATTCATCACTATGTACCAACTGACCTGCTTTCATCCTCACCTATCATCACTTCCTGCCAGCGTATACCGATAGCGCAGGCGGGGTTACCATTACAATATCATTCATTAAAAAACACCGTGCCTCTAGACATGAACAGAACCATAGACCATGATTGCCATTCCTGAGGACTCGGGCGTTATTCCTCTGTACCCTGTAAATTCACTGCCATATCCCACCCTTCAAACCGAAACACTGCCATGCAAACACAACTGCTTCACGGTAGAAACACGAATGGGACAGAGGTGGTTAAGCAAACGACTTTTATACAAAGTCTCCCTCTGGTAAATGGTCGTTTCTGTTACAGACGCCTATAGGCTACGGTAACTTCGTTTACCATCAGACAGGTCGTGTGCTTGTTTGCAGTATAATAGTAATATAGAAAAGTACTTTTCTCTCATTAAATAATTATGTTTGTTAAGTTCAAATCCATTCTATTCGACATTCGATTGTTTGTCGAAGCGCTTCCAAGAAATTTAAAAAGTAACCTAGGAAAGGTTACTTAACGGTGTTTTCCGTTTACGCGGGGAGTTATTCGGAATATTAAATTGTCGTGTGTTTGCTGGCGGCCAGTCGTTGGTACTCACAGTCTTTGGGGTCATTATCTTTGGTTACGTACGTATTAATTGGTAATATTTACCGTTCTCCACCGAGGGCACTGAAACAAAGAGAAATATATATATATATATATATATATATATATATATATATATATATATATATATATATATATATATATTTTAATTTATTTATGCTTTATTGTACACAAAAAATTACATTGTTATACCACTATAACTACATAGTATAAAACAAAGTCGCTGTCGCTGTCTGTCCGTCCCTATATATGCTTAAATCTTTAAAACTACGCAACGGATTTTGAAGCGGTTTTTTTTAATGGACAGAGTGATTCGAGAGGAAGGTTTATATGTATAATACATGCATAATATTGTAGAGGAACACTGATAAATTTACAGGTTTCTAATGTGATGTGATGTAACGTGTACCCGTGCGAAGCCGAGGCGGGTCGCTAGTATTTTATATATGAAATAAAGATGTACAACAGTCGAGCTTAACTCTGTAAGAGTTCTCTTCCAGCAAACCCTGAGTGGTATGGAGCATTAATTATTAGCGGGCAGTGTGCGTACAATAAGTGGAAACAGTATGGTTGTTTCTATTAAGAAATAGTAAATAATATTGATTGTTATGTAATCCTTGTATTTTTTTATACAACTTTGAATGGCAAACAAGCTGACGGCCCACCTGATGGAAAGTGGTAACCGTCGCCTATACACATGAGCAGTACCATGGACATAACAGAGTATACTGGCAACACCTGGGGTGGTATTCGCCCATGATACCCCCCATGCGTTGCCATTCCTGAGAACTCAGGTGTTATTCCTCTGTACCGTGTAAATTCACTGCCATATCCCACCCTTTAAACTGAAACACAGCCATGCAAACACAGCTGTTTCACGGTTGAAACACAATATCTTTGTATCTTTTTTCATTAAGTTTTGTCATATGCCATAAAATTATAAATTTATTGTGATTTGAATCTTACTTTACCCTACAAGTCAGGGCCGTAACTAAACCCAAGTTTAAGGTAGGCCAAAAGAACTTTTTGGTAGAGCAGAAGTTATAATTAAGTGACTTTGAAAAAGCGAATTTATCTAATTTTTTGGGACCTTTCATTTTAAGGTAAGGCAAAGGGCCTTTTAAGATTTTCCTTTTTTTACAGCACAGGGGGCAAACAAACATGTGGCTCACTTGATGGTAAGTGACTACCGCCGCCCATGATCACCCACAACACCAGTGGCATTGTAGGTGTGTTGCCGACCTTTTGAAAAGGAACATGCTCTTTTCTTGTAGGTTATGTTGTAAGGTAAGGCATTTCCCCTCATTGCCTCATGCTACAAGTACTAAAACGATGACCCAAATTGCCAAAAGAATACCCAAATATCTCCAAGCCCAGTTCACTTCTCTCCAAAACATTTCTCCAAAATTTCTCGAATAGTAAAATTCTTATCCAAAATTGGGGAGAAAAATACTCAATCCGGCAACACTGAATGTAAAACTCTATCTCTCTATAGGCAAATATAATTTTTTAAATCGTTCGAGTAGTTTTCGAGTTTTAATCTATTACAAACAAACAAATAACCAACTTTATCGTAATCGTTTATTTTACGAAGTAATCTGTAAAGATTTATCGTTCAATATAATAACATAGTATTACATATATGTACATAATATCTATTATAATGTAGGTCACACCACATCACGCGAACTACATTATACGTACATTATAAAACGATGGTGTAACATTGGTATTCTTATGGTGTAATGCAACTTTAAATGGGCATGTGGTTACTTGGTAATGCGGCACGCATCAGTAGAATTAGATCCCTCGATAACGGCCAAGGTTTATTTATTTACCAATTATAATTCGCGACTTTGCATGCTCGGTGTCCAAAATTAAACTTATAATGCACATGATGTACCAGAGGGAGACTTTGTACAAAAGTCGTTTGCAACACATGTCCAACACTGTCCCATTCGTGTTTCTACCGAGAAGCAGTTGTGTTTGCATGGCTGTGTTTCGGTTTGAAGGGTGCGATATGGCAATGAATTTACAGGGTACAGAGGAATAACACTTGAGTCCTCAGGAATAGCAACGCTTAAGGGGTATCATGGGCGAAACAGTATACTCTGTTATGTCCGTGGTACTGTTCATGTCTTTAGGCGACGGTTAACACTTTCCATCGGGTGGGCCGTAAACTTGTTTGCCATTCTAAGTTGCATACCAAAAAAACATAAGAAGTGATCTTTCGAGCCGGATTGAGATATACCCTAACCGGGATGAAAAGTACCTCTTATGGCATTTAGAAATCTCATTTACTGTGAAAAACACATAATTGTTTGTTTGATTAAATTATCATATTCAAAAGGAATGACCTCTGCAAAAAGAATCAATATAATCGGTCCATAACAATACTAAGCTATTGCGTAACAAGTCCAAAACAAAAGAATGAATAATATCCATTCAAAATTTTAAAAGTATTTGTAAAATTATTCTTTTATTCACATTTAAAAATAAAAGTCAGTTTCATTTTCGTTCTCCGTGTATCCTTATTTCGAAATATCCGTTCTCAATGACAAATACATTCCGTCGCGTGTAACAGGTTCGGGTCCGGCACCGCGACCAATGGCATTATGTGTACACAAAGAAACAGTGGCGACCACTGCGGGTATGACACATACACGCCGTGTCTAGAGTCTGCTCCGACAGTACTAACGATGATGAACAAACGATGATCAAATTATGATGAAATTTATGCTTCAATAAAGATTTTAAACAGTAAATCAAATGTCCTATCCATAATAATATTCTATTTTACTGTATTAGGTGTTATTCTGCACAAGTTCATCATAATTTCAGCCATTATCCGTCCACTGCTGGACATGAGCCTCCCCCATAGACCGCCATAAAGAACGGTCCTGAGCCACCAGCGTCCACTGACTGCCTGCAACGCATTTCAGGTCGTCACTCCATCTAGTGGGGGATCTTTTTTCCCAGTCACCCAGTTAGCCCATCGTGACGAATTCAACAAGAATTGTTCACGATGGTTTCCAGGGGGAACCACGCGGAGGTCGATCTAATAGGGCATATTGCCTGCAATGGGGCTGTCAAACTCCATTGCTAACAATCCCTTTCCCTCCCTCTAGTGGGGGGACGTCCTACACAAGTCCATATCATTGGTCATTTATAGCATAGAATAGGCCATCCCTTCCTTTCCCGTGGGTGTCGTAAGAACCGACTAACGAACTTAATAGTCGAGGATAACAGGGTCCTCTTAAAACATCACTAAGCTTAACTGCAATTGCCAACTTGTCTGCCAATCGTGGCAACTACTAAAAGAAAGAAAGAAACCTGATTTTACAGAAATATGCGACTACACCCACACAGGGGTTAAAAAAAATATTAAGAATTATAACAACGAAACTACACACAAAATATTTATATATATAAAAAAAGAAAATGAAATTAAAAAAAGAAAATAAAAAATAAACAATTCGTATAATAACAGTTTCCTCCAAAATTAGTGTGTGTGCGCGTGCGTCGTAAAACCTGCAAAATGAGGTGCGTGCTCAGCATTTTGCTGTAGTGTCAGGGACACTGCAGCGCTGATTTTGCTTGTGGTGTGCTTAAAGTGTATTGAGTAAAAAAAAAAAATATACTAAAAACTGGCCAAATCCTCCACTAATAAATACCATCTCAAATGCCTTACAGGGTGTCAGTGGATGCAGGTGGCTCAGAACCGTTCTTTATTTTCTTTTTATACCACTGAGGTGGCAAACAAGCATACGGCCCACCTGATGGTAAGCGGTTACCGTAGCCTATGAACGCCTGCAATACCAGAGGTATTACGCGCGCGTTGCCGACCCTGAACAAACCTCTTTACCCCCCTTCTTTACGGCCATGGTATGGGTCTATGGGGGAGATTTATGTTCAACAGTGGACAGCCGATGGCTTATATGGTAACGATGGTGGAAACCAGCTGTCCACCGTTCAAGGGTCACGTAAAATCGCGGATCTAAATTATGCTTAGGAAATATCCGGCGACAATTTTTTAGCATATCGGTTTACCATTTTCCATCAGCTAGTTCGCCATTCAGAGATTCGTAATTTGTTTGTACATACCAGAAGCAAAGGTCGCTCGAAGCGGTGTATACTTGAATAGAGGTTGGAGTAGGTATCATGTGTTCAAACCGGTCCCAGCGTATTCGTCCGGTGAAAGCGAAAGAGCGTCGAAAGTAGCTAGACTTCAAGTGTTGGTTTGCTTGTTTACCCACCCGACGCGGTAATTATTTATTTATTTCTGTGGTACATTTACAGATTACAAACAAATCTTTTAACAATAGAATACAACAAAAGCAAAGTTTACAGTCCAATTATAGTTGCACTCAACATTTACGGAGATGAAACGGAATAGGTTGATTTTTAACACAATTTTATTTACCAGAGGGAGACTTTGTACAAAAGTCGATTGCTTGGCTACCTCTGTCGCATTCGTGTTTCAACCGTGAAGCTGTTGTGTTTGCATGGCTGTGTTTCGGTTTGAAGGGTGCGATATGGCGTGAATTTACAGGGTACAGAGGAATAACACCCGAGTCCTCGGGAATGGCAACGCATGGGGGGTATCATGGGCGAAACAGTATACTCTGTTATGTCCACGGTACTGCTCATGTCTATAGGCGACGGTTACCACTTTCCATCAGGTGGACCGTCAGATTGTTTGGCATTCTAAGTTGTATAAAAAAAAGTACTTTAGCAGAGTATTTATTGTAATATTTAGACATATTACTTATTTATATATTTATTAATATATTTAGGTTATACAATGTATTAGAGGCGATATATTTCTTCTCTTACAATTACCAGATAGCTAGCAGAGAGCTAAGCACCGAAAACAAATCTACCAAACTATGCGTATAAACTATTAGGTTATCAATGTATGTAAAGTGCTTCGACACGATGAACATTTCTGATAGAATGTGCCAATATCCGATTTACAATCAATGTCATTGTACAATTTGCACATTCTGTACATTGGATTACTATATGACACACTAGCGGCGGCTTCGCACGGGTGGACATTT